GGGAAATCCTGTCTAACCAGATATACTAAAAGTCAAACTTCCATGAAACCAGCTTCTTCAATTTTCAAACCTAAATCAAATTTCCAATCGTTTTAGGGCAATGTCAAAACTTCGCCACATATTTTTTTTTTTCCCCCATCAAGATTGGAAAGAATGTTCCAGACACTGCCACCTGGAACTTTCTGCAGTGATGGAAGTGTCCCATATCCACGCTGGCCACATGTGGTCATCGAGCACCTGAGACGTGGCTGGTGGACACAGGCCCTGAATCTGTCCATTTTATTACATCTTAACCAATTTGAATGTAAATAGCTGCACATGGCTGGTGGCTGCCCATTGGAGAGCACAGTGCCGGAACTTTCTAGATTTCACAGAGCACATTTCTTCCACCAGGGAGAAGGAGCCCCAGCTCCTGGCGTTACAGCCGACCCAGTCTCCGGAAGGGAAGTTCTGGTTTCCTCTGCTTCCCAGCTGGGTGACCCCAGACAGGCCTGTCCCTCCCTCCCTTCTGCGTCCTTGTCTAGGGAAGGTGGGAATGACAACAGTGCCCACACGATCAGGGTGACAGGAGGTCTGGCACGGAAGCAGCTTCGGCTCGGGGCCTGCCCCACACCACGTCCACAGGGGCAGCTGGGCCTTTCGCCCCCGCCCGGCCCCGGGCAGTCGGGTGGGGCATCCGGCTGGGTCTGTTTGCTCATTCGCCCCATCCACGAGTTATCCCTGCGCAGCCTCCGTGGGCCCCTGTCCTGGCCTCCTCCGCACAGACCCTTGGGGTCCCCTGACACGTGGGTGTCCAGCCCCTGGCCTCCCTGGGGACACCCGCTTGTGGCCAGCCCTGGGGCTCAGAGAGGGGGCTGGCAGGGAAGTGGGGGAAGGAACGTCCTTCGGGACGGAGCGGAGAAAGGCGACATCAAGGCGTGTTGGCGGAGGTGGGAATGACATGTGGCCTCACTCAAGGCCTCCAGAGCACCTGCAGCCCATCACACGCCGACCCCAGGCCAGAGTGCAGGGTCACCTGAGCCAGCTGGAGGGCAGGGGGCGTGCTCATTGCGGGGACCCAGGCCTTGTCCCTGGGCAGCCTGGGTGGTGGGGACACGGTGGCTGCGCATGAGGACTGTGGGTGTGTGGGGTGGGGACAGGTCTGCAGGACACCGGGGGACCCGGCCGCCGTGTCAGAGAAGGGCGAGGAGAGGATGGGTGCGTACTAGGAGCTCTCTCGGGGGCCTTGCCTCCATGTTGGCTCCCCCATTCTGCAGATGAGGAAACTGAGGCTCGAGGAGGTTCGGAAGCACATCGGATGTGACCAAATAGGAAAAGTGGGCCAGGACTGCCAGGTTCACAGGGAGAGCCGGAGAGCAGGGCAGGGGCGGAACGGGACTGGGCGTGGAGGCGGAAGGAGTCGGGTCTTTTGGAGTTTGAGTCTTCCCATGGCCCCCTCCGGAGGTGGCCCCAGGCAGACAGGCACCAGCGAGGCGGGTGACCAGGGTTAGGAGGGCCGGGTTCCCCCTCGCCCAGAAATTGAAGGCGCAGACCCAGAGAGAGTGAGCAGCGGGGACCTCGGGCGAGCCCAGGGCAGCGGGCAGCTGGGTTTGCCTTTTTCTTTGAATTGAAAATATCTCTTCACTTTCCAGCCGAGGAGAAACCCACTCAGGAGACCGATGTAGGGTCTCGGCCTCTGTCTCTCACCCCTCCCCCCCCCAGGGAATATCCCCAAACCCTCCAGGATGTCAGGTGGGTCACAAAGCCACGCCACCTCCACACCAGCACGCCAGCCCTGAGGGTGGGATACAAGGTACTGTGGTTATAATGATCGCTTGTGCCCATTTTGCAGGTGGGAAAACTGAGGCTGGGGCTTAAGTGCCCTGCTGAGAGCCTATGGGTGGGAAGCCAGCTTGGTTCCTGGAACCTAAGGGTCGCTCCTGTGTCACAGCTGCCGTGACCCCGTAGGTTACTCCGTCTCAAATGCGGCGCCGGGAGACAGCAAGGCTGGGCACGTGGGGCCCCAGCCAGCCCTGCTAGACTCCTGTGGTGGATGTGGGTGCCAAGGAGCACTGTCGTGGGAGTCTGCTGGCTCTAGGGTCTCTCTGGCATTCAGGCACATCCTTGCTGCACACCACAGGGACCGGGGGTGCTGTGCCAGGGCCTCGTCCCCACCGCCCACTGCGGGCCCTTGATGATCCCTGTCCCCTGCGGAGAAGCCATCGGCACGCCCTCCCCCACCCCCCCCTTCTCCCTCCCCCAGGCCTGCTGGGGGGAGGCCAGAACACAGGCTTTGGAGCGAGCCTCGGGGACGGGGGCTTTGGCTGGGGCAGGGAGGAAAGCGAAGGGACATTCCTGGCCAGGGAAAGGCTCGTGCAAAGGCGTGGGTGCCGGGGACACGGCGGGCACCACGTGGCTGCAGTAGGTGGCCGCTGCCCACGTGGAGGAAGAGCGGGACGGAAGGAGCAGGGAGCCAGACGGGTGCACGAATAGCAAGGAAAAGAAAAATCAGGACAGCACCAGCGACTCGCCCCTGTCAGATGCTAAACCCTTTCTGTACATCGCCCCCCGTGAGTCTCACTCTATGGGGAAACTGGTTCAGAGTGATCCAGTGACTGTTCAGGGTCTCAGTTTCTTCATCTGTCAAATGGGTCTGGCACACAGGAAGCGCTCAATAAATGAAAGCGGTCAGTGGTTAGTGGTTGCAGCGGCAGGGACAGGGGTCCGTGTGACCCCCTAGCCCGAAGCATCAGTGTACATCCAGCCCCCCAGGGAGCTGGCTATTAATATTGGTATTAATATTAATAGCAGTTAAATACTCACATATTACATTTACCATGAGCCAGACGCTGTTGTAAGTGCTTCCCATGCACTGACACATTGAGTTCTCATGGCATCCTATGAGATCAGAATGAAAGAGATCCCCATTTGACAGATGAAAAGCTGAGGCTCAGAGAGGTTAAGCCAGTGGCCCAAGGCACACAGGTAAGTAGAAATCAGGATTAGAATCCAGAGCCCAAGTTCTTAGCCACCACGGGTATAGCTCATCTAGTTCACCAGCCACAGTGGTGCCCGGGAACTTGGTTTGTTTCTAAGCCCCAATCCCCCACTACTCAGGAAGATTTGGGGGGCCCCCATCTTGCAAATCCTGCCAGCAGGGGCTCACCTCCACTTCTCCCTGCCGTCCCAGCGCCAAGCAGAGCGGGAGGGCAATGGGGAGCCACAGCAGGTTACTGAGCAGGGGTGTGGCAGGTGCCGGGAGGTCGGCTGGCCACAGGGGTCGGAGGGGAGGGTGGGAGCCGACCAGCACCCCCAGCAGCAGCTGGAGCACCAGGCCCTGCACTTCCGCCTCGCTCTACTGTCTCTGAGGGCCTGAGGGGACAGATGGCATCGCCCAGGCCTGGGCCGTGGCTGTCACTTGGCCAGATGAGTTACGAGCGGGCTGGAGGGGCGGCAGCCAGGGGGCCGCAGAAACAATGGCATCGGGACCCCAGGACAATGGGTCCACGTGCCACGGGGGCAACAGGCGTTTGTCACACAATGGGCTGCCGGGGGGACAGCAGCCGGGCCAACTGCTGCCACCGACACGGGCCAGCCGGGTTTTCAAATCGTTTCCAGGCCCTGTTTTCCTATGAGGCAGCCAATCCCGCGGGCAGCCGGGCGTCACCTGATGCCAGCTCCGTGGGCTGAGGGCCCAGGCCCTGCGACAACTGAGCCGTGGTGGCCATAGCAACGCTAATTGTGGCCCTAAAACACAAGGACCGAGAGAGTGAGAGGTGGGGAGGAAGGAGGAGGAGAGAGAAAGAGCGAGAATGCCAGCTCGAGCGAGAGCAGGTGGACAGGAGGGCAGCGCCCCGTGGCCCTCGCTGGGCCCTCTGGTGACAGCGGCGCGCAGGGACGCCAGAGGCGGGACCGGGTGGCTTGCTCTTTCTCGGTCCCTTTCTCTGTGGGGCCCGGAAACACCTATTTTACAACCTGGAGCTTAGAATTGAGACCACGGGACTCTGGGGAACAAGACAGAAAGCTGGCCCGCAGGGGTGGCCGCTGGGGCGCCGGCTGAACGGGCCCCAGGCCAGTCTGCGCCACCCGGCCCCGCGTTCTCAGGGTCGCCTGGCAAACATGACTTCAGGAGCTCCGGGGAGCGCCAGTCACCTGGTCAGGGCGCCTGTCTGGCACCCGCCACGCCACGGGCAGCCCTTTTCCTGCTATGGAAAGGGACGCCTTTGCCCACGCATCTGTGGGGCGGCAGGCGTGGGCCCTGACCTGGGCCTCTGGGGGCCGTCGGGTGGCGGGCCAAGAGCTGGGCTGCAGGCGACACCATCCGGGTACCAGCCCCACCACTGCCTGTGCCGTGTGGCCTTGGGCAAGCGCCTCGGTGTCCCGAGCCTCAGTTTCCCCGTCTGTACTGGGAGTGGGGGGAGCATATCCCACATCTCCACCATCTCAGCATGTGGCCTGCCCCTCCGTGGGGACTGTCCCCAAGCTCGGTGCCATCCACGTGGCTACAGCTCTTTGGGAAACCACCCTGGACACGGAGTCTCGCAGCCGATTCTGCCCCGGCAGGTGGGACTCTGACCACAGGCCCTGACTGCTCAGTGCTGTGGTGTCCCAGGTGAGCGCCTACCGTGCCTCAGTTTCCCCATCTGTGAAACAGGAATAATAATTCCTGCCTCATAGGGTTACTGGGAGCGTTGAATGGCTTAGTGCTTGCGAAGGCCATGACCAGTGCCCGGCATGTAGTAAGTGCTCAACAAACACGACTGTGTATCATTTTTGCGGTAGGTGCTGGGCAAGACGTGTTTCAATGAGCAAATGAATGACGTGAGCGTGTGCAATCTGGCTGCCACAGGGGGATGCTGGGACCAGGTTCCCATGCCCGGTCCCAGGGACAGGCAGGTCAAAGGGCTGGGGGTGGCCTGGGCAGATAAGGCATTAAAGGGGTGCTTCCAGAGGTCGGGAAGCCCCCCCAGGAGCCGGCCTAAGCTCCCCATCTGGCCCGAGCTCCCTGCTCCTCCCTGCAGGCTCCTAGCCACCGCCAGCAACGACGACCTCCCTGGGGACCTGCAGTCGCTGTCTTGGCTCACGGCCGTGGACGTGCCCCGGCTGCAGCAGATGGCAAGTGGCCGTGTGGACCTGGGAGGCCCCTGTGTGCCACATCCACACCCAGGTAGGCTCGGGGCAAGGTGTGTGTGTGGGGGGGGTCAGAGGACGGTGTAGGACAGAGGCGACCCCCAGCCCAGCCACCCACCCGCTATGTGGCCGTGGCCGGGCCACTCGATTTCACTGGGCCGCCTCTATTTCTGCATCTGTAAAATGGGACACATTCTATCATCCTCAGAGGGCTGTGGTTCATCGTTCACTTAACACTGTCCCGGGCCCTGGGTGAGCTAAGGTTTCAAAGAAGAATAAAGACAGCCCTGCCACGACCGTGGAACATCTTTAACATCTAAGATAGTCGTTGGCAAACTACAGCCCATGGGCCAAATGCAGCCTGCTGCCCATTTTTAGACAGCCTTTGTGTTAGGAGTGGATTTGACATTTTTCAAGGGCTATACCAAAACAAACAAACAACAACAACAAAAAACCCCAAACCACCAAAGATGACAGAGACCATCTGGCTGCCAAAGCCTAAGATATTTCCTCTCTGGCCCTTGACAGAAGTTTGCAGCCCCCTGATTTAGACGATTTCAAGAGGTAACATATGGAAAGTGCTGAGTGCAGGGTCTGGCATACAGTAGGTGCTCCATAATGGCAGCTAGTTGCAATCAGAGCGAGTAGATTCAATGCTTCAAGACACAGAAAGTATCGAAGAAAAAACGAACAGCAACAATAATGGCTACCACACATTGAAAGTACCAATCATTGAAAAATCAGTATCTAGGATTCTTTCTTTCATCGGGCAAACTGTCCTCGGGCTAACTATATATATAGCAGAAGGCAGCAAAATTTTGCCGTACTTTCTCGTAGGCCAAATGATCTCTGTCAAAACGATCCAACTTTTCTATCCTAGTGCAAAACCAGCCACCGACAATATGGACGTGCATAGGTGTGACTCTGTGCCAATAAAACTTTATTTATAAAAACAGACTGTGGGTCAGATTGGGCCTACTGGTGGGTCTGCCGACCCCTGTGTAGAGCCCCCCAGGGGGCAGCTGTGTGATCTTGGGCAGGCACTTTCCCCTCTCACCGGTTCCCTTATGAAAATTCTAGCAGAACTTGGGGGACCGTGAGGGCTCAATGCAGAAAGGTACCTTGTGCACAATAGGTGTTTAATAAATGCTCAAATAACGAAGGCTCTACCCTCTCCTCTGTGTCTGCCGGGCATTTTCCACGTGCCTGTCACTGTGCCAGGCCTTTGGAGCAATGAGTTGTATGGAACGTGGTCCCAGTTCTCCGGGCGCTGGTGGCTGGCCAGGGACAGGAGGACAACAAAGACAGACAGAGGCACAAAGAGTAAGCGCAGGTGGCCGCCAGGACTCAGAGGGGACCTGAGGACCCAGAAGGCTTCCTAGAAGAGGTGGCCCTGGGACAGGGTCATCTTGCAGGCCAACTCCCCTTGATTGGAGGTGGCTGCCTACGATCTGGCTGGTGTGGGCAGGATCTGCGACGCGTCAGCACTTTCTGTCCCAGGCCCGGCGCGGGATGGTGGGGACATACATCTGTGACTCCTCAGCAGAGGAGCAGGCTGGGCAAAGGGCAGAGGCGGCATCTGGGCCTACACCTGGAAGGCACTGGGGAGCCATGGCATGCTTTTGAGGGAAAGATGTGAACAATAAGTTGGTTCTAGCTTCCCGAAGGACAGGAACCAAGCTATTCCAGCAGCAGCAGCATTGCTATTTATTAGTGACTCATATTTATTGAGATATTACGTGCCCAGCCAGGTATGTCCCAAACACTTGATAGACGTAATCACATTTGACTCGCACGACAACTTTATAGGTAGGTAGTATCAGTGGCCCAAGTACAAATGGGGAAACTGAGGCTGACCCAAGGTTACACGGCTGGGAGGAACCCCACTTTTCCCCTCGTGGTCCGAGGGTGGGGATGGCTGTGTTCTCTGCAGACACCAAGAGATGGGGCTGTCCCTGTTCTCTCCGGTCCAGCAGCATCTCTGTGCTTCCCTCCTGCAGGCGCCTTGGCTGGGGCGGCGGAGCTGCACGTGGGGGCCTCCCCCGGCCCCCTTCTCCACTGCGCGGCTGGCATGGCCCCTCGGGGCATGCTGGGCCTGGGCCCCATAACCAACCACGGAGCCAGGGTAAGTGCCACCGCGTGGGCTGGGGAGTGAGGGTGGTGCCCGCCAAGGCCGGGGTGCCCCATCCCCAGCCTGCCCCTCTGTCTCTTCCTCTCCTGGCCGCAGCAGATAAGCCAGTTCCCCGTGGGGACCCACCCCCCGCCCGGCCTGCAGGACCCGCCGCAGCTGTACTCGCCCGCCGCCCAGCCACAGTTCCCGCTCCCCCTGGGCGGCCAGCAGGTACCCGGGGCTCACAGGCGCCTGACACCCTGCCTCGGGCTGGCCGGGTACCTCTCTGAGCCTCAGTTTACTCACCCATAACATGGGAATGACGTTCCCCACCATGTCCAGGTCATGGGGTGATTCGTTCAGTTCCCCCCACCCCGTCTCCTGCCATGGGTGGGGGCGAGGTTCCCCCCACACTGGGGTGGGGGGAGGGGTGGCTTAGGCTCTTTCTCACCTTCTCTCCCTCTGCCCCTTCCCCGCCCCTGCCCGCCGGAAGTGCCCCTCCGTGGGCCTCTACGGCTCCCCATTTGGGGCACGGCCCCCCTACCCACAGCCCCACGTGGCTGCGCACCCGTCGCAGGACCTGCACCCCAGACACTACCCCAAGCCCATCTACTCATACAGGTGAGGCCCGGGGGGCACCGGGTCAGGGCTGCGGGGGGCTCGGGGAAGAGCGGGCGAGGCTGCCCCCAGCTAGGCGTGGCGGCCCAGACTTCCCACGGGGAGGGTCAGGGGAGTGGGGAACCCCCACGCGGCACTTGTTCTCAGGAAGGCTCATCCAGTGGTCGGTCAGCACCCCCAGGCTGAGGACCCACTTGCGACACCGAGCCCAGCGCCCTGCTCCGTCACTCACAAGCTGTGTGGCCTTGGGGAAGTGGCTTGGCCTCTCTGAGCCTCAGGTTCCTCAAATGTAAAACGTCATCCAAGTAACAGTAGTGTGTACCTCGCAGGAGTTTGGGGACGGGAAGAGGTAGAGCCGAAAGGCCCATAGCTATGAATTACGGGGATGGGACAAAGGAGAGAAAAAGATAGGATTTATCAAATCTGGGCCAAGGAGAGGACGGGCCTGGAAAGACACTGGGCTGTGAAAAGGTATCGAGGGCTCACACTGGGCTGGCACTGGTGGGGTGAAGCAGGGCAGGCTTCCTGGCAGAGGGGGCCTTGAGCTGTCAGCCTGAGACCCCCTCACTCCTGGTCTGCCCCACCTTCTGTCCCCAGCTGTCTGATCGCCATGGCCTTGAAGAACAGCAAGACAGGCAGCCTGCCCGTGAGTGAGATCTACAGCTTCATGAAGGAGCACTTCCCCTACTTCAAGGTGAGGGGTCCCAAGCCAGGATGGGGGTGCCGGAGCTGCCCCGGGCCCCTCCCTGGTGCTGCCACAATGCAGAGCCGGCCCTGAGCCACACCGGCCTTCCTCTAAGGTCCCCAGTTATGTCTGCATATCTGGTAGTAAGGATGCGTGCATGTACACTCCCATAGAAGAAATTCAGAAAGAGAAGGGGGCTTTTGCAATGGGCTCTGATGGATGCAGAGGAGTTCACTAGGCATCCTGAAGGGAAAGGGTAGCGAGACCAGCTAGTTATTCAGCACAGACTCAGTACAACATAAATAATGTAAAATCCAGGCTTTCCGTCACCTCTCTGGGCCTCAGTGTCCTCGTCTGTGAGGTCGGGACAGTCAGTGACACCCGGCAAGGTCAGCGAGGACTCTGCACTGAAGGATGGAAAGAGCCCGGCAGGTGCTGGCATGGGCTTGGCCACCAGTGATGTCGTTCTTGCGGGCATCAAAGCAACGAGAGGAGCAGGAGGTCAGAGGGTGGCAGGCCGCAGGGTCCCTGGCCTGGACAGCGCCTGTCGCAGTCGCGCCGCAGCACAGTGGCGAGGGGGTGTGTAGGGTGTGCGGTGTGTCGCAGCATCTGGCTACCGAGCATTAAACTGTGACTACTTAAAAATGGTTTGCATTTCATAAACTCGACTAGTTACCCATTCATTGCATCATCCTGGCTCGCTGGCGGCCCGAGTGGGAGAGAAGGAATGGATGACGCGGTGGCCCTGGGCTGCGTTCTCGGTGGCAACACCCTGTCCTCAGGGCATGGGCCGTGCAGGTGGCTGCAGTCCCTGCCACTCTGTCTTGCATGGCTCCAACTTGAGGCTGAGTGTCGGACACCGTCCCCGCTCTCCCCCCGCTTGCGCCCTGCCCCCGTCGGCCTGGGTCGGAGTCCCCCGCCCCAGGAAAGGAAGGGGTCCCCTGAGTGCCCGTGTCTCTCCTTAGACGGCTCCTGATGGCTGGAAGAACTCGGTGAGGCACAACCTGTCCCTGAACAAGTGCTTCGAGAAGGTGGAGAACAAGATGAGCGGCTCCTCGCGCAAGGGCTGCCTGTGGGCCCTCAACCTGGCCCGCATCGACAAGATGGAGGAGGAGATGCACAAGTGGAAGAGGAAGGACTTGGCCGCCATCCACCGCAGCATGGCCAACCCCGGTGAGGCCCGGACAGCCCCCACCACGCGCGCGCACACGGTGCCACCTGTAGGAATCTGTCACCTGCCCCATGTCCTCTCCATGCCAGGTTCAGCCACAGCCCTGGTTACTATCCAAGGATGACCTGGATACCACGCAGATGACACCTGAACTCTGCATTTCCTAAAACCCCCGGTCCGTCCCAGCCACCCACTTCTGGTTGTGGCTGAGCCCAGCCTCAGCCCCATCTGGTCCTGGTCCTACCTAACCTACACACATCTCAGCCACGTTGCTGGGGAGCCAGGCGCCCGGAGGCTGTCCATCCCTCCTGTAGAATATGCCTCCCCCCAATCCAGTGGCTGGTAAACTGAGGCACCCGATCAGAGACATGAAAAGCTATCCAATCTTACTAGTCATCCCTAGTTTCTTGCACAGAAAGGCCAAACTACACAACTGGGGGATGCCATTGCTTTCCTACCACGTTGGCAGAGATGTTTAAAATAATAAAATCATAACATCCAGTGCAGGCGAGGATGTGGAGAAATAGACACTTCCTATACAATGGGTAGGAATGTAAGTACTTAGGTAACAAATCAAAAACTTGTAAACTGTGCCCATGCATTGGTCTGATTATTCTACTTCTGACAATGCATGCTGAGGATATCAAAGATTTGAGCCAAAGGTTTATGAACAAAATTATATGCCACACAGTTATTCCTAAGAGTGAAAAATAGAAAGCAATCTAAACATCCCACAATAGGGGGGTTGCTTAAATAAATAGAATGGGATACCATGCAAGGATGAGAGATGAAAAATTTGTTAAAATATTTTTGAAATAGAAAGAAATGCTCCCAATATAATAATTATAAAGGGGCAGGTTATGAATCAATACACATATTATGAGCCAGGCATGGTGGCTCACACCTGTAATCCCAGCACTTTGGGAGGCTGAGGCGGGAGGATCATTTGAAGCCAGGAGTTTGAAGTCAGCCTGGGCAACATAGCAAGACTCTCTCTCTTAAAAAAAAAAAAAAAAAAATTAGCTGGTCACGGTGGCACACACCTGTAGTCCCAGCTACTCGGGAGGCTGAGCCAGGAGGATCACTTGAGCCCAGGAGTTCGAGGTTACAGTGAGTTATGATCGTGCCAATGTACTCCAAGTGGGATCACACAGCGAGACCCTATCTTGGAAAAGATACACACACAGAGAAAGAGAATTGGTCTGCACGGATGTGTCTGACAGGAAATACACCAAAATATTGGGCATGGAGAAGTCACTGATCATTTTTATATGCTTTACATATTTTTGTATTTTCCAAAACTTCTACCCTGTTCAGGAATTACTTTTGTAACTAGGAGAAAGATCGCATCTGCTTTTTTTTCTTTAATTAAGGCATGTGAGGAGAGGGCCCTGTTTAATTAAGGGACATATGACCGGGGACTATGACCTGGGAAGACAGCCCTGCCCCAGGCAGGCTTAGGAGTATTTGGCCTGGCTCTGGCGATGTCCTCGTGCCGGGTATGAAGGCGCCTGGGCGTGTGGCTCAGGGAGCAATTCCATCAGGTGGGGAGAAGAGCTATGGCAGGAACCCCTGTCCCCCCAGTGGAGGGGCGTCCCAAGGCGCCCACCCCACTGACAGCCCCAGGTGACTGGTTTGAGACCCAGGGCAGGTCCTGACCCACGTTCAGAGTAAGACCTTGAGCGAATCATTTGACCTTCCAATTCTAAGGGTCCTCATTTCAGAAATAAGTGCAATCCCCGAAGACCCTGGGCCCCTCCCAGTCTAGTCTCAACACTGGGTTACATTCAACGAGACACAGCCAACAACCGAAGTTAATTTCAGAGTAATTTCCGTCTTGTTTATATCCAACAGCATTAACGATTTTTAAACCACAGCAACACCCTTGGATGTCTCTTTAGCAGGGAGTGGCTAAGGGAGCCCTCGAGTATTAGTAAATTTTGTCCTGGTCTCGTTGGATTTGGAATCTCTGCCCTCCCTCCCCCTTTGAGGGCTGTTCTGAGGTTCAAGGGCAGTTCCAAGGTGACAGGGCTGTCCTGTAAGGCACTGTGCAAATGAGAGGGGGTAGGGCTATTATCGGACGGTGCGTCTTACTGCTCAAAGACCCTGCACAATTTGTGATTCCGTTATATCTCCACACAATCCCTGTGCAGAGCGTGTGATGTCGTATCCCAGATGAAGAGACAGAGGTTCAGAGAGTCCGAGAGTCCTGCTAAGGGATTTGAACCCAGACCTGGGCTGGGGCCTAGTGACCGCAGGGTGGGTTCTGAGTGACCTCTCTCATGCTTGCCCGCAGAGGAGCTGGACAAGCTGATCTCCGACCGGCCTGAGAGCTGCCGGCGCCCTGGCAAACCGGGGGAACCGGAGGCCACCGTGCTGACTCGCGCCACCACGGTGGCCGTGGCTCGAGGCTGCCTGGCCGTCTCCCAGCTCCCACCCCAGCCACTGATGACCCTGTCCCTGCAGTCGGTCCCCCTGCGCCACCAGGTGCAGCAGCCCCAGGCACACCTCGGTCCAGACTCGCCGGCGCCGGCACAGACGCCGCCACTGCATGCCCTGCCGGACCTGAGCCCCGGCCCCCTCCCCCACCCCGCCACGGGACGGGCGCCCGTGGACTTCACCAACATCAGCACCGACATGAGCACCGAGGTGGACGCCCTGGACCCCAGCATCATGGACTTCGCCCTGCAGGGTGAGGCCAGAGGAATGGGGTGACGGGTCTGGGACGGGGAGGGGAGAACGGGGGGGGGGGGGCGACAAGGACTACACTGTCTGCATTTACCCCACCGTGCGCGCGGCCTCGTTGCCATAGCAACCACCTAATACAGGTTGAGCAGCCCTAATCTGGAAATCTGAAATGCTCCCCGAATCCGAAACATTTTGAGCCCCGATAAGACACTCGAAGGTAAGGTCATGCTCACTGGAACATTTCTGATTTTTGGGTTAGGAATGTTCAACCTGTAATAGCAAATGGCAGCAAGCAGTGAATGAGCACTTGCTGTATACCAGGCTCCGGGCCAAGCACTTCCTAGCCATCAGCTCGGCTCGCCCTGCCACAGTCCTCTGGGGTGGCTGCCATTCACGTCCCCTTTCTGCTGATGAGGAAATTAAGGCAGAGGGAAGTCACTGGCCAAGGTGACCCGGCTAGGAAGTGACAGAGCTGGGAGTTACCCCCAGGTCTGTCCAACCCCCAACTTTTAATCGGCGACTGCTTCAACTTGTAAGCGCCAGCCGCATGCCAGGTCACACACTCTGACGTGCTGCCTGCCACGTGGTCATCCCCCCAAAATGAGACATGAATGAATGAATGAGCGAATGAATGGATGAGTGAATGAACGAACGAGGGAATCTGAGGTGTCAGCAAAGGCTCATAATTCATCCATTCACTAGCACGAGCGCACCTACTATGTGCCAGCCAGGTAGACATCCTCTGCCCTCCAGGAGCTCCCTGTCTGGCAAGGGAAATGGGCAAGTCAGCGGTTAGTTAGCAAGTCAGCTGCAGCTGTGAAATGGGTACGCTGGAACCTCCCTCCTCTCCCCCTGGATCGTCCTGCGGTTAAATGTGCTGAAGAAAGGGGGCATGTCTGTTTGTCCCCCCGGCTCTGCCCACGATGGCCCCATGTGAATAAGTGCTATCCATGTCTCCCCTGGCCGCTGCCCCAGGAGACGGGTTTGCTGGTCATCTCCATTTTATTCCGAGGCTCAGAGACAGAAGCGACCTTCCCAAGGACACACAGCGGGGAAGGGGAGGGCCGGGGCAGGAGTGCTGACTCCTCCTCGCCATCTTTCTACAAAACGTGGCTTTAAACAATGCACACGCTCTTTTCCTCTTTCCTAAGACAGGGGATTCGAACTCAGGCTTGTCTGACGAGAAGCCAGCTCACTCGCGTGCTTTTGTCTTTGCAGGGAACCTGTGGGAGGAGATGAAGGACGAGGGCTTCAGCCTGGACACGCTGGGGGCCTTCGGAGACTCCCTGCTGGGCTGTGACCCGGGGGCCTCGGGCCTGACCCCCGTCTCCAGCGGCAGCGACCAGCCCTTCCCCGACTTGCAGGTGACTGGTCTCTACGCCGCATACTCCTCCCCGGACAGCGTGGCAGCGGCGGCCACCGCCTCCTCCTCCCAGTACCTGGGCGCGCCGGGGACCACGCCCATAGCCCTGCTTTGAGCCCACGGCCTCTCCCAGCCTGGAACACCCCGGAGAGCGGACCAGAGCGCGGGGTGAAAGGCACCCCCCTTCCCACAGGCCTCTCCTGAACCTTTGGCAAAGCCGCGGGCAGGACAGGGACGCGGTCCCCCTCCTCGCCCCGTGCCCCTCTCACGCCCCCCGCCAAAGCTCCTGGGCCTTCCCGAGGCAAAAGCACAGAGGAGAGCGGGCACACAGCCCAGCGTCCCCTGGCTGTGTCGGGACTGAGACTCTCCGGCCTGCTTCCTGGCTGGGCGCCGTCAGGGACAGGCAGCCCACTCCTGGGGACACACTGTTGCGCCAGGGAAGCACCCCAGGGGGAAGGGCCTGGGGTTCACTCTCCTGGGAAACAGGCTGAACCGGATGGGACATCTGCCACGGCCGGCAGGAGACAGGCTCAGGGCTGGGACACGGGCTGGCGAACCACCGACCAAGCTGAACTTGGATGGAACAAGCTGAACTTGGAAACAGGAGCCGGCCCGGGCGGCCTTCAGCCCCACGGCCCGGTAGTCTCGTAGAGTTTCATAGCGCAGGTTCCTGGGCCACTCTGGGCACTGTGGCGTGTGTAAATGTATTTATATTTATTGTGGCCCCCGTTCACCCCACTTCTTCGAACCCAGCCCGACGCCCCTGGAATGAGCCTCCCCTCTCCGTCCCTCCCCGCATCCCAGCACCCTAACTTCTACATCATCAGCGAATCCCATCTCTAACCGGCTCCTAATCCCTCGGCCACCTGGAGCTTCTTTTTAGAACAAACAAGCACTTTGGATACTGTGAAACACCCTATTTTTTTTTAATACTAGAGACCAGATATTTTTCTAACCGTTCAGTCATGATTCAAATCCCTGCCACGAGCCCCTAAGAAGGGAGGCGGCATTGCTTTGGGCTTGGGGACTTTCTAAGGGCACACTGGGGTGGGGGTGGGAGGAATGGTGGGGAGTGGTTTTTGGGGGGAAGAAAGCAAACTGTGACCCACGTGGCACCGGGGGGGGGGGGGGGGCTGGTGCAGCTTCAATGCACAGTATGTATTGTCACCCGCCTGCCTCTATTTGCCCTGTCACCATTTTCATGTGTCTTTTTCTCTCCTTGTCAATTATGGATTTCCCAAGTGGCAAGTTCCGAGGGCAGCTGGGCTGGAGGGGAGACGGGGCAGTGAGTTGCAGGAAAGAGAAGGCGAAAAAGGCTTTTCCGGCTACGCTGAGACAGAACGGCAGTGGCTGCACCAGCGTTGCCGGCCACCCCCCTCTCCCGACCCACTGGATGTTGACTCCGTGTCTGGGGGTTCCTGAACCCTAGAGCCAGAACGTTCTGCTTCATCCACAGCCCGGCCAGCCGCCTGGGAGGTCTAGCGTTAAACCCTGTCTTAAAGAGCCAGTGTTAAATCCTTCCTAGTTCTAGAACTGTCTGCGGAATTTCCACCGCCCTCAGACACGATCCTGGCACCGCCTGTGTGACCCGCCCGGCTCACCTGCTTTGCGTGAGCCCCGGCGAGTCGTTTCTGTCGCCGCTGATGAAGACCCCCGCGCTCGGGCAGCTCCGAGGCTGTGTAAGTGTGGTGTCGAGAGACTGTCTCCCGTCAATAAAGGCTCAGTGGCAGCTCTGTGGCTCATGGGGAGAGGGGGACGGGTGATGGAAAAGGGCAGGGGAGGGGCCATTTACAGATGGGGAAACTGAGGCCCAGGGAGGTGACTGATGCTACCTAACCCTGGACCCAGCCGTTCTGACTCCAAGTTCCCATCACACCAGACACTGGGGGGAGTTTGTCATTATCAGTAAAACCAGCACGGCCATGGCCTCCACTTACCGTTCCTCGGTGCCAGGCGCTGGACAGACATCATCTCAGGCAGGGACTGCGCTCGCTGTTTGCCGCTCAGAAAGCACGGGCTCAGAGGTTGCATAGGACTGAGCCCGTGTGGGACGCCGGGGTTACAGCTCAGCAGCGCTGCTCTGAGCCGCCTCTCTGGCGTCTGCCTGGGGTCAGGGAAGGCAACAAGATGGAAACAGGTGCACCCTTTTCAGCACCTGCTACGCGCCCGGCCCTGGGCTGGTCACTGCTATAGATTAGCTCACTCAATCCTCACAACCGCCCTATGATCATGTCTTACTAGTTATCATGCCCATTTTGCAGATGAAGAAACTGAGGCTCAGAGGCATAGAGCAGGTGATCTGCCTCCCCAGCTAACAGCAGAAGGGTATAACCATTAGGAGTCTATCTAACTCCTCAGCCCACCCAGGAAGTGGCCTGCAGACTCGACGGGGAGACCAGACTCACACGCATGTGGCGATTCATGAGTAAGGGAGTGCATGGGACGAGGGGCTGGGGGTGGTGTCAGGAAGTACTAAACGGGGCTCCACTTCAGTGGTGGCCAGGCAGGCAGCAGGGACAGGGGCCCTGCAAGAGGCCGGGGCTGTCTTCCTGTGCCCAGCTCCTGTTACCCGACCCTGGCCTGGCCAACAAGAGCACTGCAGCCCCCCAGCCACGGGTCGAAGTGGGGAGCAAGCGGCCCAGGCCATGGTGGTCGCGGCCGATGGGCATCTCCCCAGGACTTGGCAGGACCTAGGGGATGAGGGCGCCCCCCGTCTCCCGAGCTGCTAAGCTGGGAGGCCGGAGCAGAGCTTTGAGTCGCCATGTGGAAAGGGCTGGGGGACCCACACCTGGGCCTGACACCCGCTCCTTACGACAGGCAAGTGGGGGCCAGGCACGCATTGAGTCACGGCAAGAATGCAAAGGTCACAGGGTCACAAGCTCTGGGCAGAGCCCTGGTCACAGCCAGAGCGCCACCTGTCCAGAAGCCATGATGACACCGGAAGATAGCACAAATGGGAGATTCTCCGAGGTTCTCTCTGAAGCTGAGCAATTAACGAATGGGGGAAAAATACAAATCGCCTCCACTCAAGCACCTGGTGCGCCGAGTTAAACCCGGGTCAGGCAGCAGTTCCCTGCACTCGGCAAGATGTTCCCATCTCCCGGATGAGGAAACTGAGGCTCTGAGTTCATGTAGCTTGTCTTCCCTCTCCAGGAGAAATCATCCACGTTCTGATAACAAGAGTGACACATTCACTAACACACGCAGGGGCTTACTCCACGCCAGGTGTGCCGTGACATGATTTATCTTATTTTCCTCTGATTCCCATGGGATAAAGCTGTCGCCATCCCTTAGGACAGACAGAATAAGTACAAGAGGGAGGCAGGAGAGTCAGTGTCCGATTTGAAGATGCAACATACAGTGCTGGCTTTGAAGATGGAATGGGGGTTCTAGAAGCTGGAAAAGGCAAGAAGACGGATTCTCCCCCAGAGCCGGCAGGAGGACCTCAGCCCCGCTGATGCTTGGGTCTCAGCCCAGTGAGACCCATTTTGGACTTCTGACCTCCAGGACTGTAGGATAATAAATTCATGTAGTTTTAAGCCACTAAGTTTGTGGCTACAGCTGCCATAGAAAACAAATGCATGCCCATTTTACAGAGGAGGAGACTGAGGCTCCCCGAGGCTAAGGAGGTTGCATGCGAGCAGTACGGGGTAGAGGTGAGATTCAACGGCACCGTGCTTCTCCTTATAAAAATCACATCGCAGAGAGCTCAGGGGACGCTGTCTGCTTGCTAGTTGGAAGAGGGGCACAAACTTTCCAGGGTATGCAGCCGGGAGTTGAGCCCAGGTCTGCAGGTCTCCCAGAACCTTCCACGGCACTGCACTGCCTGGCTTGGTGTAGGCTCCTGACGGGCAGCTGGTGGAGGTTTAGAGAAAGGGATGAAAAGGTCTGATCAGGCCAGGTGTGGTGGCTCACGCCTGTTATCCTAGCACTTCGGGAGGCTGAGCCAGGAGGATCGCTTGAGCCTATGAGTTTGAGGTTGCTGTGAGCTAGGCTGACGCCACTGCACTCTAGCCCGGGCGACAGAAAAAGGCCCTGTCTCAAAAACAAAACAAAAACACAAAACCCAGAAAAGATCTGATCAAAAGCGGGACATGAGTGGGTGGCGGGGGCGCCATGGCCTCCTCTGGCCGGCGCTTGTTGACTGCTTTTCCTGTGGGTGTGGGCGCTGGGCCTCGGATCTCTGGTGTCCTGGCCCTGTGAGTCCAGGGCTAGAAGGCCAGAGACCTGGCTGGTGGCTGAACTGTGGGCAACTTCAGTGGCAAAGACACGGGCAGCCAGGCCTCACACCCGTCCGCGAGGGGTGCCTCGTCCACGAGAACCTGTCCCCTGGGCAAGGACCTGTCACCACTTTCCATAGCCACCCTGGCTGCCAAAAGGACAGGAACACACGCTCCCAGGAGAGGGGGGACAGCTCAGCTCAGCTCCAGGACCCAAATCCTCTGACCTGGCTTCCTCTGCGTGGGGTAAGTGTCCCCAGCTCTGGGCAGAAGCAGCTTCAACCTACTCCGGTCCTGGTGTTTCTCCCACAACTGGGAGCATCTCTGGCTAACAACAGACACACTCGCGGGGGCGGCTAAAGATTCCCATCTGCACCGTAGGACGCATGCGCGTAAAACAGGCCAATGCCCTTTGAGTGACAGTGACCTCTAGGCTCCACCCCCTTCGATGGCTCCTGTCAGACAGACAGAAACCAAACATAGCCCTGTCTGCAAGGCCGCGGAGAGATCGGAACACCGGTGCATCGCTGGTGGGGTCGTAAAATGGTGCAGCTGCTACAGAAAACAGTACGGTGATTCTGCAAAAAAAAAAAAAAATTAAATACAAAATTACCCTATGATCCAGTAATTCCACTTCCGGGCGTAGACACAAAAGAACTGTAAGCAAGGACTTGAACAGATACATGCTACGAAATGGATGAGCCCTGGGGACATTATGCTAATTGAATAAGCCTGTTACAAAAAAAGACAAATACTGTGTGATTCCACTTCTTTGGGGCAGGTACCTGGAGTAGTCAGATTTCATGGAGACTGAAAGTAGAATGGTGACTGCCAGGGGCTGGGGGGGAGTTAGTGTTTAACATGTTGACAGCCACACTAGAAAAAAATTTTCTTTTCTTGGGGCCATGGTGTTTTATTACAAACATAAAATAAAAACTTTGAAAACAAAACGATCCTTTCTAATTTAGTGAAAAAAGTTATTGTGTATTGTTTTCTGTGCATGAGTTATATGCAACTTGAAAAATGGCTCTTGTAGCTCCCAAGGTGAAGAGACGCATGAGTTACATATGCTTCACGAGGCCCCGGGCGCAAAACTAGTGTGAGTTAAATACAACTCACGTGGCAGTTAAGGTGTTAATGGGTACAGAGTTTCATTTTTGCAAGATGAAAACTGTTCTGGAGGTTGATTGCACAACATGAATGTACTTAATACTACTGAACTAGACATTTAAAAATGGTTAAGATGGTAAATATTGTTAGATATACTTTAACATGGAAAAAATAAAAATCAAAAATACTTCTAGGCTCTGTGTTTCCTATACACTATTTCCCCCCCCCCTTGTTTTTTCCTTTTGAGACAGGATCTCGCTCTGTCACCTGGGCTACAGTGCCGTGGTGTCATCATAGCTCAATGCAACCTCAAACTCCTGGGCTCAAGCGATCCTCCTGGCTCAACCTCCCGAGTAGCCGGGAACACAGGCATGTGCCACCACTGCACTCAGCTAATTAGTTTGTGTTTTGTAGAGACGGGGGTCTCGCTCTTGCTCAGGCTGGTCTCAAACTCCTGAGCTCAATCCTCCTGCCTCAGCCTCCCAGAGTGCTAGGATTGACAGGTGTGAGCCACGGCGCCTGGTCCCTACACACTATTCTGCTATACATTTTACTTCCAAATCTGTGTGTCACATATATTGCACAAAACGGGGAAAATGGGCTGGGGACCACAAAGGAGGGGCTCCCAAACCACCAGAGAGGTGGTTGGGGAAGGCTGCCCGGGGGAATTGCCATTTGAGTTGGGTTTTGAGGGATGAGTAGGAGTCAGCCAGACAAAGGCCAAGAGAGAAGAGATTCCCCAGGAGAAACAGGCTGTGCTCACCAGGAGGTGACTGACAGTGCAGATTCGGGGGTGCACAGTGACAACAGACTCAGCAGGTGGAAGGCGGGTGGCCGGGACTGGCTCACACCAAGCCTTACGGGGCTGAGTGAAAACCTTGTCGCCAGGGCACTTAGAACGGGGAAATCACATTTTGGGAAGTTCCTTCCAGCTGCTCCACAGCATCCTGGCTCGAGGCGGGGAAGGGTTTGTCCACACCTGTTGGGTCACGCAAGCCACAGGGAGGCAGCCTTTCTGTGGCCTGTGTGGGTGACCCTTGTTCTCTTCTCTACCCCATTTCGGCCACGGTGACTCTGAAAGATGAACCCTGGGCACTTCTGGATTTGACAGTCACTGCCCGTGTTTGAAACCAGGCTGAAAAACTAAATCAATCTACAGGATACAAAATCAAGTCAATGGCAAAGTTCTTTTTTCAAAAAAATAGTTTATTCTGCACGTTTCCTGGCAGGCTGTCTGCCCACCCACCGTTCTAGGACAGCAGCTGTTTACAGACTGGTCTTTCCCTTCAAACCCACGGGCGCCTCGCCCGACAGAAAAGCCTGCAGTTCCCAAAGCAGCATCGACTCTCCACTGCCCCCAACAGGCCTCAGGACGGGACCACAGGTGACCCATCTTTCTCCCATCCTTGCTGTCCCCAAACCCACTTTACTTGCCAGGGCTGTCATTGGATGATGGCTGGACTTTTTTTTTTTTTTATTTAAACCTGGACATCCTCAAGCATCCCAGCTTGCAGAGGCTTCCCTGGGCAACCTCGTGGGCTTCCACGTTGGCCAGGCGTAACATTCCGCGACCTCAGCCAGACCTCCCACCATGGCAGCAGGTTGGGGCCAAGTCCCCTGGTCCGCAACTCCAGCCCAGGTGGGAGGGACCCGAGGATGCAGGCCCTGAGGCTGTGCAGGGCTTCAGAGGCAGGTGCCAGAGGTCGCATCGCAGAGCCCTCCCTGAGCAGACTGGCGTGGTCATCACAGTCTGGTCCTTGGTCACCAGCAGCTGGGGCCCACCATGGACATCAAGCCGACAGGGGAGGAAGCAACAGCAATTCAAGGGCGTGGCAGTGACGATCACAACGGTGACACTTGTGCGCGAGTTGGGCCGTGGGTCCAGTGGAGGGCTTCCCCTCCCCCTCTGTACTTGGGCAGGGGGTGCAAGCCCAGGGAGGGTGACCGATCCTGCAGTGGGAGGGGGTGGTCCTTGTTCTCCTTGGGGGGCAGAGGCAGGCAGAGGACCCTGGGCCACATAAAAGACTCCTCCAAAGGCCCTGGAAACTGTAGTCAGGCATCGCATTCATTCTGCACTGGCTCTCTCGAAAAGAGAATCTCCGCTACTGAGCGTGCTCGGCACAGCCCACCAACGCGACATTCCTAGTGGTTCATTCACTAGGGCCACTTTGGGGAACAAATGCCATTTTATTCTCTTAATAAAAAAATCATTCATACCCTTTCCTGGGCGACTAGACAGTATCCAAAGAAGCATCATTACAAAAATAGATTTTCTCTCTAGTCTTGTCTATATGTTATTTTTCTGTGGCCCATTCATTTGGCTGAAATAGACGAGATGCTTACATCAAGTGCTGGTCTTCGAGTACAAAAATAAAAGATTCTGTTATCCGATATCAAGAATACCTGGATCCTGGGCACCAAAAAGTGAAAGGAAATGGATGCTTTGGTTCAATTAGTTTCAGTTGATGCAGCAAAAATGTTGTCTTAAGAGACAGAACAAACTTGCCAGCTATGGAGAGGAGGCTATTTCTGCTTGGAAGGGGCACCCCTGGGCTTCTGCTGAGACAGGAGTCAGCTGGGACCAGCAGCCCTGCAGAAATGCCCAGGACTTTTTTTTTTTTTTTTTTAAATAAGCAACACCTCACTCCCCCACCCCCGAGAGGGTGTGCAAGTCAGCGTGGTTTCTTGCGCCCGTGGTCCTGGGCATGGCTGGGTGGCCAGGGTCACAGGGTCAGCTGGAGGCCGGGCTCTCCAGGTTAGACAGCAGGTGAACGACCTGGGCCCGCTCGGCTGGGCTGATGTGCTGGCTCAGATACACCACGCAGTCCATGGCGACCTCAGGGTTTTCTTGCACCAGGCTGCGGGGCAGGGGAGAGAAGGCCTGGGGTCACTCCTGCCACTTCATGCAGTGGCCCCTAGGGTGGCAGAGTCCTGTGCAGGGCCACATCCCAGAACCCACAGCTCCCTGTTCCTTTCCTGCTGTGGTCCCCATGGGGTGATGGTCCCAGGGAGCGGAAGGGACTAGGGACTAGGACTAGGGACCAGGGGTCAGAATGCCTTGAGGTACCACTGTCGCCAGCTGTGTGATATGACCTGAGACAAGGCACTTCCCGCGAACCTCAGCTTCCTCCCCCAAGTGGGGTGCCCTGTGCTCTGCTACCTGCTTCCCAGGGGACCCCATGGGCAGGGGAGGCTGGCCCCGGCAGAGAGGCCAGCAGCCTGAGCCTGGCAGCCAGAACGCAGGTTCTGGACCCAGCCCCACCTCGCCTGGACAGTCTGCACCGAACCCGGCAGGGAGGACGAGTGGCAAGTGACTCACACCTCCTCAGAGCACCCCGCGCCCGCTCTGTGCCTCGCCCTGCCACTGTGCTGGGAGACTGGGCACAAGAGGGTGCTGTCTCTCTGCTGGGGGGCCAGCCTGACCCCAGGCTGTGGACCTCAGCGCATGAGGCCAGGCCCGAGGCCCTGGGACTACACTCAAGGTCCCAGGGGACTACACGCAAGGTCCCAGGGCCCGCTGTGGAGTCGGGCAGCTGGAGGCGGCCACTCACTCTTCGATGGTCTTAAGGACGAAGTCGTGTTTCAGGCACTTGATGTTCTCGCGGATGGTGGAGTGCAGGCCATCCTCCGCCTGCCAGTGCTGCTCCAGCCATTGCACGACCACCTGGTTATTGTCCCACAGGTAGGCCTGGGGAGGGGCGCAGGCGGCCTCAGAGAGGGGCCCTGCTGCCGGGCAGGCTGCTCCCTGTCCCAGGCACCCCCATGCCCGCTGGCGCGCCCAGCCCCCGCCCAGGCCCACCTTGACGGCGCCCTCCGACTCCACGAACCAGCGGCGCAGCATGGACTGGATGTGCACGTGGCTGAGCGGGCCGCTGGCCTGCAGGATCTCCTGCCGGACCTGGTCCTCCAGGAGGAGGCGGCGCAGGCGCCAGTACAGGAAGGTGCGCGCCGTCTTCCACTCCAGCACGTCCTGCGGACAGGCCCAGGCCTGAGCCCCAGCCCGGCCAGGGCAAGAGGCGCCGGCCCTGGCTCTGACCACACGCCGCCAGCGGCTGTCTGGGGCTGGGCCCAGCCTCTGCGCCCATTTCCCAGGCAAGGAAGCTGAGGCTTGGGGGGGGGGGGACGACGGCACCTGCTCAGGAAGGGGCGGAGCCAGGACTTCGCCGGGACTCTAGACTGGCTATAGGTGAAGAAATGTCCCCCATACAAACCTGGCGGCCACCTGCACCTCTAATGACACAAAACACAGGCTCACACAGAGGCTCAAGCCGGCTGGGAAGGACAAGCTCGGGACTCGGCGGCCGTGGGAAGCCCTTGGGGACAGGTGCTGGGGCAGGGCTGTGGCAGCCGGGGGCTGGGCGCACACGGGCAGGGCGCACACGGGCAGGAACCCTGGCTCCAAACCCGGCCCAGGTGCAAACTGACTGAGGGGTCATAAACACGGAGCGATCAGGTGAGTGGTCCCCAAACTTTGCTGCCTATTGGAATCTCTCGGGAATTTTAAAAAAAAAAAAGCCTTACTGCCTGGCTCCCACCCCAGGTACTTGGACTTGATCCGTCTGGACCGCCACCTGGACGTGGGTTTTTTTTTTTGAAGCTGCCCGGGGGATGGTAACGTGCGGCGCTTGGCCCATGCCCAGCCCCTGTGCTGGAGCCCGGGCGCCCCGCGGCCACCCCGGCCACTCACGGAGATGACGCCCTTCTCCAGCATCCTGCCGGGCGTGTCGTGGAGGTCGGCGAACTGCACCGCCACCTGGTGGTAGATGGGGAGCAGCAGGTCCTCGCGCGCCCGCAGCCGGCCCTCCAGCTCCTTGCGCTCCGCGTCCGACAGCTCGGGCGCCCCTGCAGGCAAGCAGCGAAGCTAGCCCGGCGATCCCAGCAACCTTGGAAGGCGGCCTGGGCTGGGCTGGGCTGGGGTGTTCTTTTTATGAGAGGGCACGGACCTTGCCCCCGGGAGAGCTGCGAGCTCCGATGCTGATGTCACCCTTCCATCGAGTGGAGTCTCAGAAATGCACGCACGAGTGCAAGACGGCACTCGGCATGCAACCGCCAACGTGCCCTCTGTCAGACCCACTGTGCTTGTGGGGTACCACTGATTGCCACTTTAATACATATTGTAAAATGTCATAAGGGAACACTGTAGGAAGCTCTGTGCGGACTTGACAACACAGATGAAACAGACAAATTGCCTGAAACACATAAACTACCAAAGCTTACCCAAGAGGAAACAGATAACATAACTAGCCCCCTACAGAATAAAGAAGTTGAATTTGTAGACTAGAATTAGAAACCTCCTGCCGATGATGTAAAGAAATACTGCCAACTCTACGCAAACTCAGAAAAGAGGAGGGAACACTTTTCTAGCTTATTCTATGAGATCAGCATTACCCAGATACCAGACCAGACAGAGAAATTACACACACACACACACACACACACACGTCGTAATGAATCTTGTGAATAGCACAGTTATGAAGACACTGCCATCTCCTATGGACATTTAAAGAGAATGACATTGAAAGATTACAAGTGAAACAAAGCTACCACCATTCAAGCAAAATTGGTAAAATACTTTATATCTGATTAGGAATTCTAAAGGAACATTTTGCCACCAAAATTATGATGTTTCTCATTGGCCTGAAATACTTGAATTGTTTTATTTTGTGAGTGCTGAGAAATAAATTCACTATGGCATTATATATATATATATATATATATATATATATATGTATGTATTTTTTTAATGTGAAAGAGCTTGATTTAGAAATGTGAATATCTAAAATATCTCATAATTAGTGCAGCCATGCTTTGTTTTGTGCTTATTTTTAACATACTAGAATCCCCCAGCAGGCCAGGCTCAGTGGCTCACACCTGTAATCCTAAGACTCTGAGAGGTCAAGGTAGGAGGATCGCTTGAGCTCAGGAGTTCAAGACCAGCCTGAGCAAGAGTGAGACCCCATCTCTACTAAAAAAAATAGAAAAATCAGCCGGGCATGGCGGCGCATGCCTGTAGTCCTAGCTACTGGGGAGGCTGAGGCAAAAAAGGATCGCTTGAGCCCAGGAGTTTGAGGCTGCAGTGAGCTATGATGAGGCCACTGCACTCTACCTGGGGTGACAGAGTGAGACTCTGTCTTAAAAAAACAAAACAAAACAAGCCTCTAGCAACAGAGCCAGCTGGGCCTCTCATGACCTCTGAGGGATGACACCTTTGGGACCCTCTTACCTAGCTGTTCCATCAGCTTCTTGTAAGCTGGGTCGAGCCTTCGCATGGACTTTATCAGATCTTTCTTTCGGAACTTAATCTCCACCGTTCCCTCTGGCTCCAGAACACCCCCCCTGAAAAGAGAAGAGGCAGGGATGGGGGTGTAGGAGGTGTCGCCCAGCAAGGGACAGCTCGTGGCTTGGAAGAAGTGGGTGGCAAGAGAGCCAGGGGACTTGGGTGTCAGTTCTCAGCTCCGTCACCGACACACTGCGAGCCCTTGGGCAAGTCACTTCCCCTCCCTGGGCCTCTGTACCTATATCCACAGACAGAGAGACTGAGCCAACTGTTTAAAATAATACTTTCTGAAGTCTGGAGGGCCATTTCAGGGCCAAAAGGTTCTCCATGACAGCATAACCTCCCTGCTCTTCAGCCACTGTCCTTTCTGACTTTGCTAATTTCTGCTCTTCTAGAGCTGGGGGACTGTTTCTGATCTCTTTAAAGCTCATAAAGGCACAACCAGAGGCCAGCGAGGTCCTGTCCCAGCCACCCTCCTATCTCTCCCCACCCTTTTGCTTTAGACAGCTTGGAAGCCCTGTGATAGGTAGCTCTGAGCTTCCTGGTAGCCAGAGTGAAAAGTTAATGATGACACCATTCGAGTACTGCTCCGTATCCTGTCTTCCTGGAGGATTGGCCTCGGCAGCCCCCCAATGAGGGTACAGGCGCCCTGAAGACAGGGCAGGCTCAGTTCCTTTGCCACCATATCACAATGATTAGCATAATGCACAGCACATAGGGCATATAGTAGGTACTCAATAAATACCCATTGAATTAATGAGCATGGGGCCGGGCGCAGTGGCTCACGCCTGTAATCCTAGCACTCTGGGAGGCCGAGGCGGGCGGATTGCTTGAGGTCAGGAGTTTGAAACCAGCCTGAGCAAGAGCAAGACCCCATCTCTACTATAAATAGAAAGAAATTAATTAACCGACTAAAATATATAGAAAAAATTAGCCGGGCATGGTGGTGCATGCCTGTAATTCCAGCTACTCAGGAGGCTGAGGCAGGAGGATTGCTTGAGCCCAGGAGTTTGAGGTTGCTGTGAGCTAGGCTGACGCCACGGCACTCACTCTAGCCTGGGCAACAAAGCGAGACTCTGTCTCAAAAAAAAAAAAAAAAAAAATGAGCATGAATGAGGGAGTGCACATAGGAACGGTGTGCCTATGTTTTGGGTAGAACTACTCTTGAGGTCTTTACATCTTGTACAGCATATAGTTTTCACTTGGAAGCCATCAATCATGGTGTTGCAAGCATTATTGCCATTTTCCCTTCTATAAGAGTCCCTGGGATAAATTCCTCCTCAAGAAATGCCAAGGCCGGGCGCGGTGGCTCACGCCTGTAATCCTAGCACTCTGGGGGGTTGAAGTGGGAGGATTGTGTGAGGTCCGGAGTTTGAGCCCAGCCTGAGCAAGAGAGTGAGACCCCGTCTCTACAAAAACTAGAAAAATTAGCTGGGCATGGTGGCACATGCCTGTAGTCCCAGCTGCTCAGGAGGCTGAGGTGGGAGGATGGCTTGAGCCCAGGAGGTTGAGGTTACTGTGAGCTGTGATGATGCCAGGGAGACAGAGAGAGACTCTGTCTTCAAAAAAGGAAATGCCAAGAAGGTTTCTCTCTCATGAAGAACTGATTTCTTCTCATGCAAGTATTCATTCAGTTATTTGTTTAGCCAGTATTTCCTGACCGCTTATAGGAATGAGGAACTGTGGTAGGCCCTGGGTCACGAAACTGAACAAAATAGCCTCTACAGAAACTCATAGCTTTGGGAGAAACTCAGAGTCTAATGAGAGAAGAACAGCTCATCATATTTCCCTTTTCATCCTGGCTGCTAGGAAACTCATGTGCTTTTAGTCTTTCCTTTTTATGTTTTGATTGCAAACTTCCGTGGGAAGGAGATGAGCATAACCTTTGAAAGAAGATACAACATTCCTCCACCACCTTGGGGCTCCAGCTCCTTACTCTCTTGGGAAAATCCAATCGTACACAGACTTAGTTCCCAACTGGTAAAACTGGAGGTCCTCCTTCCTTCAGAAACTCAGGATAACCTTTGTGATCCCCAACCAGTGGCTCGAAGGTGATGGGGCTCAAGACTGGGAGGACAAGAAAAGGCCAGGCCAGGCTGAGGGCGACACACTCACCTGCTCTCCTTGTCTGCGTACATCTCTATACACAGGGGGTTGATGGTGGCGTCTATGACCACCCAGGAGCCCCCCCGGAGCTCTGCGTAGGGGGGGATGTAGATCAGGACAGGCTGCTTGTACTTCCTGAGGCCGTCCACTATGTAGGCTCCGAACTTCAGCACCTGGTCGTACATGTCTGAAAAGCACAGCAGCCGCGGGCTCAGGCGACTTCGGGCCCTCCACTCGCCCGCGTGCGAAGCCACCGTCCTGATCGTCCCGGGGTCCCAGAGACAGCCCGCTCAGCTGGGAGGCTCGCAGAGCCCTGGCCAGGGGTGGGGAGCACAGATGGCTCCCCAAGTGGCTGTGTGATTCTGTCACTCACCCAGCAAGGCCCTGGGTGTCCCTATCTGTGAGGGAGGCACGGGGAGTGACCAGTCTCTGGGATCCTCGCCTGTGACTGCCCCCAACCTGCCCTGCCGTTTCCAGCACACGGATCCTCCCCCATCCCCCTTTCGTCCACCAACACCCCCCCCCCAAGTGCCCAGTGGCTCTGCGCTATGCTGATCGCGCAAAAATAGCATCCACAGAGTCACGCCACGTGCAAAGGACTCGCTCGCACGGTCCTCACTGTGGCTTCTCGCATCGGTCACCCCCCTTTCACAAAGCAGGGAAACTGAGGCTCAGTGAGGGCCCCAGCTAGCAAGGATTCATGGCAGATCCAGCTCCTCCCTCCAGCTCGGTCCTCAACACCCTGCTGGCAGCCGTTGTCTCTCGAAATGCGCTCAGGGGCATAGAAAGCTCACTAAGGTCACACGAGGCTCAGCGCAGCCCCTTGCGGCAGGCAGGGCAAATGCACGCCCTCCCTCAGCACCTTACTAGGCGGGAGGCGTCTGCCCGGTCACTTCTGGGGCTGCCCTGCCTGCATGCTGCGACCTCTGCAACGTCCCTCTGCCTCCATCCCCCGAGTCCTCATCTGTAAGATGGGACAACGGTACCTGGACCGCTTCCTGGGCTCGGGGCTGTCGAGACGTGCCCACCCCAAGGCAGCCTCGTGACGGGGGGGGCTTACCTTTCATGCCCCCCGAGAACCCCCTCCAGTTGGCGAAGATCAGAAGGGGCAGCTTCTCCCTGCTGAAGTCCTCGATGGCCTGGGCCGTCTTGTAGGCCGAGTCTGGGAACCACACTTGGCCCGCCTGCTGGATCACCTGGGACACAGAGCCGCCTGCATCAGGCGCCTGTCTGTCCCAGGGCACAGGGACAGCCACTGGAGCCTGGCCCGGGAGGGCGGGCAATCCCATCCGTGTGGGCGCCGCTAGCAGAGCCCGGGCTCAGAAGGAGGGCCATGGCCCGGGACCCCGATAGACCCTCACGCTGCAGCCCAGTGGGGTTCCGTGGTCCCCATGTCAGGCTCAGACAGGTACTGAGCTAGCCGGCGTCACACTGTTCCTAGGACCCTGCTCTGTGACTCCTGGGCTCTGCCCAGCATGCTCTGTGGCCTAGCGCAGGAACAGCAGCAGGGGCAGGTCGGGAGGCAAACCTGGGACCTGTACCATCCCCTGAAGACGGAAGATGGTGCATGGCACTCATTGTGCATCCCACAGAGAAAGCGCCAGAAAAACAGGCACCAGCCCCCTGGGGCCAAGGACCACCGGGTCCCCCCTGCTTCTCCCCCCCTCTGAGCTGGCACGGCGGGTGTGGGACCCCCACGCCCAGCACCCACCGTCATGGGCAGAGCCAGCTGCACCAGCAGCCGCAGCTCCCCGCCCCTCACCTTGACCTCGGAATCCAGGTTGGCGGGGTCCGCCGGGACCACCAACTCCACGGAACGCGTCTCTACGGCGATCACTCCGACGGGGATCCCACCCAGCCTGGAAGGCGAGCACAGGTGAGCCAGGCCCCGGGTGGCACCCCAGGCGGATCTCGGAGGCACCTGGGTCCCCCCGGCCCAGCCGTGGCATTTCTGGGTGCAGGCAGGGGAGGATGCTATTTTTAATCTGGCAGATCGTTTTATTAAAAGGCAAAGGAAATGCCCCAAAGCGTGAAGAGCCTCCCAAGTGGGCAGACCTGTGGGTCTCCTTATCAGGGCAAGAACTGCCACAGGAAGGTTGGGACAGTGCAGGGTCTGGAGCAGCAAGGTCCACTAGAACCTTCTGTGACGAAGGCTATATTCTCTGCGCTGCCCAATGCGGTAGCCACAAGCTGCACGTGGCTGCTGAGCACGTGAGACGTGGCGAGTGCCACTGAGGAACAGAAGAGGTCACCCTGTTTCACTTTAATACACTTAAATGTATTTCCTTCCTTCCTTCATTTATTTACGATACAGGGTCTCACATTATAACCCCGGCTGGAGTGCAAGAGGCACGATCATAGCTCACTGTAGGCCTGAACTCCTGTGCTCAAGTGATCCTCCTACCTCCACCTCCCAAGTAGCTGGAACTACAGGCTCACCTCACCATGTCCAGTGGATTATTTTAAATTTTTTTAAGTTTTTGCAGAGATGGGGTCTTGCTATGCTGTCCAGGCTAGTCTGGAACTCCTAGCCTCAAGCAATCTTCTCACCTGGGCCTCCCAAAGTGCTGGGGTCACAGGCGTGATCCAACGTTCCTGGCCTTCACTTAAATTTAAACTTCAATCATCACATGTGGCCAGCAGCCACCACATGGGACAGCGCAGGTCTAGACACCAAGCCACACTTGGAAAGGGATGAGGGACGTGACCCTGACCGAGATTCAGCTCAGAGGACTACGACAAGGGCTCCTGCCCGTGGCCCTCCCGAAACGGAATTCCCAGCAGGCGGTGTCTGTGTAGTTTTCCAGAGAGGGCACCCAGGGCCACCTTCCGACTCCCAGGGGAGTCTGTGGCCCTCGTGGCTGGGGGAGTAACCAGAGGGGAGGGTCCCAGTCCCAGAAGGAGGTCACCTGAGATGCCTTCTAAGGCCACAGACAATTCAGATTTAATGAGGAGTTCTAATATCCAGAAAACCATTCCCACAAATTGAATTTTTTGTTCAGAAAATCCTGGAGCCAAGGAGAAAATGTCCCTGGTGGCCCCCTCCCCGATCCTCACGTCTAATGCCTGGGGTCCCAATGCCCGGCGTGGCCAGGTGTATGCAGCCTGCTCCCGTCCTCCGGGTTACCTCGCTCGTCCTGTCACCACGGTCTGGGCCCAGGGTGCCATGATTTCCTTGAAGCTGCCCTGGTCGAAGAATCCGCTCTGCCAGGCCCCCTTCAGAGCTGTGGGCAGAAAGGCATGAGGCCAGGCCAAGGGGCCGGGGGAACGAGGTCCCCAGGGAGCGCCTGGCTGGGGAGACCGTTCTGCACCCTCTCTAATGACAGCCCACCTTGAACCTCATGGCCCAAATGCCCCTTCCCCCCCAAGACTACACAGATCCCCACCCCTTGCCAAAACAACAAAAACAAAAACAACAAAACAATAAACACCAAAATAAACAGGGCTGTAAAAAATATGCAAAGTTAGGAATTCAGCCTATATGGAACATCCAACCACCACCAACTTCCTATCAATACCTAACACCCCAAGACCCTAATCACAGGCTCCAATTTCTATTCCCAAGAGGCAAAGCGAGCTGACGGATGTCTCCCGGAAGGTGGGATTTCAGGGAGGGACCACCGGCTCGGAGAAGTCCACCCCTGACGCGCTGGCGGCTGTTGGCTGCAGCTTAATCATCATTAAACCGGGGAGAAAGTCTTCAATTTCCCAGAGAGAGAAAGAATATGATGATGTCAACTACAGCCACCGCTGGGGAGGAAACAGTGACTTTAATACTCTCCGCGGTGGCAGTTTTGACAAGGAGAGGGGAGTCAGACAGGTGAGGGGTCGCAAGGTGCAGGCATGGGAGGCTGAGCGCTGCAGGGAGACGACATCGGGGAGAAGGTGAACATTTTTTTTTTTTTTTGAGACAGAGTCTCGCTTTGTTGCCCAGGCTAGAGTGAGTGCCGTAGCATCAGCCTAGCTCACAGCAACCTCCGACTCCTGGGCTCAAGCAATCCTCCTGCCTCAGCCTCCCGAGTAGCTGGGACTACAGGCATGCGCCACCATGCCCGGCTAATTTTTTCTATATATATTAGTTGGCCAATTAATTTCTTTCTATTTATAGTAGAGACGGGGTCTTGCTCAGGCTGGTTTGGAACTCCTGACCTGGAGCAATCCGCCCGCCTCGGCCTCCCAGAGAGCTAGGATTACAGGTGTGAGCCACCACGCCCGGCCAACATTCTTTAATTGAGATGAGGAGCCCCTTGAGATAGCTGAAGAGAGCCACAGGACTCCTCTCGCTGGCCGGAGTCCGGCAGGCCCCTGAGGGTCACCTCTCCCGCGTTGCCTGGCTGGAGGACCTGCCGGTGTCTACGGGGAGCGGCACGTGAAATCCTAGACTTGGGGTACAGTGACCAGGAGCTCAGCTTTCCCGTCCTGTTCTGGTTGCTCAGAATGAAATAATATACTTCCAAGAGATAAACCCTTCCCTCTCTGAGAAAGCCAGAGGAATGTGTGTGTGCATGTGTACATATGTGTTCACACGTGTGTGTGTGCGTGTGCGTGTGTGTGTGTAGAAGAGGGCAAATTGCCCATTTTGGATAAACTCACAGAGAGTTCCTTTGTGAAGGTTTAGCCAAAGAGAGAGAGATCCCTGATGTTACCCCGGGGCACTCAGTGGAGGGAGGTCATGACCACCCCTGTACCTCGCTTCCATCTATTAGCCCCAGAAACCAGAGGCTGCTTTCTATCCCTTCTTGGTCAATGGCTCAAGAAAAGCATTCGGTAAAATCTTCATTCCTCCACTCCCCCTGCATATGCTCTTGGGGTACTTCTCTTGGATATGGGATGAAATATTAATGCTTCTACTTAAGTGCTCCTTTATCCAAGGCCCAGGAAAGAAACCCAGGACTCAGGACCTAGGCAAAACACTTTAGGACTTACTTGGGTGAGGCCTTCCTGCAAGCATCCACCGGGGGTCATAGGGCGCTCTGGATGGGAGGAATTCAATTTCTCTGTCAATGGGGTCAGTAGGTGTGATGACAGGGACTGGGCTGTGATTATCCTAAAAAACAAAGCCAAGTTTCCAACTCAGTCTCTGGCGCTTGTCAATAACGCCCCTGCTCTGCTATTTGTGCTGTCTCCTTTGACTATGATTGTGCCTAGTTATGTAGCAATATCCCCTCCCTAGGACTCTGAAGCCACTGTTGTGATTGGAAAATGCCAGACAAGGATTGGCCATCCCATGGATTCTTTTGAAATCTAGTTTGTGAGCTCCTGCATGGGCTTCAGGGTGGGGATGGATTCAGGGACGTTGGGAAGTGAAAGAAAGGCGGGAAAGGGTTGCTACCGCTACATAAGGCTAGATGAGAGGAAAAACATGGTCTAAGAAAGAAAGAAAAAGATAGACCAGCTGCAGATAGTGGTAACGGTTGGCATGCAGATGGCGAAAGGGGCACTCGGGAATAACAACTAACATTTGTGAAAATATTTTAAATTTGAGGATTTTTGGCAGAAGGTCCGGAATGAGCTGAACTCTGGAAAACAACCTTTCAGAGATAATTACGATGAAGAATAATGACCTCACTCATCTGTACAGAACGTCACAGTTAACTGTGTCCACTATTATCTCACTCTTAACACGACTGTTCAGTAGATCTCCTACGAACCAGGCAGGACAAGCATCGTCACCAAGCATCCAATGACTGAAGAGGCAGTTCCCCAAATGTCTGCCTAGCGGATGTCAAGTTAACGAAGCCCCACCTGAACTAACTAGTCGTCACCATCATGAGTAGCAGGTGGGGGTGGCCTACCAAGTTCTGAGCTCTAAATAGCATTGCACTTCATCACCATGACAACACCATGGGCTAGGTGCTGTGATCATGCCCACTTCACAGATGAGGAAACTGAGGCTCAGAAAGATTAGGAGGCTGGGCCAGGGTCACCCAGCTACTGAGGGGGAAGCCAGGATTCAAATCTAGCTCGAATGTTGGAATATTGAGGGTTCTCTTATTGTCCGACGCAGGCTCTGTTGTCAAGGGGCAATGCTACCCCTTTTTAAAGGACCGATAGACAGCCTCCTTACAATGGCATTAGTGCAGCCCAAACGACAAAGAACAGCTAGGACAGGGCTAGGCGTCAGAGAGCGAAGAAGGAAAGAAAAATCCTCCCCAGCCACATTTGCAGGGCTTCCTGCCCCGCACTCAGGATGTGACAGGGACACAATTAGCAAATGAGCTTGATAACAGAGTCTCCCAGACTCCAGGGAGGATACTGTACCTTTGGCATATAAGACAGCCACTCCAGGATAGTATAGACCCCCTCAAAGTCATCCGGCACGGTGATGTGGGACACGCCGTTATAATGCATGATCTGCACGCCCCCCAGCTGGTTGTTGGATGTGTAGACCTCTCTTCCCAGGACCTGCTTGGACACGACATGGTTAGCAAAGTCCTGCCCGGCTCAGGGCTCTCCTACCTGTTCAGAAACCATCTCACTCAGTGGCTCTCAAACCTGGCTGTACTTTAGAATCATCTGGAAGATTTCAAAACTCCCAAAGCCCAGGCTGCACCCAGGCCAATGACATCAGAATCTTTGGGACTAGGACCCAAATGCATCAATGTTTCATTTTTTTAAAATTTCCAGACAATTCCAATACACAGCCCAATTTGCAAACCAGTGACACAGCTGACTACTTTGGCCATCTCAAGAGCAAAACGCAGCCAGGCACGGTGGCTCACACCTGTAACTAGCGATTTGGGAGGCCATTGTGGGAGGATCACTTGAGGCCAGGAGTTTGAGACCAGCCTCGGCAACGTGAGACTCTGTCTCTATAAAAAATTTAAAAATTAGCTGGGCGTGGTGGTGCAAGCCCAGCTACTCAGGAGGCCGAGGCAGGAGGATGGCTCGAGCCCAGGAGTTTGAGGTTGCAGTGAGCTATGATGACGCCACTGCACTTCAGCCTGGGTGACAAAGTGAGACCCTGACTCAAAAAAACACATTTTTTTGGTAAATGTCAGTAACACAAGGAGTTGGTGCCTAAAACGTTTTTTGGCTCCAAAAAAAGGCCCAGAAAATTGCAAATTGGAAGAATAGCTCTCATATCTACAGGAATGGGACCTATCGAGAACCTCCCCGCTCCATCAGAGGGCAATGGGAATGTTAACAAGACCCCGGCCCCCACCAATCCCCTCAGGGAGGCGCCTTCCCTGTCACCTTGTTGAGAGCACCTGCCCCCGTGAGGATGATGTGGGAGTTCTCCACCTGGATCACTCGCTGGCCCAGCCTCACCAAGTAGGCCCCGATCCCAATCGCTCGGCAGGTCACCTGCAGGGAGAAGAGGCCTTTGGAATTCCCGAGAGTGGCCCGGCACCCCGATCTCCACGGCAGGGGCGAGCCCGGGGCCCGCCGGGCACGCACGGCCAACGGCAACCTGACTGGGGGCCAAAGGACAGAGGCGAAAGCCTATTTCTCAGCCCCCTCCCCACCCCCCGAGTGAGCTTGGCTTCCCATCTGGCGAGAACACGGCCCACAAAGAGGATCGTCGTCAAGATGACCATCAGACTCTACTGAATGCCTGGGACACCAAGAGGCCTGTGTGTCGCTCCCCCGAGCTCAGCCATTCGTGAGCAATCACAGCCTCTTGCAAAACCACAAGGACGTCTGTGAGTGCGGGTACAAGCTAGTGGAAGCCCGAGAAAGTCTGTACTGACAGTATATTGCAGCAACATCAACTTCCTGGTCTTGCTAAGGTACCATGGTGACAGAAGATGCTGTCACAGGGGAAGCTGGGGGAAGGGTTTATGGGGATCCTCTATCTTGTAACATCTGGTGGGTCCAACTATTTCAAAATAAGAAGACACCTATCTATGAACCGCCTAGAGAACAAGCCTAAGCAAGGCACTTACGGCCAGCACCAGCTACCTTAGAGGCGAAGATTTAACTTTTCATGTAAAAATAAGGCCTTGAACGACAGTTTAATCATTAAAGAGTGCTATTGCTATTAGGTCATGAAATATGAAATGTCCGATTTCAAATCTAAAGTTTAGTTTATTATATCTCAAACAAGCAGGGGCACGATGAAAGCGTGCGCCTAAACTAGCAACACGGCGTTGCCATCTTAGCGGCAGCTTGCTTATGCCGGCAGCAAAGCAGCCAGCAGCGAGTGGCGATGAAATCGTGAAAGGTTTCTCATAGGTTGTTGAGAATTGAATATTTTTCCGTGCAAGCAGTGGTCCCAAGCCTGGAAGAAGTGGTAAGCAGTCGGTGCAAGGTCCGATGGCGGATGACAGAGGGTTTCCAAGTCCAGGTTCCGCAGTGTGAGCAGCGTTGTTTTTTTGCAACATGTAGCGTTGCAAGAGGACTGGCTTGTGTCTAGTGACCAATCCCGGCTGCTTAATTGCAACTGTCCTCATCATTTCGTCCAACTGGACATCCGCTGTAATTGACCCACCAGGTTTTGTCAAGCTGGAGTGGATAATGCCAGCGCTGGACCACCAAACAGACACCATTAGCTTTTTCTGATGACTATTCAGTCTTGGACTGTATTTTGGCATTTAGTCTTTTTCCAGCCATTGTGCTGAATGCTTGCAATTGTCAAAATTCGCATAACAATACGGTATCGAAACGGCTTGCCTTTATGTTGTGACAGCAAAGAAAGGCAAGCTTCTAGATTTCTCTTCTGATGTTTGTTTAATTCACGCAGTGCCCATCTATCCAGCTTCTTTGTCTTGCCCATTGCTTTCAAATGGTCCGATACTGTTGGAATAATAATATCAAATCTTGCTGCTAATTCACAAGTATGCTGAGATGGATCCGCTTCCACGACGGCTTTCAGCTCACCATTATCCATCCACCTTGGTCTCAGGTCCCCCACCTGGCTCATTTTCAAGATTGAAATCACCACAATGGAACTTCTCAGACCATCCATGTACTGTGCATTTATTAGCCACATCCTTCCCAAACACTTCGTTGATATTTTGAGCCGTCTGCGCCCCACTGGTTCCACGACAGAACTCGTATTTGAAAATAACACGAAGTTTTGACTTATCCATGGTCAAAGTGAAATGTCAGAGATAATCGACTCTCAAACTCAGCACTTAAGAAAATCGGACATTTCATCATACTTAATGACCTAATGCTGCTGTCGCTGCTACTACTGCTACGAGACACAGAAAATATTTAGCAAGCCCATGGGGAGGGGATGGGGCATGCCAGTTACAGTCAGACACAAGTTCTTCCAAACGCTCAATACCACTGAGATAAGAGGAGATTGGACCCTGATCCAAATAAGGCAACTATAAAAAGGTATTTCTGAGATAACTCCTAAAACAGAAACCAAAACTGGGTTCCGATGATATTAAGGAGTTGTTGATTTTGGGGGGCGGGGGTGTAGTAATAGTATCACAGTTATGTAAAAAAAAGGAGAGAAAAAGCCCTCATCTCCTTATCTGTTACAGATCCACCCTGAAGTATTGCTGAGTGAAAAGACGCAAAGGGGAACTGGCTTTAAAATATTCTAAGCGGGGTGGTGGCGGGCGGACAGAGGTCGCAGGGAGGAAACCGGAAGGGCTGCCACGGATGACCGGGGGAGCTTCGTGACACGCACATGGCGCTTGTCATTGAGCCTCTCTACTGGGACTATTTGAAAGTCTCTCTGACGGAGAGCTGAAAAAGAAAAGGAAGTAGGAGGGACTCACCAAGCTAATGGTGACGACCTCTTCGTAAGCCAGGGAGGACTCCCCGGCGATTGTGCCCGAGCCCCTGAGATTCTCCACGCCCAAGCCATCGTCCTTCCCAATGACATCCGTGATGACGTATCTGCCAAAACCCAACACAGGTGAAAGACCGAGCTCTGACCCAGAAAGCCCCAAGGACCCGAGGCAGGAAGGACGGGGCAGTACGGGGAGAGACCGAAAGTGGAAAAGAAGCCAGAGGCTAAAAGAAAGCAGGGAACTAGAACCCTCATGACGGGTGCTAACATTTCTAAAATGTACAGCATCAAAAACTGTCACCCTGTCTGTCCCTTGACCTAAGATATCTGCCTGTTCAGAGGCTGCCTTAGTAAAATGTCACTCCACCCCGCATTCCTCTAAAAGCGTATCTAGAATGGCATTTGGTGCTACAGAGAGATGGGGGTACACAGCTGAAGCCTGTTCACAGTCAAGATTCCATGACCACGTAAGCCTGTCCAGTGAAACCCGTTAGAGAGTCGCAAAGCACTTCAGCATGTTAAAGGTTCTGACAAGTCCTGCACAGTACAGACGCTTACTAAATCTCATTTAACCCAGTAGTTCCCAAACTCATCTGACTATGGGAATTTTTTTTCTCTCCCACATATCACTAACTAACATTCCAGAAAACCCAGTCTAGGAATTCCTGATTTAGTCAACCCCACTAAGAAAGACACAACTGCCTTGGATGTCCTCAAAGAGCAGATCCTTGCCCTGCCCGTATCTTCCCACCTTGCCAAATCACCGCTGCACCTGTTCTGCTATAATTTGGTCGTAAAGTGTGAGCTTGTGGCTCGTGGGACATCCTGAGAATTAGACCCAATCTAATTCTCCCTGCAGGACGTGCTATTTTTGTGGAAGGGGCGACTCATTTTCGAATGACAAGGATGGGTTCACCCTGGAGAATGTCCCAAATGTTTAAGTCATCAGTGCCCCCCCCATGGAAGCTTAGGGGTTCCACTGTATAAACCACCACCACCCCACTTGAAAATATCAATCACCACAAGCCCGGAGGAAATGAGACAGATTCCCTGTTACCAACTGATATGAGCCATGAACAAAATTAAGGAGCTACCCGATGAGTCATTTACCTGGATTCTCCTCCTTCCTCAATGTGTTTACAGTGGACGGAGTTCAGGGAGCTGATTCTGGTGTAGTCTTGCGGGCTCAAGTACAGGTACTTAAATCCCTTAAAAAATAGACTTCAGTGAGGCTATGAATCCAGTTAACTGCACTGACAGCCACTGTTTTTTTTAAAAAATGTCAATATGGTAGGGGTAAATGTTAACATGCTAATAACATGTCAATAACACTTTAATATGCCTGATGTTAATACCATGTTAATAATAGCTATCAGCTGAAGGTTGGCTTTGAGCTAAGTCCTTTCCGCCCATCCTTACAACACAGCCTCATGCTTTTCCTGGTTTTCCTGAGTCGCCATTTCTCAGTCTTTTCCTTATTGCTCCCCTAAGGAGCCTTCTCTGAAATTTTAATTTAATGAAATTTTTTTTTTTTTTTTGAGACAGAGTCTCACTTTGTTGCCCAGGCTAGAGTGAGTGCCGTGGCGTCAGCCTAGCTCACAGCAACCTCAATCTCCTGGGCTCGAGCAATCCTCCTGCCTCAGCCTCCCGAGTAGCTGGGACTACAGGCATGGGCCACCATGCCCGGCTAATTTTTTCTATACATATATATTAGTTGGCCAATTAATTTCTTTCTATTTATAGTGAAGACGGGATCTTGCTCTTGCTCAGGCTGGTTTTGAACTCCTGTCCTTGAACAATCTGCCTGCCTCGGCCTCCCAGAGTGCTAGGATTACAGGCGTGAGCCACCGCACCTGGCCTAATTTAATGAAATTTTAATATTAAAGATATCCTGTTTATGTCCTGTTTACGTACCCTGCATGCATATATATGTACACAAAAATATTTTAATGCCACCCCAAAGAAAATTCCCCCCCCGGGGGGGGGTGATGTTTAATATCACCCCCCACCCCAAGAATGCATGTATTGGTTGGAAAGAATGACTATCCTCGATCGATTCTCACATCCCAAAATGTGTGCTGTTATCTCATTCGTCTTGCCCTTGCTCCTCTGCGCACCTGCTGATGATCCTTAAGAACTCTCTGAGGCCGGTGGCAGCGTATTACCTGCATTCAGGAGAAGCTCAGCAGGTACCAGCTCAGCCTTTGTAAATTTTATTTCATTATCAACCCCCTAAGGAGCGTTTTTAGACATTTTTTTTCCTAATCACCACCCTCCCCACCAATGAAATTTTAAAACCACTGCTATACTGCAAGGTAGTACCCATCTACCTGCCCTTTACACGGAAGAAGAGTAAGATTTGTTCCCGCCCTCTTGCAGTTGCTATAACCCCGACTGCAAAGACGTGAGCAGAACGGAATCCCCCTGCCACGCCAGCTTCACCACGTACTTTCTGGGGGTCTTCTGGGTCCACCCAAGCCACCTGGAACATGTGCTTGATCTCCTCCGCCATGCCGATGCGGGCCCCGCTGTTGGCCGCCACGTAGATTTGGGGGATGCCCTCTGCCCGGGCCATCTCGGATGCCCGCAGGTACAGAAGGTCCTCCCCTGGGCCAAAGGACCCGATGCGGAAGGTGATGTCGTTGCCGATGACAATCACGTCCCGCCCTTCTGGATACTCCTGGGTCTTTAGCCTCATTTTGAAGGCCACCATGCCTACCTAGCAAGGAGAGGAGCGCACAGGGAAGAAGAGCCTGTTTGTTGAGGGGCAGCTTTGCGCAAAGGGTGAGTGTGGCCGGGGCCGGGCTCTGCTGAGCGTTACCTCGTTTCCGCCAGGAAGCCGGTTCATCTCCACCAGCTGGCCCTGGGGGTCCAGCACTAACTCGGTGTACACCAGGATGTCTTTGGGGTACTTGTCTGGGGAGCCCCACAGTTTAAAGAGAGCCTGGGGAGAGTGGAGGGAAGAGGAAAAACTCGAATTCATTGGATGGAGATGATCTGTCATGATTTCAGTGTGAATTTTCTAGTTCTTTCTTTTTTAATCATGCAATATTTGAAGCATACAAAAAAAAAAAAAAAACCCTATGTAGAATAATAAATAAACACCCAGGCAAAGCCAACTGGTGGCTTTGTCAAATCTTAATATTTCTATAATTGCATAAGATTTTTTTTTCTTTTTTTCTTTTTTGAGATAGAGTCTCACTCTGTTGTTCCAGCTAGAGTGCCATGGCGTCAGCCTAGCTCCCAGCAACCTCTAACTCCTGGGCTCAAGCGATCCTCCTGCCTCAGCCTCCCAAGTAGCTGGGACTACAGGCATGCGCCACCATGCCCGGCTAATTTTTTCTATATGTTTTTAGTTGTCCAGCTAATTTCTTTCTATTTTTAGTAAAGATGGGGTCTCACTCTTGCTCAGGCTGGTCTCAAACTCCTGAGCTCAAATGATCCACCCATCTCGGCCTCCCAGAGTGCTAGGATTACAGGTGTGAGCCACCACGCCTGGCCATTGCTTAAAATTTTTGAAAGAAATAAGAAAAATGCAGTTGGAGCCCCTGGTATACCCTCCCCCTACTTCTCCCCACCCTCCTCTCCGCTCCACCCCTGAGTAACCGTTAGTGACTGCCAGTGCTCAGCACGGTTTCTTATGTCTTTACTTTGTCATTCATGCATACGTTGAAAATGCACAGTATTATTTAAACAAACTTTAAATAAACGGCACCATCCTGGACACATCCTTCAGCAACTTACGTTTTCTACTCCCCGTGATGTTTGTGAGATTTTTCTGTGTTGATAAATTTAGCTCTTGAGCCCTGCTGTTCGGTTTTCCATGGTATGAATATACCACGAGTTATTTACTCATCACCACACTTAGGAACATGCAGGTTGTTTCCAGTTCTACGCTATCACCCAGGAGGCTGTAATGAACATTCTTATGGCCTCTTCTTAGAAGCAAGGCTGAGGGTTTCCCCAACACACACACCCAGGAGAACTGCTGGGTACCAGGAAATGTGAACCTTCTACTATCACTTGACATTATCAAATAGCTTCCAAGTTTTCCGAACCCCTTTACAAGCCCAGTGAAAACATACAAGAGCTCCTTTGCCCCATACATTCTCCAACATTTGGTTCTGCCAGATTTTTAAATGTCTACCCATCTGCCGGGTGGGAAATTGTATTGTGGTATTGATCCGCACTTTGCTGATTATTAATGAAGTGAGCGCCTTTAAGATGCTTGCCAACCATGTGAGTTTCTTTTTGGCAAGTTTCCTGCTTACAACTCCTGCCTGTGTCTTTCATAGTTTTGCTTTTTGTTTTTCCCTGATTGATTTATAAGCGTTCTCGAGATCATTTAGTTGATGATAATAGGCACTGAAATGTATTCGCCCAATCTGGGGCTTAATCTTTTCTCCTTTGTGTAAACAACTTGTAAGTTTTGACATAAATGTATGGGGCTTTTCCTGTATTTGCTTTTCCTGTATCCTGTTTGTGCTTTTAACTGACTCCCAGTGGCTTTCATTTTCCAACGTACATTTTAATAATCAGAAAAGTATAGCAAAACGTTATTTTTTAAAAGTAGACAAAAGCCTCCTCCAAGGCAGCGACCCCATCCTCTTCCTCGTGGTCTATCTAGCCTGAGAATGGTGTCCGCCAAGTACCAGGTACTTAATAAATGACCATGAAAAAGATCACAAGGAAACACATCAAAATGTTAAGCAATTTGTCATTAGGGTGTGGGACTACGAGTTACTTTTTAATTTTTTCCATTGTCCTTTAATTTCCAAAGTTTCCAAATCATATTACCTTTATCATTGGGATGAGTTAGGTTTATTTTGGGAAAACATACTATGACGTATGAAGTCAATCCCAACATTAATTTCTTTTTCTTCATAAAGATCTTATTCTTTTTTTTTTTTTTTTGGAGACTGTGTCTCACTATCACCTGGGCTACAGTGCCGTGGCGTCATCATAGCTCAATGCAACCTCAAACTCCTGGGCTTAAGCGAGCCTCCTGCCTCGACTCAGCCTCCTGAGTACCTGGGACTACAGGTATGTGCCACCACGTCTGGCTAGTTTTCTTTTATTTTTTGTAGAGATAGGGTCTTGCTATGCTGTCCAGGCTGATTTTGAACTCCTGACCTCAAGCGATCCTCCTGCCTTGGCCTCCCAAAGTGCTGGGATTACCAGTGGGAGCCACCACGCCTGGCCCCAACACCTTGTTCTTTAGACTGAGTCTTTAGAAGAGGGTCTAAGGATGGGGGGTTGGTTCTGGCAGAGTCTGCGGGGAGGATCTGGTTGCAGGGGGTGACGCCTCTGTGCCGCAGACTTACCTGCCTGAACATTTCCGGGAAGTCATAGATGTAGGTGGTCCCCAGGGACTGGGCCTGGAATCGCTTGGCCTGCAGCAGGTCCTTGGTGACGTAGGCAGTATTGATCAGCATCCCGTGCTGGGGCCCTTGTTTGTTGCCAAAGGAATGAAACATGATCTGGACCAGAAGGAAAGGAAAGGAAAACAGAGAGTGAGAGAGCAGGTCACTCATTCCTCCCCAGTTCTCTCTGCCCTGTCCTCAACAACAAAACAATGTGGAGAAGTCAGGCATGTCGAATCGAGTAACGATGGGCGTGCCTGGGATAGGCACAACGCTCTTCTTCACTGCTGTGGGCAACCAGGACAAGAAGGGACAGTGGGAGCTGGAGAGACACAGCTCTGAAAATGCAGCAGCCACAGTGCCACTCACATAAACAAGAGTGAGCACAGAGGCCGGGCGTGGTGACTCACACCTGTAATCCTAGTGCTCTGAGAGGCCGAGGCGGGAGGATCGCTCAAGGTCAGGAGTTCAAGACCAGCCTGAGAAAGAGCGAGATCCCGTCTCTACTAAAAATAGAAATTAGCTGGACAACTGAAAACATATATAGAAAAAATTAGCCAGGCATGGTGGCGCATGCCTGTAGTCCCAGCTACTCGGGAGGCTGAGGCAGGAGGATCGCCTGAGCCCAGGAGTTTGAGGTTGCTGTGAGCTAGGCTGACGCCACGGCACTCTAGCCCGGGCAACAGAGTGAGACTCTGACTCCAAAACAAAGGGTGAGCATAGAAACCAGTGAAATTGAATAAGATCTGTACTGGGGTTAACAGTCCTGTGCCAATGTCAACTTCCTGTTTTGATAATGGAAGACAGTCACATAAAATGTTCTCATCGGGAGAAGCCACATGAAGTGTACACGGGAACTTTCTGTGCGATTCTTTCGTCTGTACGAATTTGCAACTTCTTGAGATTCTTGAATCTTTCATTATTTCAAAATAAAAAGTGTATATATTAATATAAAAACACACAAAGACACATTTACACACACGCTATATAAATATGTAAGCGAACACACTCACACATATACAAATGACAGTCAAAGGGATATTTGATTTAATTTACAAAAGTCTATTCTAAAACAGGTTGGGGAAAATATCTATTTTCCTATGTGAATCAATCTGGGGACTGCATTGTCATTGAGCACAGGACTCAATATATCATCCTAAGTGTCGCCTAGAATGGATTAAATTTAGGAGGACTCATTCTCCCTCCCAGGATATGAACAACCAGGATTCAGAGGCTGCCATGTTCACCCTAAAACTCAGAGGGCCCATCCCAGCCCGCACGGCAAGGCGAGGCGAGACAGCCACCGCATGTCACTCTCATCTACGCCTTGCCGTCCGAGCAGCCAGCCTCTGCTCTGGCTCAGACTTCCGTGCACTCGCCCCAGCCTTACATTTCCGGATCTGGGGTCGGTCACTTCTTCGTAGATGCTGATGTCCAGGTAGTAGCCCGACTCATTGGTGATGAACAGGCGGATGGGAATGGCGCTGCCGGTGGTGCTCTGGCGGATGTTGATCTTGACCTCGGCCTGCAGCACTCGGAGTTTCCACAGCCGGCTGCCGTAGCGCATGACCATGGAGCGCACGGACTCCTCGATCTGCCCCAAAACACAGCGACTCCAGCCTCAGAGCCCACTCATGCCACATGCACTCATAATAGCACCGATAACAACGGGATGAGGAGATACACCGTATGCAAAACGCCTGGGACATAAGTATCCAATACAAAGTATTAGCTAATAACAGCCAGAGGCATCTTGCTAAGCATTTAAGTCCCATTAACTAGTTTTGCTCTCATAAGTCAGAGAGGCAGGCTTTTATCACCCATTGACAGATTGAAGAAACAGGCCGGCCTGACCTAGTGTTCCTACGTTATGCCATCTTTACAGGCTGTGCAAGCCTGTGCACAGTGTTCTTTCAGAACAGCCTGGGGAAGCCAGGGCACCTGCGAGGGTCCCCTGTGCTCCGCAGACGCCAAATGGATGCACCAGGACTCCTTTCATCCCAGAACTCCCCCCCCCCCATGAAACTCTGCCCGCTGCCGATGAACCACGGCTTAGCCCCAGATCAGGGTCCTGCTCCCCTCCCCCACCCACGTGCGGTCCCCAGCAGAGCCCGGAACCAGGGAAAGGACAAAATTTTGTTTTGCAAGACATTTTAAGCATCCGTGTCATTCCTACGGTGAAGCGTGGCCCAGACAGGCCATGGCTAAGATAGGGCTGTGGCCTAAAAGAAGGCTCTAGAATTGAAGGGTGGAAGGTTTATTTTCCTCCTGCAGAAACTGAGGCTCCAATATGCACATATCGTGGTATTTGGGTCTGGCGTGGCGGGAGACAACACCCTGAAGTGACGTGGCAGGAAGAGCCATAAGGTTGAACCCAGAGCCTGGTGAGGGCACCCCACCCCCTAAAAAGGCGAGACCTTGGAGGGGTCCATGATGACGGTGGGCACGAAGTTGAGGAAGATGTGGTTGCAGTCGGTGCGCACGCTGGTGTTGTTGAAGGCCACCTCCAGCTCGTCCATGGCCTCCAGGAGCAGCCGCTCCCCCTCGTTCTGCAGGTACTCGAAGGAGGCCTCCTGCCAAAGGGTGGGGGGCAGCTGCTCAGGCCGGGGGCGCAGGGCCCGCCCTGGGCTGGCCAGCCACGCAGCCGCAGAGGGCAGAGGCAAGAGGAAGACACCCCCCTCCCCCAAAAAGCGTGCCAGGCGAGGACAGCCCACTAGGGGCGAAAGGTCAGGAGGGTAGAAAGGGTATCAAATGTGTCAAGCATATCGACCGTGTCTTTTATTTTCTGTATCATGACACTTTGACATCTAGGGCCTCACAGATCATGGAGGGACCCTCGAGCCAATTCCCAGAGATATAAACGATTCCACATGAGTGTACTTTTCTTTTATTTATTTTCTTTCTTTCTCTCTCTCTTTCTCTCTCTCTTTCTTTCTCTCTCTCTTTCTCTCTCTCTTTTTTTTTTTGACAGTCTTACTTTGTTGACCAGGCTAGAGTGAGTGCCGTGGCGCCAGCCTCGCTCACAGCAACCTCCAACTCAAGCAATCCTTCTGCCTGAGCCTCCCAAGTAGCTGGGACTACAGGCATGCGCCACCATGCCCGGCTAATTTTCTATATATATATTAGTTGGCCAATTAATTTCTTTCTATTTATAGTAGAGACGGGGTCTCACTCTTGCTCAGGCTGGTTTCGAACTCCTGACCTTGAGCAATCCGCCCGCCTCGGCCTCCCAGAGAGCTAGGATTATAGGTGTGAGCCACCGCGCCCGGCCAAGTGCACTTTTCAAACACAAACCAACCAATCCAGCGCCCACATCGCAACCACCTGCTGCATCTAAGCTCTCCCACACCTGCCCTGACTGCCCGTGGCCGGGAGCCAGAGAACGAGAGTCAGCCTCTGCACCCCACAGCCCTCTGAAATGATTCACATTAGCTAAGCCTAAACCTGTCCATCCTGGCCTGCCTGCTTCTTCCCACCGAAACCACCAGAAAGGCTCCCTCCGCCACCTGACCACCCCCATGTGCACCACCCCCATGTGTCCCCTTCTTCTCGGGAACTGTAACAAACCATCTTTTCAACCGCAATCATCTCCTGATCTGTTGGCCTGACCACATCTGAATAAAAAAACCTATTAAAACATCCAGTTGACTGAGGTAGCAAAAAACTGAGAGCCGCCTAACATCTGCTGATAGGGAATTTAGTGATAAATAACACATCACACACACAGTGTGTTTGTGCAAGGAAACGGCACGCAGCAGACCAGAAAGAGCTCCACGAGCAGCTGACCAATGACAAAACAACAGTCTGTCCCCACTGAGCGCCTATCTGCGACATTATACCCCCAACTCTAGGTTGCAGGAATGGAATTAGGTACAGAAGGGGGTGCCAACGGGGCTGCCCCCTCGGTGGCAAGATTCTGGGTCCTTTCCATTCAATTTTTAAAAATAGTTTCCAGTGTTGTTTAAAATTTCCACAGTATAATCATGGATGACTTTTCTGAAGCAAGGGACAGTGAAAAATGATCACTCACTCCATGGGCAAAAATAAGAGATTCCAGAAAGAAACCAGTATGTTTCTAGCCTCTCAATTCTCTGCTCGTGCAGAGAGAGCCACAGGATATAAGAAACAGATCCAAGTGCCACCAGCTGGGACATGATAATAGGCCACTTTGCTACCCCTCTCCCGCCCTAGGCTGGAGCATCACGGAGCAGGGCCATGTGTGCCCGGTGCACCGTCCCACCCCCAGCGTGCAGCCCAGGGCCTGGCACCGAGCAGGAACTTGAGGAAGGGAAGACCGGAGCGCGAAGGACCAACCTGGAGAAAGAAACACTCTGCAGCACCTTACCTTTGTAATCAGGTCGGAGTGCCTGATGATGGCCCGGACGAAGAACCGGTGGTCTGTCACTTCCACCCCTTCCTTGACCCTGGCAGCACCCAGGTAAAGGTGCATCTTGTGGTTGGCGCAGGGCACGGCCGTCAGGTCGAAGTTGCGCATCCGGCTGAGCTCTAGCTGGAAGGCCAGGGCAGGCTCCAAGTGACGGTAGATGCGGTCTTCTGCAAACTGTAGGCCGCCCAGAGAAAGCAGACAGACAGACAGACAGACACACACACACACACACACAAGGTTTGACATCGGGGCTGCGTGACTGCTCGGTTCATGCCTTATTCTGCAGACACCTGGCATTCGCGAGTTTAGCACTCAGGAATGTAGTGTTCATTGTGAGCACCTAATTCTGAGCAACCCCCAGGGTGCAAGACATTTGAGGTTTTGCTAAGATCTGGGAAGAGCTATGAGCACTGCAAGACTGGCGTGCTGGGTGCTGGGTGCTGGGTGCGCCTCTCGGTTCCTGGGGGAGGGTAGCTAGTTCCCAGCACCTTTCAGCGACACCAGGCTCGTCTCTGTCATGGCATTCGCAAGAAGTGTCCAACCCTTGGTTTCTTGGTGGACACTGTCCCCAAAAGAAATGACTGACAGTGCTAGAGAGCAAACTGAAAACAAAAAAAGAAGAAGCTACAAAAAAGGATGGGTATTCGCTGGAAAAGTAAGGCTTTGGGTAAATTAAAATACAGATGCTGGATTTGGTGGGGTCTTGAATCTGTTTGGGAACAAGCCTGCTGTTCTAGAACAGGGATGAGCAAACTTTTTATTAGAAGGCCAGATGGTAAATGTCTCAGGCTGACAGATCGTACGGGCTCTGTCACAGCAACTCAATTCTGCCACTGTAGAGTGACAGCCACAGTAGACAATATGGAATCCAATGGGTGTGACCGTGCTCCAAATAAAAACTTTGTTCATAAAAACAGGCAGCTAGTGTACAAGTCATAGTTTGCCAACCACTGTTCTAGAAGAGCATAAGAATGGCCGGGCTTGGTGGCTCACGCCTGTAATCCCAGCACTTTGGGAGACCGAGGCGAGAGGGTCGCTTGAGGCCAGGAGTTCAAGACCAGCCTGGGCAACACAGCTAGACCCCTATCTCTAAGAAAAAGAGGCTGGTATAAAACAGTCTTCCTGAGTATACCAGCAAGCACGAAAATTATCCAAAACAAGACAGAAACATGTAGGGAGGCAGAGAGGGCAAGGTTCTCTGGTTCTGAGCTCTGCGCAGACAACACAAGGTCTCTGATTGGAAATACAACCTCAGAGGAAGAATGGAATCTACATAAAAGTTGCTACATGCTAGAATCTGGGGCTGCCTTAAGGACTGGGGGCTGCATTCTTCACAAATATCAAAGATGCCAGGGAAGAGAGAACAACGTCATTGCTTTTGGCCATACCTCATCTCTTGCTCTGAATGTGAAAAACTTGGGAAATTCTTTCTGCAAAAAGAAATCCACACAAAAGACAATTAAATCAACTCATCGAAAGATGTGTGTGCTTATTTTGTGATTGTGAATGAGAACCCAGTCTGCTTCTAGAATGAATCATTTGGAGAGCCTTCTCCTGTCTAGCAATTGATCTCTCCCACCCTGGTCCACAGAATAAACATCAGACCGATGGCACTGAGGCTTGGAGAACGGAAAAGAGATGAACTGAGCACTCGACTGACCTCTTGGGCAATCAGGAACGTGATTCTTCGGAGTCCATAATCCACAAGGATATTTTTCTGCGTTAAAAGGCAAAGACATAATGGAATGTTATCTGACCGCAGAATGGACTGAAGTACCACCACCTGTTACCACACAAACGAGCTTTGCAAACGTGAAGTTAAGTGGGGGAAGCCAGTCACAAAAGACCTCCTATCGCATGATTCCATTTAGACGAAATGTCCAGAATTGGCAAATGTACTGAGACAGAAAGTAGCTGAGTGGCTGCCCGAGGCTGGGGTGGGAGAGGGCTCCGGGCTGGGGAGCAACCGTAACTGCTAATGGGTACAAGGCTTTGCTGGGAGGTGACAAAAAAGTTCCAAAATTGATCCTGATCATAACTGCGCAACTCTGTGCATATACTGAAAGACATTCAATTGCACACTTCTTAAATGAGTTAACTGTGTAGTATGTGAATTATTTCTCCATAAAGCTGTCATAAAAAATGATAGTCCAAGCATCCTGTTGTACACTGTAAATATATATAACATTGGGATACAGCCAGTTGTCTTGGGGTGGGGGTAACAGTGAACGGAGGAGGCACAGGATGGCTTCAGGGGGGGGCCGGGAGGTTTGTTTCTTCATCTGAATGTTGGTTATACTTGGGCGTTCACTCTGAAATTCACCAAGTTATATACATTTATGATTTGTGCACTTCAATTAAAAACTGCCCGAGAAAAGGACGAAACTGTTCCCTCGTCACTCTCTCAATGAAATAAATACTACTATAGGCGGATTTATGGGGAAAGAAAAACACCCAGAAGACAAGAAAACAAAGTTATTATTTGATTTGCCAATATGGGAAGCAAAATTGTTAGGGACATCCTGGATTTTCACAGTGACATCCCAATGCACAAATGAGGTGACGCCTGAGCTCGCTGGGCACTTTTCTGCCTCCCAATGTCAGCTACGTCGAGAAGAAACACACCGCACAGAAACACGCCACCATTTTATTTTTTTATTTTGAGACAGAGTCTCACTTTGTTGCCCAGGCTAAAGTGAGTGCCGTGGCGTCAGCCTAGCTCACAGCGACCCCAAACTCCTGGCTTCAAGCGATCCTCCTGCCTCAGCCTCCCGAGTAGCTGGGACTACAGGCATGTGCCACCATGCCCAGCTAATTTTTTCTATATATATTAGTTGGCCAATTAATTTCTTTCTATTTATAGTAGAGACGGGGTCTCGCTCTTGCTCAGGCTGGTTTTGAACTCCTGACCTCGAGCAATCCGCCCGCCTCGGCCTCCCAGAGTGCTAGGATTACAGGCGTGAGCCACCGCGCCCGGCCCATGCCACTATTTTCATAGTGGCTACACCTCAGAGGATAGGGCTATGGGTTTTTGTTTTAAAACCTGCTTTTCAGATTTCCCTGCATCATAAACATTTTCTACAATGAACACCAATACACTGTGGAGTTGTCAAGCAAAGGGTACACATATCTGTGAAAATAATGTCCCTAAGCTTTCCTAGAGTTCTCCGAGATTCAGCCTCATAGCATCTGCCACCCACGAAGCAGCAGGCCAGGTCCTCCAAGGGACCTCAAGGCAGACAGAGCTAAGAGGCATCCCTCCTACCAAGATAACATGGGGAATAAAAAACACATATACACATAAACAGACTAAAAAGCAACTGAAAATCCCCAAGTGTTCTTAAAGTTGCGACCAAAGTCAGGGGGGTACAGACCTCATACTAGACAGCATGCCTGGCACATCTGATTATTTTATGAAGAATCTCAGACCCCATTTTACAGATGGGAACACTGAGGATCAGAAAGGTAAAGTCGCTTGCCCCAGGTCACACAGATGCCTGGTCAGTGCCCTTGCACTGTTCTACAACCTCCCATTGCCACGATCCTCCACATCTGCCTGTCTGCAGCCGAGGACCCTAGATGTAGGTAACAGCTATCCCCACTGCCAGGGTGACAATATGCATGGTGACAGCCACCACAGGCTTACAAAGCAACCTGCAGTTACCTGCCCAAACAGTCAATGTTGCTGGCCAGTTTTTAAATTGCAAATTTCTGGGTTATTCCAACAAAAACATTCCCCCTAAACCCCAAACTATTCACTGAGCATGTCCTCTGAGCTCACGACAGGCTAAGTGGCATGCATATTTTGTCATTTAATTGCTACAAGACCCCAGAGGAGAGAAATGCTGTGCCACCTTCAGCTACCTCCACTCAAAGTCACCGGCTACGAGGGAGGACAGAGCTGGGATGGGAAGGCCGCCCCCAACACCGCTCTGGGGCATGGACCACCTCGCCGAGACCAGCACCTCCCCCTTCCACGGGGCCCCCGGCCCACCTGCCCCCACCGAGCACAGCGCTCCTGGGGCACCTTGGACTGTACGAACGTCCGCAAGATGAGCACCAGCGCCTCGTCCTCCAGATGGTCTGCACACTGGATGGCCACGTTCAGGATGTGGATGGGCTCTTCCCGGAGGCTCTAAGGGGCAAAAGCAAGGTGGCGCGGGGGTGTCGAGAAGGGCTGGGGCCACGGCCCACCCCTCCCCGGGCTGCTCCCTGCGCTTGGACGCTTGCCTTGCAGTCCTCCTCGGAATACAGGGAGGCGCGGGCCTTGCTGAAGAGGGGGGCGTCTCTGGGCACGTTGGCAAAGCAGGAGATGACCTCGTCAAAGTTCCTGGGGGCCGCGGGCAGAGAGGGAGGGTGAGGGGCTGCTGTCCCGGGGGGCCGTGGCTCGCACCTCCGAGCCAGGATCCCACCCAACCCTGCGCAGAGCTCGGACGAGGCGGCTCCCTGTCTAGGTCCCAGGCAGCCCTGCCGGGGGTCTTTCCCCAAAGGGAAGGATGGGCCTCTGCGATCGTGTTCAGGAACAGAGGGGAAGGGGTCCCTGCACTTTGGGACAGCAGCTCTCAGCTTCCCCTTTCACTGGCTGGGAGACCCTAGAGACCTCACCCCACCCCTGAATCAAACGAGGACTGTAAGAGTCATCACCTCGCGGGGCTCTTGCAAAAACCCAACGAGATGATCCAAGCACAATGCTGACCACACAATAAAAGGTTGAGAAAAGACCGAAACAGTGATAGTACTGCCAGCCAACATGTACTGAGCATGTTATCTTGCACATTCATTATACTTTAAATATACGATATCATGTAGTATCTCATTGAATGTTCATGGCACCCCTAAAAAGTTGGTCCTTCTATTATTCCCATTTTGTAGATGAGAAAACTGAGATACAGGGAAGTTAAGCCATTTGTTGGTCTCACGGCTGGGAGATGCAGAGGCAGGACTCTGGCTCAGCAGAGCAGGCCAGCGGCCACACAGGCTCATGCCCGCGGCTGCAGTGCTGTTATGAACCCGCTGCGCCGTGTATACGGGTCTGCCCCACCCCACGCGTTTAGGAGGCTGGGCCACACTGGGTACCTGGTGAAGTCCTCGAATCTCCTGAAGGCCACCATGGCCCCCATGCGCTGGCACAGGGGCGAAAACCCGCTGTCCATGAAGAGCTCCGTGCTGTGCCGCAGCAGGTCGGGGTTGCTGATGCTGATGGGCATGGCCATCCTGGGGAGGGGCGACCACAGGTGGGGGGTGAGACGGCTGCTCGCGGGCCCGACCCTAAGAGCTCCTACCGCCCCTGAAGCTTCAAGTGAGCTAGACCAGGATTAGAGCCCTCCTGAAGCGGGGCTTAAAATGCTGTTGGGGGGGATGAAGGTTGGGGCCAGGGGCTGAGGTGTCTCATCCGATTCCTTATAACCTGGTACAGAGGATGAGCTCGACAAGTGAACGAATGAATGAATGAATGAATGACGCGTGCATGCATGCAAGAAAGTCCAGCCCCAACACAGTCCCGAGGTAACTCCAAATGGTGAATGTGGTTACACGGAGAATAAACAAATAGTCTCAGCATCAATGTCCCTTGGAGACCCCCAGCCGTGGGCAGCTGGTGTGGGGGCTGGCTGGGTCCTGAGGGAACCCCCAATTCTTCCCCCTCCATCAAATCTGCTCTTGGGACAAAGCCAGCAGCCTATGAGAATCTAGAAAGCCACTGCCCCCAGGAATGAATGCAAACGGGCCACCGAGGTTGTTAGAATCAGGCCCAGGCATCAGGTAGAGGAGGGGTGACCAGATGTCGTGCAGGAGGGTCAGCACAGCGGGCCTGAGACTGCTCCCGGAAGGGAGACCTGCTCGCAACGGTGGCCTGTGGCTGGCGTCGGGAACTTGGATTTGCGGAGGGTTGCCATCATCCCCTGAACGATATGGGTGGCTCGCTGGCCCTGACCTATTTGTACGGACGGTATGGTTCATGCTCAAGGCCTTCTTTCTTCTGGGAGCCTGGGATTTTCACGCCAGGCAGAGGATGCTTATGTGATCAGCTGCCAGTCAAAAGCCTGGCGCTGTGTCTCTAATGACCCAGCAGCCAACCCTTCACAAGTGTTGCCACAACCCATTGCTGGGGGGAATTAAGTGTGTCCCATGTGAATCCACCGAGAGAGGACCCTGCAGCTTGTGCCTGGTTTCCTCTGGACTTCAGCCCACGTGCCTTTTGCCTTTGCTAATTCTGCTTAGGATCCTTGCACGGCAATAAGTCAGATGCATAAACACGACTTTATACTGAGTCCACCCAGTGAATGATCGGACCTGGAGGTGCTCCCGGGGACCCCCCCAGACAGGTGTGTGCATTCCTGTTGAGTACCCCTGAAATCATAATCCAGACCCCCCCTTTCTCCTGGACAGCCAAACCCAGAGGTCACAGACTGGCACAGCGGCGTGGCTGAGTGCAGTCTACACACTGACGGTGGTCCGGGCAGCATGTTTAACATCCATGAATTAACATGTACTCATTGCATGTGAATTAGCTGCCCCACTGAAATATTGAGGGATTTCAGATTTTTTTAAAAACAAAATCTAGGTGTCCTGCTTCCAGTGAAAAAAACCCACAGAAAGGTCTGGCGGTGACGGCCACGTCCCCACAGGGTAACAGAGAACAGAGCCAGACAGCAGCCCCGCAGCGGGGCACGGCCAGCTCCCTCCCAGCGCCCACAGGAAGCCCTGCTGACCTCTCGTCCGACCTCATCTTGGGTCTCAGTGACCCAGTTCACCTCGTGCCTGGTGCTCTGGACACAGGTGTCTGCCGGCACCAAGCCAGGCCTTCCTGGGGGGAGACGTCACTCCTCAAAGGGCTGGGGGGGGGCAGCCACAGCCCTTTGGCCCTCAGGGCCACTGTGAGACCCTTACACGGTCCGGGAATCCTTCCGGGGTCCTCAGTGTCTCTCTGGGTCAAAACAGGACCCTGAATCTACATGTTCGTCCTTTCTAAAAAACAAGGGACAGCCACAGCTCTTAGGAGAGCCACCTTCCTTTCCCGATGGGGCTGGACCGCCGAGACAATACGACCAAAAGAGAGAAGAATTTCCTCCTAGAGGTAGACAGCTGCGAAGTGTCCCACACCCCCCGGAACCCGCAACACGATCCCAGGCAGCTAGCCGTCCGTCCCCTTTCCTCTAACGGGCAAAATGCCACAGTCCTTTACTTTTTTCTTTTTTTTAATAAGAATGGTAAAAAAAAAAAAAAAAAAAAAAAAAATTTTCATGACCCTGGGTCAGGTAAAGAGTTCATATTTTCAGCACCAGAAGCACAATCCATAAAAAAAAAAAAAAAAAAAGATAAATAGGAACAAAGGTGCCTCATGGGGAAGCTGCTCTTCTTTGTTCATCCAAAGCAGAGCAGCACCTTTCTTCTTAAAACCCACGGGAGGAGAAACTTATCTCCTAAAACCCTAGGAGGCTAGAAAAATCCCTGCTCCAAGAGAACCCTTGGCAAGTCATACTGCTGCCCCCACCACCAAAAAAAGAAGAAAAAAAGAAAAAGCAAGCATGAACCCTGTTGCCTGCATAGATCTGACCAACTGAACCCCCAAATCATGAGGACGCCGTTGCGGCCACAAGCGAGGCCTGGGGAACCCCCCCGAGAACCGGACCAGAGGAGCGCGGGGACAGCAAGCAGACGCTCTGCACTCCAGGGAGGCGGAGCCGCTTTAGGGGAAGGCGTCGAACTCCGCCTGGCCAGAGCAGAGCTCCGGGCCCTGAAATAAGGCGGATTAAACAAGAGATCGGGAGCCGGGGGACCCAGATGTCCCCGCGTGAGAACTGCGCTGCGGCTGTGGAGGGCAGAGTGCGGTGGACACGGACAAGCCAACACGCGTGCCCGAGCCCTGGCTGGGAGGGCCCGCGAAGGCCACGTTAAGAGCTTGCAGGGGGGAGCACGGCCGGGGCTCAAACTCCTACTCTGCAGGTGTGAGAGGCGCGCTGCCTCCGTGCGCCGGGGCGGGCCTCGGGCTTCCCATCTGTGAAATGGGGATGCAAGCACACTTCGGCCGACAGAGGGTAAGGGCCGCATGGGACGAGCGTGGCCGTAGTGACAGCCACCGTGGCAGCACGCAGCCGGACAGCAACAACAGGATCGCTCAGACTTGTCACTGGGACCGCTGCTATCCGACAACTTTCTCCATGCAGGAACTGCCCTAAACACTGTCATGTGCCTTATCCCATTTGCTCTCCCCAGCGGTCTGGGATCGCACTGTCCGCTAGAACGTTCTATGGTGATTGAATGTTCTAGAACTGCGGTGTGTCCGATGGGGCAGCCATGAGCCACATGCGGCTACTGAGCACCTTCAACGCAGCTAGTATAGCCAGGGAGCTGAACTGTAATCTCATTTCAAGTTAAGCAGGCACGTGTGGGTCGCGGCTACTGCAACGGGCGGTTCAGATGGAGGAGGTAGACTCTGGATTGTCTCTGTTTTACAGAGAGGGACAGGGGCGGCGGGGAGACCTCAGCACGCCCAGACATACTTGCTGGGTCTCCCCGGAGACGGGACCGCAGGGGTCAGGGAGAAAAGGAGCCCGGCCCGTCCCCAGGCACGCGCCACTCCGTACCGGTTTGGGTGGGAAGAGGGCAGCATGAACTGGAACTCCACCACGCAGGTGCCGTCCGGGAGCTGCCGGTGCTGCAGGCTGTTCAGCTCGTAGGCGATGTAGCCCCTACGCACGTAGACCTGTGCGAGCAGAAGGGTCAGCGCGACAGACGCCCCTCGGCACGCAGAGCACCCTCACGACCTGAGAAGTCGCAGGCAGCCTCCCGACTGCGAGATCCACAGGGTCTAAAAGACACGGCAGAGGCTGGGCGCGGTGGCTCACGCCTGTAATCCTAGCACTCTGGGAGGCCAAGGCGGGCGGATTGCTCGAGGTCAGGAGTTGGAAACCAGCCTGAGCAGGAGCGAGACCCTGTCTCTACTATAAATAGAAAGAAATTAATTGGCCAACTAATATATATATATAAAATTAGCCGGGCATGGTGGCGCATGCCTGTAGTCCCAGCTACTTGGGAGGCTGAGGCAGGAGGATCCCTTGAGCCCAGGAGTTTGAGGTTGCTGTGAGCTAGGCTGACACCACGGCACTCACTCTAGCCTGGGCAACAAAGCGAGACCCTGTCTCAAAAAAAATAAATAAATAAAAATAAAAGACACAGCAGAGAGGGAAGACTCTGAGCTCGGAGGACGCAGAGAGGAGAAAAAGCCACCGCCAGCCCCAAAGCAACAAGGCAGTCATGTTAACACACAAGACGTCATCTCGTATTTTCTTAAAAGGACCCTAAAAGAGCAGGCATAAAAACTCTGATTTCCTGAGTAACTAACAAAACACTACCAGGCTCTAATCTGGGGTTTGCTGCTGGCCACGCCCTTCTTGTCCCATCACATACAGGCAGTCCCCTTAAGTTGTCACCTAAACTCCTTCAGGCTCCTGTAGTTCTAAGCAGAAAAGTCTTTCAAAGGCATTGAATAAATGTGAGTACTTCTTTTTTTTTTTTTAAATAGAGATGGGGGTCTCACCATGTTGCTCAGGCTGGTCTCAAATTCCTGGCCTCGAGTGATCCTCCTGCCTTGGCCTCCCAGAGTGCCAGGATTACAGTTTGGAGGAGGTGCCTTGGACTCAGCTCTTGGGGGTTAGTATGTGACTGTGCCCGGCTGGAATGACTCGGGAGATCGGCGGTGGTCACCAGCACAGACTCCGGAATCAGGCGGACGGAGCACGAAACCTGGTTCTGCCGCTTCCTAGCTGTGTGACCTTGTGCGAGTCACTTTGCCTCTCTGAGCCTCAGTTCCTCCCTGTGTGAGTGTAGTGCCCGCCTAGCAGAATGAATGATACAATCCCACAATGGAAAGGCGTGTGGCCCGCCGGGGTGGGGCGCGGGGTGGGTGGCAGCGAGTGCTAGAACTGGCGAGGTCAGTACTGTCACTCTGGGACTGTCCTGCTCACCTCCAAGGACGCCATGCACACGACTTTGTTAGCGTGATAGAAGAACGAAGGCAGGACGTCAAAGATGGTCGTTTCTGAAAGTATTAATTTCTGCGGGAGACAAAAAGGGAAACAAAAGTGTTAATGACTGTGAACAGCTGTTAACCCCCAGCTGGAGGGGCGGGCGCCGTGGGACCGGGTAGAAGCCCTTCTTGCTGCTACCGCTAAGAGTGGCCGGTGGCCCGCAGTGCAGGGGACTCTTCCCGAGTCCGATCACGAAGATCCAAGTGAGTGAGGCCCCCGGGCTGCGGTGCGTGCTCCGCAGAGGGTGGAAGGAGGGAGGCGGCCTCACCTTGAGGTTCTCCGGGCAGAACTGGTGGCCGTACATGTCGATGGCGGACAGGAAGATGGACTCCACCTGGTTGTGGCGCAGCTCGTAGGAGGGGAGGTGGGAGGCAATCAGGACCTGCGGGGGACAGCACGGAGGGCCGGGGTGAGACGACCTCCCCAGGGGAGAGGGACTGAGGGCCAGACGTGGGACGGCGCACCCGGGGACCGCGCCCGGAGACCCTACCTGTCTGGCCCGGAGGGCCACTTTGCAATGCTCGCTCTTGCTCAGCTGAGTGAGCTCGTTGAGGATGGAGGTCAGCTCGTCGGACAGGGAAGGGTCTGGGCCACAGAGCTCATCCTTTGGGGACAAAACCGGAATGCAGCAGATGGCTTTTCTGCAGCCGAGAGAGAGAACATCCCAGCACCACCCTCTGCCCAGGGGCGCGGCTGCCCAGCAAGCCAGACGGCTGGCCAGCCTAACACGTTAGAAAGCTGGCCACGGGCCAGGCGCGGTGGCTCACGCCTGTAATCCTAGCTCTCTGGGAGGCCGAGGCAGGAGGATTGCTCGAGGTCAGGAGTTCGAAACCAGCCTGAGCAAGAGCGAGACCCCATCTCTACTATAAATAGAAAGAAATTAATTGGCCAACTAATATATAGAAAAAAAATTAGCCTGGCATGGTGGCGCATGCCTGTAATCCCAGCTACTCGGGAGGCTGAGGCAGAAGGATTGCTTGAGCCCAGGAGTTTGAGGTTGCTGTGAGCTAGGCTGACGCCACGGCACTCACTCTAGCCTGGGCAACAAAGCGAGACTCTGTCTCAAAAAAAAGAAAAAAAAAAAAAAGAAAGAAAGAAAAGAAAGCTGGCCACTACCTTCTACGTACAAAAACCCCCAAAACCATTTTTCTTCTTGTTAACTTGGGTGAAACTATTTCATCTCATATACTGTAGCTCACCGTATCATGTTTTGTTTTGTCACTAACAAAGTCCTATGACCACTGAATTGATAATCAGAAACTAGGTCCCCTTAAAACACTCAAAAAAGTTTCATTTCAAAGTAATCAAATTAGCAAGTCTTTGATGAGAGCCTCCTAAGTACCAAAAACCGTCAGGTGCATAAAACTTGCTATTTTTCTAACAAATGCAACAAAAAAAGCCAGAATAATAATGAATCTCAAGTGTAACTCCCAAACTGTAACTGATTCAACATTTTTAGTCTCCTTCACCAAGAGGCCTCGAGCAAGTGTCCCAATTCTCTGAGCTGAGGGCTACCCATCTTCCCCAGGCCGTCCTCTGGTGTATGTGATTTTTAGTAGGTTCACGTCCAGAGGAAAGTCATTATGTGCACAAAGAATAGTGACCAGCAGAATAATCCATAGACCTGACCCCAGGCCTTTGCCAGGCTGACTGCACTAGATTACAAGTGCATCTTGCTTTGAAAACACTCAAACTCCAAAAAACTCCATTCAAAGGAGGTATTTTGAAAAGCAATGGGGCTGGGCGCGGTGGCTCACGCCTATAATCCTAGCACTCTGGGAGGCTGAGGCGGGCGGATTGCTCAAGGTCAGGTGTTCAAAACCAGCCTGAGCAATAGCAAGACCCTGTCTCTACTAAAAATAGAAAGAAATTAATTGGCCAACTAAAAATATATAGAAAAAATTAGCCAGGCATGGTGGCGTATGCCTGTAGTCCCAGCTACTAGAGAGGCTGAGACAGCAGGATTGCTTGAGCCCAGGAGTTTGAGGTTGCTGTCAGCTGGGCTGATGCCTCGGCACTGTAGCCCGGGCAACAGAGTGAGACTCTGTCAAAAAGAGGGGAGGGGAGGGGAGGGGAGGGGAGAGGAGGGGAGAAGAGGAGAGGAGAGGAGAGGGATTCCCCCAAACAGGAGATATCTCCTTGAGTGTAAGTTCTCAGTCGTGATTGGACACTCTTAATACAATCACTGGGAGAGCCCTCCCTCCAAAATTAATTTTGGAAAACTTCAAACCCGCAGAAGAATTGAAGATCAATACATTGAAAACCCCAATCCTACTCATCTAGATCTTCTCATCGTTAAACTCTTCCCACATTGCCACATTTGATTTTTCTCTAATAATCATACACACATGCACACACACACACACACACACAAACTTTCTTTTTTGAAAGGCATCAAGATTCTTTAGGCTATTTTAGCATGTATCTCTTTGAGAAAAAAAATATGCTTCTACTTATAATAACTATAGAACCATTAAAACTCCAAAGACATTGAACATTAAACTGATAATATAATCTAACATACAGTTCACATTTAAGTTTCCCACTGGGGAAGCTTTCAAAAAGCACTAATGCTTAGACGCCCCACCTTCTAGGTAATTCTCATGTACAGCCATGATTAAAAGCTACTGCATGAGATTTTTAAGTGATTCCTTACAAAAATACCGGTATTTATGAATACATCTTGGTTAGGGTATTAACTATCCTATAAATCCATGGCCTAAATTCAGCCCACTGATTGTTTTTTGTAAATAAAGTTTTATTGGAACCCAGCCATGTTCATTCATTTACATATTGTCTACAGCTGCTTTCAGGCTATAAGAGCAGAGCTTTCAGATGTACCCTTTGTAATGGAAAGGAAAAGAAAATAAAAATAAATAAAAAATAAAAGATAAAAAAAAAGAGCAGAACTCTTGCAAGAGGGGCTAAAGAATTACAAACCTAAATTATTTACTATCTGGGGCCCTTTACAGAAAAAAAATTGTCAGCCCCTTTTTGCTATAAGCCAAGGCCAAGTCTCCCCTTCTTTCCTGATCCTACATTTTCCAAACCAGTCAATCAGGGACGTATTAAGGAGAAAAACCTTTAGTTGTAAAAGACTGCTCAGTAGAAGGAGAAATTAAGAGCAAAGAAACTCCATACCTTCTTCAAGAAGGCAAAACGAAAGACCTACCACAAGACTTGGAATCCAAAGTCCCCTAATAGCTCACGACTCTGAAGCCAGGCTGTGGGTTCAAGTCCCAGCTCCGCGCTTATGAGCTGGGTGCTCCTGGGCAAGTGGCCTCACCTCTCTGTGCTCTGGCTGAGGGAGGTGAGAGCAGTACGTACCTTCCAGGGTTGCTATGAGAGCTAAATGAGCTAATATTTATTTGTAAAGTACTTTAAGAGTGCCTGGCACAAAGTGGGAGCTTTGTAAGCGTTAGGCATGGTCTCCCAGGAGCCAGCAGTTCCCACCCACCGCCTGATTTTTGTAAACAAAGCTTTACTGGAGTACAGCCATGCCAGTTCAACTACACCGTACGATGGCAGTGTCGAGTGGGCAGGACAGAGACCGTACCCACCCGCAAAGCCTGAATTATGTACCTTCTGGCCCTTTTATGGAAACGTTTGTGGAGTCCTGCCCCAACCCCGGCTTGGGTAAAGGGAACCCTTCCTGCTTACAATCAGCATGATCACCAGCTGGTTCTTCTTGGCCACCTGCGAGTGGGAGAAGATGCAGTCCAGCACCTGCGACATGTCTGGCTTGAACTTCTCCCGGAGGTTTATCACACACTTGTCGTAGTGGGCTACAGGGGAGACAAAAGACCACCACGGGGGTAAGGCTCAGGCTTCTCCTCGATCCCCCTGCCTGGTGGCTTGTCACCGGTGCCACCACCGGTGGCAGTGGCAGCATCTCTTGCCTTGTTGGAAATGGTGCTCGACGTGCAAATATCTTCGCAGCAGATCCAACACCACTGTTTTCATATAGCCGCGGGTCCCACTGCGGTATCTGGGTAGGAAGGAAAGGCCGACCTTAATGCCCACGTTCCCCTCCTCCTGCACCTGAGTATCTCCAGCCAGCACGTTTATGATTATATTAATTTAAAAAAAAGGGAAAACAGTAATAAAGTATCTGCGGAGGCCGAGGCAGGAGGATCGCTTGAGCCCAGGAGTTTGAGTCCAGCCTGGGCAACATAGCGAGACCCCATCACTATAAAAAAAAATATTTTTTAAAAATGAATTAAAACAAATAAAGTTTAAAAATAATAATAATAATACTTTTTTAAAAAAAGCATCTGGAGGCTGTGCCTTCTAATCCTTAGTCCTACAAGGGACTTTTGCTCTAACTCTGCAGGCCAAAGACAGTAGTGGCTTGTTCCATGTCCCACATCACACTGGAGACCAAGCTGCAGTAGAACTCAGTAGAACTCAGGCCTGAGCCTGAGCCTTGGTAGGGCACCTGCCCTGGTCCAGGGAGAAGGGAAAAAATGTAAGAGTTAAGATGCCGAACAAAGACAGCCAATTTTAGCAGCCTTTCACCATTAAGAGCAAAAATTTCAATTAACCACCCAACGTGTAAAGACAGTTTTAAAAAGACAAAGTGAAAAGACATTTACCAAAAGATCCCCATGTCCATTTCACTTTGTTTTTGAAACAATATTTGAACCCGATGTCACCCCAAAACATTTCCTCTTCTGAAATATTTCTGAACACAGGGAATCGAGTTTCTTAGGAGAGGCAATACTGAGTTTTAGGGAAGTAGAAACCAACTTAACCCCAGCATCACCAAATACCAACAACAAAAGACAGCAAGAACCTAACACAATCACTGATCCAAATGTGATTTTAAAACAACATAGGACAGAGTTTGGATATTATGCACAGCCCAGAAAATTTGCTAGGAAATTCGATTAATTTATCTGTTCATTTCTCCTAGGTGATTCTCTGAAGCTTGAAAGATGGGTTTAAATTTAGCATTCGATGTGTTTTAGGGGAAAAGACTCCTCTCTTTTTGCTTTGTGAGCAACCACACTAAAATCTCCCTCCTTGGCTGCAATCCCTTATTGTCAGTCTGAGCCCCCACTAGCTGGGGTTTCCTTGGAAAGAGCAGCATTCTTCCACAATGTCACATTCTTTGCACCTGTGATAGCTTCTGGCACGTGGAAAACATGTGCTGAATCGATTGGTTCAACTCTGAGAATGCCTCGATTCTGTCTTCATAAGCAAGGCTTTCTTGCTAGGTAGATTTGTCATGAAAAGTGGCAAAAATTCTTTTTAGCATCAGACAGTCCTGCAGTAGACTACCCTGATCAGTAACTACTCGAGATAAAATACAAACCATTCATCAACTTTCCCTTGTGATGGTCCCAGAAATCACAATAACAATTCATACAGTCTTTTATCACACTAAAAACCATTTCGGCCCATTGTCTCATAATCCAAGCAACCAAAAGTATTCGCTAAAAGACATATCTTATAAAGCGCTTTTATTCCTATTTTGCCCAGTGGCAAACTGAGATTCACAGAAGTAAAGTGCCTTGCCCAGGTTTCCGCTGTTAGGAATGGCACTGCCAGGAATGCACTTTCCTGCCCTTCAGAGAGTCCCAGAGCACGGCCCTGGTGCAATACGTGTGACAACTCAGTGTGACGAGCGCACCCCAGGAAGGGCCCCAGATTCACCTCTGGACCAGCTGCACGATGCTCTGAGTGTTCATGAAGAAGACCTCCCGGTCAGCCTTCCGCTGCAGGGTGGCCGCGTGACAGTCCAGGACGGTCGCTATCTGCACGGGAGAGCAAGACAGGTCTGACCACGGTCAACCACGTGATCAAGAGGCCCCGCCATGGGCTCCCAGGGAGGCCCCATCCAAGACTGGTCCAAAGACCAACAATTCGAGCCCCAAAGCCCTCCAGCCACCCCCAAACAGCCCTGTTCACCCTTCTCAACGCATTGCTTGAGGAATTCGGGGCCGAGAAGGACAGCAGCCACATGAAGAGGTGCACACAGTCACATCGATCCCGTCCACGGGTGTGAATGGTACTCAGAAAGAGGAGAAGGGGGTATACAGCCCTAGCCAAAATGAGGGTCCTTGTTTTGGGGCAAGCTCCTGTCTTTATAATTAGATTTCATGTGACCAGTATACTGCTTTTGGCATCAAAAATATTTTTAAATGGCCAGGCGAGGTTGCTCACGCCTGTAATCCTAGCCATCCGGGAGGCCGAGGCGGGTGGATTGCTCGAGGTCAGGAGTTCAAAACCAGCCTGAGTGAGACCCGGTCTCTACTATAAATAGAAAGAAATTAATTGGCCAACTGATATATATATAAAAAATTAGCCGGGCATGGTGGCGCATGCCTGTAGTCCCAGCTACTAGGGAGGCTGAGACAGGAGGATCGTTTGAGCCCAGGAGTTTGAGGTTGCTGTGAGCTAGGCTAATGCCACGACACTCACTCTAGCCTGGGCAACAGAGCAAGACTCTGTCTCAAAAAAAAAAAAAAAAAAAAAAAAAGAGTCCTGCATCAGTGACAAATTCCTGAAAGTTCCAAACATGTACCTTCTCCATGAGGGCCCTCTAAGTTTTGTTTTTTGTCACTTTTTAGTAGAAATATAACTTACATATCATAATATTCCACTACCCCTCTCTCGGTGGTTTGTAGTCTATTCACAAAGTGGGGCAACTACCACCATTATCTAATTTTAAAGCATTTTCATCACCCTAAAAAGAAACCTTGACCCTGTTAGTGGTCACTCCCCATATCCCCTCCCCCCCTCCAGCACCTGGCAACCACTGAGTGATTTTTTTTTTCCCTCCATGAATTTGCCTGTTCTGGACATTTCACACAAATGGAATCACATGATGGGTGGTTTGTGTCCAGCTTCTCTCTGTTAGCATAATAATAGGTTTGTCCACACGGTGGCATGAATCAGTAGCACGAATTCATTCCTTTTGATGGCTGAACAATATTCCAACCTCTAATCCTGCTGGCCTCTGGGGAAGACGTGAATTTCCCAAATCACTGACGTGGGGGAAGGGCGGGTTGACGACAGTGTGAAGCCCTTCCAACCAGAGGGCGGGAAGGGAAACCAGCAGACGGGCTCTTCCGGGTGCAAATCACCCTTACTGTGCTCCATGACAGCAGCGACAACAACAAAACGAACAACACGAGGCCAATGTGGAACGAGTAGAGAGATTTTATACCACCCTGGAATGGTTCGCATTCTTAGAAAGTATTATCTATATCTAGAGCCCCCAGACCATCCATCCCCTTATGAAACCCAGAGAAAAATCAAAGCTGCAAAGCAGTACGAAAAGCTTGCAATTTCTCCTAATGACATCAGCCGGTCCCTCCTTTGGAAAAAGAGGCTCCCTCTCTTTGCAGCAACTGCCTCCTCCTATTCTGAATGTGCAGTTTATGGAGTGAGGCCTTGTGACTACTGACATTGATACAGACAACTGCTGCTTTAGAGAAAATGACGGGATTCTGCAGACAGGGCTGGGAAGAAGCCCCAGGCCCCCAGCATGCAGGGCGCAAGTGGGTCTCAGGAAGCTCACCTTGGCCGGAGACCAGACGTGGAGACGGCCCGGGAGTTGGCCCTGGGCGAGCATCCCGGTGGGAGGGGGGCACGTACCTGCTGGCTGGGGAACTGGCACAGCACCGAGGTGATGTTGCTGGCATACTGGGCCATCACGCGGTGGACCGCCTTCTCCACGGGGGCGGGGATTCGGCCGGACACGCTGGTCATGATGTCCTGCAGCTCCAGCAGGGGCAGCGACGGGTGCCGGAGGGTTGTCATGAGCTTCTGCACCCATTCCTTCAGCTGTAGCGGGGACCACAGCGTCGGCGCCCAGCCCTGCGGGGGCGCACGGGCACCGCCACCCGCCACGGGTGCCCAACTCGACTTGACTCCACCCACCCAGCGCCCCCCTGCACTCCAGTGGCTGGAGATCTAGACCCGCCAGCCTCTGCAACAGCCCCCTGACCACACAAGCAATACCCAGTGTCCCCGGGTCAGAGGCCCCACGCCCCTCTCTGTGCACCCACATGGCCAGCGTGGGGTGGGGACAGGACATAAGGTGATGTGATAAGCTAACATTTGTTGTGCTTAGTGCCAGTGTTCTACGACCTTTCCTACATGTTCTCATTTGATCCTCAGAAACAAACCTACGACAGGACGGGCGCGGTGGCTCACGCCTGTAGTCCTAGCACTCTGGGAGGCCGAGGCAGGAGGATTGCTCGAGGTCAGGAGTTCGAAACCAGCCTGAGCAAGAGCGAGACTCCGTCTCTACTATAAATAGAAGGAAATTAATAGGCCAACTAATATATATAGAAAAAATTAGCCGGGCATGGTGGCGCATGCCTGTAGTCCCAGCTACTCGGGAGGCTGAGGCAGGAGGATGGCTTGAGCCCAGGAGTTTGAGGTTGCTGTGAGCTAGGCTGACACCACGGCACTCACTCTAGCCTGGGCAACAAAGTGAGACTCTGTCTCAAAAAAAAAAAAAAAAAGAAAGAAAGAAAGAAACCTACGACATAGTTATTCCCATTTTACCACAGAGGCAACTGAACACAGAGAGGTGAATTAAGTTCCCCAAGGTCATTCAGCTGGTAAGAAGCAAAACCAGGATGCAAACCCAGGCCACTAAGCTCCTGAGACTTTTTTTTTTTTTACTTTTAAAGAGACAGGGTTTCGCTTAGTCACCCAGGCTGGGGTATAGTGGTGTCATCGTAGCTCACTGCAACCTCTAACTCCTGGGCTCAAGCAATCCTCCTGCCTCAGCCTCCCAAGTAGCTAGGACTAAAAACACATGCCACCACACCAAGCTAAATTTTAAAAATATTTTTGTAGAGACGAGTCTTGATATATTGCTCAGGCTGGTCTTGAACTCCCAGGCTCAAGCGATCCTCCTGCCTCAGACTCCCAAAGTACTGGGATTACAGACATGAGCCACCGCACCTAGCCATATATCAGTTCACGTTTAAACCTCACAGCCACACTATGGGTGTGGTCCCATTATCACCCCCATCCAAAGACCATCAACATTGGCCACTGTGCCTGGCCTCCTGGGGCTCTAGCGTGGTTGTGAGGTTTAAAAGTGAACTGATATGTGGCCAGGTGCGGTGGCTCATGCCTGTAATCTCAGCACTTTGGGAGGCTAATGTGGAAGGATTGCTTGAGCCCGGGAGTTCAAGACCACCCTGGGCAACATAGTGAGATCCTGCCTCTCAAAAAAAAAAAAATTTTTTTTTTTTTAATTAGCCAGGCATGGTGGAGCACACCTGTAGCCCCAGCTACTCAGGAAGTTGAGGCAGGAGGATCGCTTGAGCCCAGGAGTTTGAGGTTGCTGTGAGCTAGGCTGACGCCACTGCACTCTAGCTGGGTGACAGAGTGAGATCCTGTCTCAAAAAAACAAGCCAAGGAATTCCCTAAGAACAGGCCCTTCATAAAAACAAGAGAGGACTGACCATCTTCTCAGTACTGGCATCAATGAAGACCTCTGATCCCACGCCGCAAATGCTCCTGGCTCTTTGCACGTGTCTACACACACCTGCTGTGCACAGGAGACTCACCTTTATGCTAAAAATAGGCTCGGGCAGACAGTAGCCACTCATGACGTTGGTGAGGTTTTCCAGGACGGTGTGGAAGACCTGGTGCAGTTTCTCTCCGAGGATGGGCAGCGTCTGCTGGGACAGAAGCTGTCCCGTGAACAGCTCAGCCTGCAGAGACACAACAAGCACGAGAGGTCAAGGGACCTGCGGGGTCCCGAGTGGGACGAGACAGCCCCGGGGCCGGGGCCATCCGCCAGCTTCCACCATCAGGCTAGGATGAAGCCGAGGAAAAAAAACAGAAGAAAATATCACATTGCAAAGTTAAAATTGCTAACTTAACACCCCGACGGGGGGTTTTCCAAACAAACCCCTTTGCAAATATCCAAGTACCTTTTTTCATAGCCTAAACAATTTGTTTTTGTTTTTGTTGTTGTTGTTGTTGTTGTTTTGCCTTATAACCAAGATTATCTCCCTATTGTCTCTATGTATTTTCATTCTCTGCTGAATTGAATCCCAAAGATAAACACCTAGTGGGATGAAAATTTGCAAAAAATCTCGTACAAATGTACCTGGATTTTTGTAAATCATAAACGTTTAGCCTTAGATAACCAAATGGAACAAAGAGCTCCCCAGAGGGGCAACATAGACTCAATGTACCCATTCGTCTAGTAATTCATTCTAGAAATATCTACTAAGCATGACACGTGAAGATCCGCGTCTGGGACGTGCTGTTCTCCTGGCCTGGAACACCCCCGTTCCCCACCCCTGCAGGCTCCTCGTGCCCTTTAAGAGCCAACTTGAGGGTTTTCTCCTCTGAAATCTGACTCTGGAGTCTCTATTTGGGTCCCCACAGCCAGGGGCCAAAGGCAGTGCTCTTACTGCACTCATTAACTTAAATTACTTTATCTCCGTCCGTTGCCCAAGGGTTTACATGAATCTGCAGGGACTGGGTGTCCCGGCCATGTCTCGTGCACTTAACACAGGAAATGTTTGCTGAAAGGAATATCAATGCAGCCAGACAGACCCCTCACTGGTCCACCAAGGCTCAGCCTATTTCTAGCTTTGGGAACCCCTCGAGAGAATAACGAAAAAAAATGCAAAGAAAACAATAAATGAAACTAATAGAAAACTCGAAAGAAAAGAGACAAGGTGATTTCCTTAAATGCTTTTTTTTTTTTTTCTGGGCAGATGTACCGATTATTTTAGAGAATAGGACAAACATCCAGGCGTGGCTCCTTAGGAAGGGGTAAGCGTTCATGCATGCATCCACGAGACCTGTTTTTTCTGAGCACTCACTATACCCCAAGCACGGTGCAAAGCACCAAGATCACAGCAGGGAACAACAAAAAATAGGCCTCGACCTTGGAGACCCATCATCTAATGCCAAGCGCTTGACAAACGCTGAGAAATTAGCAAGCATCCATATTAGAGGGCTCGGGGTCACATGACACGCTGGTGCCCCACCTAGTGGATCTGGGGACAGGGAGCTGTCCCCATGGCACCTGCACCTCTGTATGTTCATCCAACAAATGTTTATGGCCCCTATTATGTGCCAGGTCTGTTTTTGACACCAGGGATCCACCAGTGAGCAAGAAAAACAAAAAGTCCTGGCTAGGCACGGTGGGGCACACCAGTAATCCCAGCATTTGGGAGGCCGAGGCAGGAGGATCGCTTGAGCCCAGGAGTTTGAGGTTGCTGTGAGCTAGGCTGATGCCACACCACTCACTCTAGCCCGGGCAACAGAGTAAGACTGTGTCTCAAAAAAAAAGAGAAAAAGACAACTAGATTTCCTATCAAGTAAAACATGGACTTTAGTTAATCATGTATCAATATTGGTTCATTCGGGCTGGGCGCAGTGGCTCACGCCTGTAATCCCAGCACTCTGGGAGGCTGAGGCTGGAGGATCACTCAAGGTCAGGAGTTCGAAACCAGACTGAGCAAGGGTGAAACCCCGTCTCCACTAAAAATAGAAATTAATTGGCCAACTAAAAATATAGAAAAAAAATTAGCCGCGCATGGTGGCGCATGTCTGTAGTCCCAGCTACTAGGGAGGCTGAGTCAGCAGGATTGCTTGAGCCCAGGAGTTTGAGGTTGCTGTGAGCTAGGCTGACGCCACGGCACTCTAGCCTGGGCAACAGAGTGAGACTGTTTCAAAAAAATAAAAAAAATAAATATTGGTTCATTCATTGTAACAAATAGACCACAGTATTGCAATAATAATAATGGTTAATAATAGTAATTCATAGTCAATTTAATAATAGTTAAATCAATAATTAATTTAATAATAGTTAATAACAGGAGAAACTAGGTACAGGGCATATGGGAACTCTCTATGCTATTTATGTAATTATTCTGTAAACCTAAAACTGTACTAAAAAAAAAATCTAAGGAAAAAAGAGTGGTCAAGGAAAGTCCCACTGGGGAGATGACACTGGAATAGAGACTCACAGGAGGGGAGAGTGAGCTCCACCTACGAGGGCCTGGGGGCGGGTCCTTCCGGGCAGAGGGGACGGCCCCCCGGTGGGAGGGGTCTGCTGTCTCTGATTAAGCTGGGGGAGGAGGACCTGCAGAGGCCGCCAGAGAAGAAAGCAGGGGACGGCTCAGCTGGGGTCTCACAGGTCATCGGAAGAATTCAGGGTTTCCTCCAAGCAGGCCCGAGAGCACGGACAGGGGTCTGAGCAAGGCTGGCTGCCCAGGGTTTCTGCATGTCACCCTGGTGGCAGGGATGAGCGTCACCTGCAGGTGGCAAGCAAGGTGGGCGAAGAGCTGTGATGGAGCTCAGAAAACAGGGGCCCACGTGAAGGCCTCAGAAATAAAAGTTCTTCCCTGACCTTCTCCCACCCTCCTGCCTCCCAGCCCCCTCCTCCCCCGAGGCTGGTCACAGAAACCAGAATCCCCCTTCCCCAAGGCAGGTCATAGAAGCCAGAATCCCTTTTCCCTAAACCCTAAAACGATTCTGCATAAAAACTGGCCATCAAGAAATTACCCAACCTACATTGTTTGACTGTCAGTCCGAAGACCCCCGATTCCAGACAGGGCCCTGCCCACCCCCAGAAGGAAAGTACATGCTCAGAGAGGCCAAGAAGGATCTAGACAGACGGGCCTTGCTGGGTTTCTCCATGCCGTTTGTTAGCGTTAGATCATACCCTTTTTGTCTAATCGTATTTCCACATGGCTGTTCATATGTTTATGTTGAAACTGAACATAAAAATGGACAATTTCTCCCATAGCTTTGAATTTTCCTTCTAAAGGATCCCATATATACACGTTAAAATTAATGCGTATGTCTTTTTCTCCAATTAATCAGTCTGCCTCATGTCAGTGATTTTTCAGCCCTTGGCCCCTACAGCTGCGAGTCTACCTGTCTAACTAAGCAGGTGGACGCCGTGAGCACCCCTGTGCCAGCCAGAGCACCTGGGCTGTGGTGCCACATACCGGGTGCACTTTAGAAGGGTCATCGAGCTCCAGCCTGGCCACCACGCAGCCCGCTTCCAGCACAACTCCCGGACGCTTAACGTACTTCACCCGGCCGCTCTCCTGCACGTTCAGCGTCATGATCATCTTCATCACCTGTTTCGCAGAAAGAATAAATAAGACAGAGCCTACCAAGACTGGCCTGTGTGTGTGACGCTCCAGCAGGGACTGAGTCATTTAAACAGAGTGACTCCCCGGGCAGGGTTCCAGCAGGAAGGGCAGAGAAAACCAGTATTGTTTGTTTGTTTGTTTGTTTTTTGAGACAGAGTCTCGCTTTGTTGCTCAGGCTAGAGTGAGTGCCGTGGCGTCAGCCTAGCTCACAGCAACCTCAAACTCCTGGGCTCAAGCGATCTTCCTGCCTCAGCCTCCCGAGTAGCTGGGACTACGGGCATGCGCCACCATGCCTGGCTAATTTTTTCTATGTATATTAGTTGGCCAATTAATTTCTTTCTATTTATAGTAGAGACGGGGTCTCGCTCTTGCTCAGGCTGGTTTCGAACTCCTGACCTCGAGCAATCCGCCCGCCTCGGCCTCCCAGAGTGCTAGGATTACAGGCGTGAGCCGCCGCGCCCGGCCCAGAAAACCAGTATTTACTGGAAGCCCGCTGTGTACCAGGCACAGTACTGTTCATGAATTATCTCAATCTGCAAAGCCAGCCAGGGGAGTAGGTGTTTATTACACGCATTTTACAGATATGGAAACTGATGTTTATTTTCAAAGGAAGACCTTATCTCGTAGAAATGCAATGAAATCTTATTGCGTAGGGTGACTGATATACATGTTCCTAAAATGTGCTCTTCCAAATCAAGCATTCTGTGAAGGGCTCTTTTCTTTAAAGACACCGAGAAACCCCTCCAGAGAACGTTTTATGCAGTGGAGAATATGCTCACAGCACGCTCACTGGGCCCTTGAATTTGCCTCTCTGAGTGTCTGGGGATACATGTGTGGCACGAATTTTGTCACCGTGGTGCCAGCTGCAGACAGGACTGTGCTGCCTCTTGCCTGGCAGGTCACAGTTTGGGCACTCAAGCCAGCCTGGCTGGAATCCCCACTCATTCCCTATGTGATCTCCAGAAAGTACCTTCCTCTCCTCGAGCCTCAGTTTCCCTAGTTGTAAAATGGGGGAACAATGACAGTTTCGCCCCTTAGGGCTTCTATAAGATTAAGTGAGATGACGAACCCGGCATGCAGCAGGTTGATATGCATAGGCTGATATTATTCACTGCCATCATTGTTATTGTTTTCCTTGGCAGCACAAAACGGGGTCTGGGTTTGAATCCTGGCTTTGTGCGACCTCGAGTGAGTTTCTTAGCCTGCCCGGGCCTGGTTCTTTCAGAAAATGGGGATCACAGCCTACCATGTGGTAAGGGCTTTGCAAGGGTTGGCTACACACCTTTTAATCGATGTCATCGCTATTATTAATCAGTTCTTACTCACTCCTGGGCAGGTGTGCATTTTTTGAGGTTTTCTCTTTGCATACCGGGTGGGGAGGGGGTTTGGGCTGAGCCCCCCCAGACTGGCTTTCTGAGGAATGTGCAGACAGCGGGGCCAAGGTGAGAGATGTGGCATTTTTGCTCGAACACAGACAAAGCCAGGAGCGCAGGGGCTTAGGGGAGGCTGGCTACAGGCCCCCCGCCCCAGGGCCGACCCCGTGGTCACCTCCATCTCTGCGTAGCTGCTCCCGGCCTCCACGTGGCCCCCGTCCTCCACCGTGTACTGCGTCAGCTTCCCGGCCGACGGGGATCTCAGGACCGTGGGATCGTTCTCCTTCTCAAACACACAAGTCTTGTTGCCGATGGTAATTCGGTAACTGGGAGACAGGAGGCGCAGGGTAGGGGTGGATGAGGACCGCAGCCCTGCACATGGACCCTGCAAGCTCGAACGAGGCCTCTGATGGTATTTCCCCTTTCCTAAAGGCAGCCAGGACTGTCACCCTCTCTGTGCCGTTTTAAGGGACTCTACAGTCCCAAATGGTGGTGTCTGAGGGGTATCCCAGACACCGGGGGTGAGCTGGGTGAGAGAAAGGCTACCATGTGACCCTGTTTGGGCTGAAAGCTAGTTCCTTTTACTGATATATTTCCAACAGGCCCCGGCACAGAGACAGCAACCAATAAACAGGATTCAATAAATATTTGCTGACTCCAAGTTTACACCTTACAACCGAATGGGGGAGAGCGGATACCGGTAATAATCTCGAACAGTCTTGGCAGACAGAACTCGGGTTAAAAAAGAGATAATAAAACAACACTGCTCTGGCATGGACCTAGTCTGCCTTCTTGCAAAACACCAGGTGCAGCTTTTTCCAGGCACGGGGGACTCTGGCATCCTCTCGCCTTTCGCTCTCCCCGGCCGGGGGCTGTGCACATTTCGTTACGTGTGACCTCGGCGTGCTCAGAACCCTGGCGAAGGAGCATCTTTGCGGCCTGTCTCGGGCGCCCACGTGCTAGAAGCGCCCAGGGCACCCTGAGTCTTCGCCATCAGGTACACGGCAACCTTTCCTGTCTCTGCTTATTTAGGGTGTCGAAGCTCCGTGAATCGTGACCTCGGTGCTATCTCAACACCTAGCTCAGCACCTGGGACAGAGGAGCTCCAAAAAATAACTGCTGTGGTAACGGGCTGGACCGATCCACATGGATGCATGGAGAGCGCAGCTCAGACGTGGGGGACAGCAGGTGACAAGGCACACGCCTCACAGGCCGAGAAGCCCCCGCTCAGCTCTGAGTCCTCCCAGGCTGCTACAAAAGGGCCTCCTGGGAGCCTTCCCTAAATTCGGGTTTCACGCCAGTTGCATGGAACTCTCACCAAGAAATTAACCTCCCCGAGTACTCCCAAAATTTAGCAGGGTACCTCGTCTAAGCCCCTCGGACCTGCACACAGGCCAGCTCTGGGTTTTCGGCTCCCACGAGAGAGCAAGCTGTGCACGCCCAGCCCGTGGCAGGACCTGGCGCCCCGCGCACCTGTCGACCTCTTCCTTCATGTAGGTGGTGTAGCTGTTCCCGTTGTAGGACAGCAGCAGCCCGCCATCGTTCAGCCGGTGGGCGTCGATCTCGATGTGGCAGCCGTTCATGATGAGCACAAACATGGTCAGAGACTGCCGGGCCACCTGCAGGGACAAGCCTCACGTCACGGCCTGGGCTCAGGACGGGCTCCCAGAGCGCTATCTGGTCCCTCAGCCAGCATCTCCTGGCCTCAGCCCTCACTGTGCCCGGGGGTGGGACAGCAGCTACTGGGGCCCCAGGAGGCCCGGAGGTGGCGAGCCACTCCTGCCCCCTGGGTGGGCTGGTGGGCACTGGCGCAGACCGAGTCCCTGTCCAGCCATCTCCCGCCAACTGCACGCCCTCCGGGGCTGGGGGCTTCCTTCTGATTCCTGTCTCCTGACATCAGCACGCTTGGTGGCAGGGAGATGGGCTCTCACTCTGGGCGAGGCAGCCCTGGAGACTCCACCAGCAGCCTGGTGCAAGGACTGAATGAATGTTCATGTCTGTTCCCCAACCCCAAATTACACGTGGAAGGTGACAGCGTTAGGAGGTGAGGCCTTTCGGAGGTGATTAGGCCGTGAGCAGGGGAGCCCTTCCAAAAACATAAGGACACAGTGAAAAGACAGCCATCTATGGGACAGAAAACAGGCCCTCATCACACACCAAATCTGCCAACGTCTTCATCTTGAACTTCCCAGCCTCTAGAATTATTAGAAGTGCATTCGATTGTTTACGAGCTGCCCAGTCTATGGTATTTTGTTACAGCAGCCCAAATGGGCTACCACGCCTGAACCTGGCCAGCACTCTGCTCCTCAGACCCAGCTCTGCCCAGGTGCACACGAGAGACTTGGGACACAGGACAGAGGCATGTAGCCGGGCCCTGGCCCAGGCTCTACATTTCTATCCAGCCAAAGTGCCAGCCCCATCTGGCTCTCAACACTTTGCATGTGTTCTCCCTCGGAAAACAGAGACACTAAAGGGCCCTCCATCTATAAAATATATATTTTGAGACAAAAGCTAGAAAGAGGTTGGGCACGGTGGCTTGCACCTGTAATCCTAGCACTCTGAGAGGCCGAGGCGGGAGGATCACTTGAGGTCAGGAGTTTGAGATCAGCCTGAGCAAGAGTGAGACCCTGTCTCTACTAAAAAAAAATAGAAAGAAATTAGCTGGACAACTAAAAATATATATATATATATAGTATAATAGAAAAAAATTAGCCGGGCATGGTGGCGCATGCCTGTAGTCCCAGCTACTCAGGAGGATGAGGCAGAAGGATTATTTGAGCCTAGGAGTTTGAGGTTGCTGTGAGCTAGGCTGACACTACAGCACTCTAGCCCGGGCAACAGAGTAAGATTCTGTCTCAAAAAAAATAAATAAAAAAGCTAGTGAGAAACATAGAAATATTCGTTTTATTATTTATTTTATATTTAACTATTCTTTTCTTATTATTTTGTTTGGCTCCACCCTCATGACTTATAGACATATTTACTGTAACATTATTTGTAATAACAATAAAAATGAGAACCAAACTAGCGATCCAACAAGCTTGCAACGGAACACTCCAGACCTGCGCTGTCCAATACGGTGATGCCTGGCTCATCACACGGGGCTATCTGAGTTGAAATTAGCCAACATTAAATAGAACAAAAAATCCAGTTCTTCAGTCACACTTGCCACAATTCAAGTGCTCACAGGCGCAGGTGGGCAGCACACTGGACAGAGTGGACAGGGGCATTCCCACCACTGCCGAAGGCTCTGGTAGACAGACGTTAAACTCATGCTCAAGATAAGTCGTTCATGGCGTGAGAAACTTTATGCTGTGGTACTACCAAGGCCATAAAACTATATTTGTACCAGCCTGGGCAACACAGTAGGACCCATCTCTTAAAAAGAGGAAATTATGCTGGATGAGGGTGGACACTAAATGCAACGTGACTTCCTTCCTACAAGGCAGACAGTGTGAAGACAGACACACAGACACACACACAGAGGGGTCACAGCATGGGAAGGCAGCAGCCGACTGGAGCAACGCATCCACAAGTCAGGGGACGCCGAGGACTGCCCACGCCCGCCGGGAGCTGGGAAGGCCTGGAACGGGCACTTCCCCGGCGCCATCAGCTAACACCTTGGTTTTGGACTTCCAGCCTCCAGAACAGTGCTAGAACACGCTTCCGATGGTTTTTTTTTTTTTTTTTTGAGACAGAGTCTCACCTTTGTTGCCCAGGCTAGAGTGAGTGCCGTGGCGTCAGCCTAGCTCACAGCAACCTCAATCTCCTGGGCTCAAGTGATCCTCCTGCCTCAGCCTCCCAAGTAGCTGGGACTACAGGCATGCGCCACCATGCCCCGCTAATTTTTTGTATATATATTTTTACTTGGTCAATTAATTTCTTTCTATTTTTAGTAGAGACGGGGTCTCGCTCAGGATGGTTTCGAACTCCCAACCTCAAGCAATCCGCCCGCCTCAGCCTCCCAGAGTGCTAGGATTACAGGCGTGAGCCACCGCGCCCGGCCGCTTCTGATGTTTTGAACCGCCCCTTGGTGGTACCCCGTTACGGCAGCCACGGGAAACTCACACGCGAGTCCTCAGCCCTCTGTACGCCACTCAGCTCTACCTGGTCCGAAACGCCAAGTCTTTAGGTTTGACGGCCACAAACCCCAGGGCATTCCCGAGCCACACGAACGCTCAGCCCCAAGCGTGAGCAAATCCACCCCAGGGGCGGTTCCTGGAGACAGCGGGCCGGAGACACCCGGGGAGGGGCACGGGCGCCTACCTTGAGGATGTACTTGACGCCTCCGTAGATGAGCTGCACGTCCACGATGTTCAGCAGCGAGTCTGCTGGGAGGACCTGGCCCCTGGGAAAGAAGACAGGGCTGCGGCCAGCCTCGGGAGGGGCTGAGAACTCTGCGGCCATCCCCTGGACTCCAAAAGCCCGCCCCGCTCTCTGCCTCTCCTGAGCATCCACGACCCAGACAGCCGCAGAACGCACTAAGTCGGGGGAAAGGGCGTGCACGGGGCATGGCTCAGCCCGAGGCGCCCGGCGACCCGCGGGATTTGAGGAATTCTTAAGGAGCCCAGGCTGGCAAGGGACCTGCCACCCACGCACGGCACGTCCCGCCTTCTACGCCACTGACACGCAGCAGCACCCGCCGCGCGCCCTACCTCTCCAGGGAGTGCAGGAAATCCGTCATGCAGGTTCTGAACATCGCGTCGGCCACGTTCAAGGCCCCGCACACCACCCCGAGCATGATGTCCGGCTTCTCGGCCTAGGCAAGACGCTCTGCGTCAGCATCCGCGGGGAGCTGGGGGTCCCGGCCACCCGGGGGAGAGACACGGCAAGCTCCCCCTACCTGCACTTTTTCGGCGATGAGGTGGTCCAACCAGCCAGTGTCGATGTCGTTGTTCTGGAAACTCTCGGTCTCCAGGAGGTTGATGAGATATTCCACGGTGGTCCTGAAGTCGCCCCGGATGGACAGCTCCTTCAAAGCCACCACCATGTTCCTGGAGGGGAAAGGCACACGTCTGTTTTGCAAAATTAGCACGTGGATCGTAAATAGCACGAGGTCGCTCTCGTGACGCGGTTCTCAGAGAACCAGGAGATCTCGGGAGGTAAGGAGAGGGCCCTGTGTCAGACGGCCGGCCTGCTCATCTCCTTGCCACCACTCACTGGCTCGGTCATCCTGGGCAAGTGACTGAACTGCCCTGGGCCTCAGTTTCCTCATCTGGAAAATGGGGGCATAACCCTGACTTCATGAGGCTATTTGAGGATTACAATGAGGCAACCCATAAACAACACAGTCATCGATCCATAAATGTTAACTGCTGAAACGTGATGTGTCGCCATTAGTATAATTATTAACCATAATGGTTAATTATTAATAGAGAGAGAATCAGCCCCTCTGCCCCTGTCTCTCCCTTGACCTAGTCAAACCCTCTGTCTCAGAGCCGGTGTCATCCTCTTGCGGTCCACACGGCTGTTCTGCCCAGTGTGCACCTGCAGACGGTGACACTGCCACCCGGCGCAGGGGCCTGGCGGGCACCGTGGCTTCCTCCGCTAAACACGGGTCCGACCTCAAAGAGCAGCAGTTCAAAGGGCTGAACCGCCACTCCCTGCGGACTCCCGGTGTCGGTCGGCACGGGCGAGGGGCATCGATGACCCCATTCTGCGGGCGAGAAAACGGGGACCCGGAGAAGTCACACAAGGGTGTGGTGACAGGCTACAGAGTCAGCAGTGGAGCTGGAAGCCGGATCTGAGCGCTGAGCCACCGGACCCCGGGCGGACAGACTCACACACATTTGTCAGGGCATTCCCAGCTTTAGCAACCCGGAAGTCCCGGGAACACTGGGACAGCTGATCCCCCTGTGGGACTCTGAGTGGCAGCGATAAGAAAAGCTGGAATTTCTTGCTCCGAATTCTGCTGAAGCTGCTGCTTGTCACTCACGGCACGGGACGAGCCACAGGTGATTTGATTCCGAGTGGGCTGGGCCAGCTCACCTGTCTCCTACCCCTCCTGTTAAACCTTCTTTGCTGCAACCCTCCATAAGCTCGATGATCTCAACTTTTCACTGAGCACAATTAAAATGACTTATCCTAGGCCAGGTGCGGCTCATGCCTGTAATCCTAGCACTCTGGGAGGCCGAGGCCGGAGGTCAGGAGTTCAAGAGCAGCCTGAGCAATAGCCAGACCCTATCTCTAATAAAAATAGAAAGCAATTACCCAGACAACTAAAATATATATAAAAAAAAAATTAGCCGGGCATGGTGGCGCACGCCTGTAGTCCCAGCTACTCTGGAGGCTGAGGCAGGAGGATCACTTAAGCCCAGGAGTTTGAGGTTGCTGTGAGCTAGGCTGATGCCACGGCACTCTAGTCGGGACAACAGAGTGAGACTCTGTCTCAAAAAAGGAAAAAAAATAAAATAAAATTACTTATCCTAAGCTGGCAAAGAAAGCCTGGTTGTCAAAACCACCAAATTTAATTTAATTCTGGGCTAACTGCCCTGGGCCAGATTTTAATGCTTTCTAAATGATACGGTTCACAGGTCTTTGGGAGTTTTCATTCTGAAGGGCGGTGATCCACCCACACAAGAAGGCACCCACGTCGGAGCAGGAGAATGTCGGATGCGGGGTGTCAAAACTGGGGCGGCTCTTCCTCAGCGTGGGCTTCTCACCTTTGCAGAACTCTGCAGCCAAGCGTGGACCTGGCTAACTGAGGACAAGGGGCTGCTGTCACAGGCTTTAGGGTGGTGAGGGGTTCAGGCAGGACACACCCCCTAAGAAATTTAATCTCTGGCATGAAATCCAGCCAGCTAGGGAGCTATTTGTGAAGTTTAAATTTAAAAGAGCTTCTCTCTCTTCTTTTTTTTTTCCTCTTTGTCAACTATGGTATTCAGAACCTTTTAAACGTTTGGTATCACCTTGAACAAGCTTTGATCTCCTTCAAGTTAGAACTCTTCTAAGCTCCAGACCAAAAGACCTTGGTGAGTTCATTTTCACTTTGTGGATCTCCAATAAAGGAAAAGGGCAGACTTTGACCTTGAACTTCGAGCACACAGTATTTAAAAATAGGGTCTGCCCTGTGATTCCCCTTTCTTGGTCTCCTAAAATGCCAGTGCATCTGAAACCACGGGGGGGAAATTTTAGTTTCTTAAAGGAAGGAAAGAGGGGAAGAGAGGAGGGAGGAAGAAGGGAGGGAGGGAAGGAAGGAATAACGGAGGGAGGGGGAGGCAGTACTGACGAAATGGCCTCTTCCCGGTTCTCTCCCCAGGAGAAGCAGTGGCCAAACTGGGAATCGGCGAACTCGTGCAAGCCTCCGGCGGCAGCCACGCTGAAGTAACCCCACACGTTCTTGTTGCTGCGGAAATTTAATTCCTGGACCGTCCCTGAGCTCGGCTTAAACCCCTGGAGCCCAGACAGAAAAAAGCAAAATGGAAGAAATCGTTATTACTCCAGATGTATCTTCACCAGAATTCAGTCCTGGGCAAACCCGAGAATGCCAACCACAACCGAAAGCTCAGGGTGACGGATGAAACATTGATCTCTCTTGTTACAGGTGTGGACGGAGCTAGTTACGGGTGTGCCTCAATGGGAATACCTCAATGCCTGTCATTTTTATTTTTAAAAAACTATAAAAAAAGAACAGCTGAGCTGGGACAGGGGAGAAGGCGCAGGGAGAATACAGGTAAATGCTGATGACTTGGGGCTGGATGAAGGGACATTCTGATTTTATGCACTTGATGTTTTCGAAAATAAAACGTTTAAATAACAGGGAAGAGTGGTTAGATTTCCAACCCTGGAGGACAATTCCCACAGGACCTAGGGTACCCCCCCCCCAGGGGGGACCCTGTGGCTGCTAACACACACCTGACCCCTCTGGGGGGATGGCCCGTCCCTCCTAAGCACGATTTTGTTAAGAGTGAGTGGATGTGGACCCTCTCACTGGGATTAGTTTTCTTAAATTAAGTGCTGGGGCATATTAGCTCTGGGAGAGGCGTGTAGAAGCAAGAGATGAAGTAGCGCAGGTGCCTGGGTTGTTTCCAAACCTAGTTCTCCACCGTCCCAGACACCGGGAACAAGCCAGCACCCCTCCAGAAAATTCCCATTTTGCTTGACCAGAGTTAGTGTTTAATTTGTGGCCAAGAACCCCAAACAGATGGAATGGCTACCATAGATTAAAATTATTTAATTAATAGGGAAGGGGTGACCCCTCTCACCCCAAGTTTCCAGAATGCAATAATCAAACAATGAAGTTGCAGTAAATTAATGAGTCCTGTGACTCTCAAGGGTCAGTTCGTGTGTAAACTGTCACAGACGCTGGGCGGTTCGTTTTTCAAGACTCGAGTGAGACCAAGTCACAAAGGGACTCCCTACAATGGGCTGGGCAAGATTTTGTTTATATTGTGGCAAAAAGCACAGGGTGGCCGGGCATGGTGTGGCTCACGCCTGTAATCCAAGCGCTTTGGGAGGCTGAGGCAGGAGGATCGCTTGAGCTCAGGAGTTGGAGACCAGCCTGAGCAAAAGTGAGACCCCCGCCTCTACAAAATAATAGAAAAATTAGCCAGGCATAGTGGCACATGCCTGTACTCCCAGCTACCTGGGAGGCTGAGGCAGGAGGATCACCTGAGCCCAGGAGTTTGAGGTTGCAGGGAGCTATAATCACACCATGGCACTCCCGCCTGCGCAACAGAATGAGACTCTGTCTCAATCAATCAATCAATCAATAAAAGCACATGAGGCCAGAAATTCAAGAACTACACCTGACTGCCTGTCCCCAAGATGGAACGTGGACTTTGGAGTCCACCAACTGGGCTCAGCGACGGCCCCAGCAGGTCCCGGGTGGGAGGCAAGTGACCCCAACCCCTCTGGCTGTCATGTGGGGTAACAATGCCCCACGGCAGCGACGTCGTGCAAGCGAGCACCGAGATGCAGAAAGGGTCTCGGTCATGCAATAATCCGATCAATCCAAAAATCCCATAAACCATGACGTGTCCCCATCCCGCACCTCAGTTTCCCCATTTGCAAACCGAGAGGCCACCTGGACAGCGGGTGTCTCCTCCAAGGCCGACATCCGGGGTCCGCCCCGCGCTGGGAGATTTGGGACGGGGAAATGCAGGGGCCCCAGGACTCGCCTCATCCGGGTTTTCACTGGTGATTCTGGCCGCAATGACGTGGCCGCGGGCGAGGGGGGGACTTGAAGGGGCTTCGAAGGAGATGGGTGTCACCGCCCACGGTGACTCTCCGTACAGGAGCCGGATATCCTTCAGCCGGTGCAGCGGCACCCCCATGGCGATCTAAAAGCAAGAAATCCGCCCCACAGGCTGTCAGCGGGACACACGACACGGGAACGGGTTCGGTCGATGACTTCAGATACGCTGAGCACCGCGTGTACCACACGGGGCCCCACCATGGCAGGAGAGGCAAAGGAGGAAAAACAACAAGGAGGGAACCTGCCACTGCACAGCAAAAGGTGTGGTTGGGGGCCGGGCGTGGTGGCTCACACCTGTAATCCTAGCACTTTGGGAGGCTGAGGCAGGAGGGCTGCTTGAGGCCAGGAGTTCAAGACCAGCCTGGGCAACATAGCAAGACTCCGCCTCTACAAAAAAATTTCAAAAATGAGCCGGGTGCTAATTAGCTGGACAACTAAAAACATATAGAAAAAATTAGTCAGGCATGGTGGCACATTCCTGGAGTCCCAGGTATTTGGGAGGCTGAGGCAGGAGGATCGCCTGAGCCCAGGAGTTTGAGGCTGCAGTAAGCTGTGATCATGCCACTGCACTCCAGCCTGGACAACACAGCAAGAAGCTGTCTCTTAAAAAAAAAAAAAAAAAAAAAAGTGTGGTTGGGAAAAGCAGCAACATTCATGAAACGACATCACACAATAAGAAAACATTCGCATCAAGTAAAAGTTCTAGACTCTCAGCGCTATGGGAGGTGAGAAGGAACAGCGTGGGCTGCAGGTTTATGTGCCTCCCAACGGGATGTACTAAAGACATAACGTCACCTGTGTAATATTCTGCCAAAGTATTTAGTGTGAATCTAATCAGGAAAAAGAAAAATCAGATATCCAAAGTGAGGGACATTCTGCCTGAACTCTTCGAAAATGCCAATGTCAAGAATGAGCCAAATAAGACTTGGGGGCCTGTCCCAGATTAAAGAGACATGACAATGAAATGGAATGTGTCATTAAGGGCAGGAGCCTGGATTTAAGAAAACAAACAAACAGAAAACAGCCATAAAGGGACGTTACTGGCACAACTAGGAAAATTTTTAATGTGGATGGTGTATATTGGACACATATGTGGTGTCAATGCTGTATTTCCAGAGTGTCGTAATTACATGGGGGTATTGTTCCAGAATGCCCTTGTTCTTAGGAGGCCTCATACCACGCTGTCCTATCAGAGGCCTCATGTCACGAAGGTTCAGTCAAAGCACCTTGCAAATTTTGGGGGGGAGGGGGCAAACAATAAAATATATAACTGGAGAGAGAGAAAGAGAGAGAGCAAATGTAACAATTGGTGGGTCTCCATGCAGGGTATATGGGTGTTAATTGTACTATTTTTACGACTTTCCTGAAATTTTTCAAACTAAAAAAAATATTTTTAATTTTTAAAAATAAAAATTCTGAAGGAAGGAAAAGTGGATGGCAGGAAAGAGGGAAGAAGAAAGGAAAGAAAGGAGGGAAGGGAAGGGAAGAGAAGGGAAGGGGGAAAGGGGAGGGGGAGGGGAAGGGAAGGAGAAGGGAAGGGGGAAAGGAAGGGAAGGGGGAAGGAAGGGAAAAGAAAAGGAAGGAAGGAAAGAAACATTAATAAAAAAAATTTCAGAGTTCTCATTAACCAAAGAGTTCATAACTCTGGGTCACATATTCTTACCAAGGGTGACACTGTCCCCAAGAGGGGCAAATATTTGTTTTGGGGAATGAAAAAAAATCTTACTCTTTTTCTGTACAAAGCACAGATATAAGTACAAAATCCAAACAGATATATGGTATATCTGTGACATTAAAATTTTACAGGGCAGGCCGGGCGTGGTGGCTCACGCCTGTAATCCTAGCACTCTGGGAAGCCAAGGCAGGCGGATTGCTTGAGGTCAGGAGTTCGAAACCAGTCTGAGCAAGAGCCAGACCCTGTCTCTACTATAAATAGAAAGAAACTAATTGACCAACTAATATATATAGAAAAAATTAGCCGGGCATGGTGGTGCATGCCTGTAGTCCCAGCTACTCGGGAGGCTGAGGCAGGAGGATCGCTTGAGTCCAGGAGTCTGAGGTTGCTGTGAGCTAGGCTGACGCCACGGCACTCACTCTAGCCTGGGCAACAAAACAAGACTCTGTCTCAAAAAATAAATAAATAAATGAATAAAATAAAATTTTATAGGGCAGGGATTAGGATAAAAAAGTCTTAAAACACTCTGGGGTGGGGCAGCAATAATGAAAAAAAGGTTAAGAAACACATCTGTAGGTCTATGAAGGTATCAGGGGGTCCACAAAGATCTGAACTTGTATAAAATATATTTTCCCAGGAGAAGGTCTATAGCTTTTACCAGTTTCTAAAATGGCCTCTATGGCCAAAGGCGACAAACCAGTTCATGGAAGGTTCTCATGGTGCCCAAGGCTACTCACACATGAAAACAGTCATTGCCCAGGAGCAGCCAGTCAAGAGGTGGGTAGGAAGGTGCCCCCCCAAACCCAGGGAGCAGGACGAGCCCCCCACCCCTACCCCCCGCCAGGGCTTGGAGCCGGCTATCTTGCCTGCAGCTGGGCGGCCGGCAGGTTGACGTCTGCGATCATTTCCGTGCAAGGGTGTTCCACCTGCAGGCGAGGGTTCAGCTCCAGGAAGTGGAAGCTGCCGTCCTGGCTGTAGAGGTATTCAACCGTCCCCGCGCTCACGTAGCCCACGGTCTTGGCCAGGCGGACAGCACACTGCAAGGACACAGAGGCCACGGGGCGTCCAGTAGTCACTTCTCGGGTCATTGTAAACGGTGACTATTCATTAACTCGCCAAATGCAGACTGAGCACCTCTGTTGCGTGACACATTCGGGGACCTCATAGATCGGCTAATGAATAAACCTACACGACGCTGAAACCATCTCCAGGATGGGCCCCCCTCCTCTTCCTGGGCACCCGCCCCACCTTCTAGCCACGCTGACCACGCCGACTATGGAAGGCGTCGGCTGGCTCTGAGCTGAGACAGCCCTCCCTGCAGCTGTCCCCCACGCGCCCCAAAGCACACCTGCTCCATGAACTCAAACACGGCCAGAGGGGCAATGGTGGCCGGTGCCTCCTCGATGATCTTCTGATGCCGCCGCTGGATGGAGCAGTCTCGCCCGAACAGAGACACAGCGTTCCCGTACTGGTCAGCGAGGATCTGGACCTCCAGGTGACGGGCGTGCTGGGCCAGCTTCATCAGAAAGATCGGTGAGCCTGGGATCTCACTCTGCACCTGCAGGGGAAGGAGAGCGGCTGGTTCCTCATAGGGAAACCAGCTCTGGAAGCTTCTGGAAGTTACCAGAAGAGTGCAAAAAAACAATAGCAGTGATGCGGTTAGGAGACTCCTCTAGGATTCTACTGGTCTTTCACTTGTGTCGTCTCAAAGGCGTTATATTCTCAAGTTTGTGTAAGTCAAACATTGTGAAAACTGTGGAATTTCCCCAACAATCCCATCTCCTACAGATAATGCACTGTTGAAAGTTTGGTGCACAAACTGGTTTTCTTCTACACATACAGCAACACATACAAAGTTTCTTTGAACAAATATGAGACCAAAACACACTACTCTGCAGTTGCTTTTTTTTCTCCTACCTCTTGGACTTTCTTAGCTAGCTCTGCACAGGGGAACCTAAAGACGAACTTATTCTTCGTCTAGAAGGCACTGCCTTCTAGTTATGTCATCTGGAGAGTCTTAAAGACAATGTAAGAAAAAGTGCACACCTGCAATGATTTCTAAGAGAAGTTTAAAAAAAAAGCAATTTGCACTAACATAGGATGACCCCACTTAGATGAAAACTACTAAAACAACTGTACAAACGACTATGTAAAAATACAGACAGTGAAGGTTCTGGAAGAGACCCAGCTGCTAACAGTGGTTATATCACAGAAAGCAGAAGTTGGGAGGGGTATTCTCAACACGCCACTGACTTGACTTTCTACCTTAGGAATATTTTCATAGTGTACTCAAGCAAGTAAAAGGAAAAAGCTTAGGGGGGCCATGCATGCATGGGGCAGGGGGAATGTGGGGAATTTCTGTAATTTCTGCTGTTTTGTTATTAAGCTCAAACTGCTCAAATAAATAAAATCTACTTTTTAAGAGGAAGAAAGCTTTAAAATCAAAATGACCCCTAATGCAAGGTGGGATTCAGGACTGGATCCTGCCACTGGAAAAGGACATTAGTGGGAAAACTGGTGAAATCTGAATCGAGTCTAGCGTATACTTAACAGAAATGTCCCCACGTGGTGTATTTATATGTAAAATGTTAGTAACAAGGAAAACTGGGCCGGGTGCGGTGGCTCATGCCTGTAATCCTAGCACTCTGGGAGGCTGAGGCGGGCGGATTGCTCGAGGTCAGGAGTTTGACACCAGCCTGAGCAAGGGCGAGACCCCATCTCTACTATAAAAAGAAAGAAATTAATTGGCCAACTAATATATATAGAAAAAATTAGCCGGGCATGGTGGCGCATGCCTGTATTCCCAGCTACTCGGGAGGCTGAGGCAGGAGGATCGCTTGAGCCCAGGAGTTTGAGGTTGCAGGGAGCTATAATCACACCATGGCACTCCCGCCTGCGCAACAGAATGAGACTCTGTCTCAATCAATCAATCAATCAATAAAAGCACATGAGGCCAGAAATTCAAGAACTACACCTGACTGCCTGTCCCCAAGATGGAACGTGGACTTTGGAGTCCACCAACTGGGCTCAGCGACGGCCCCAGCAGGTCCCGGGTGGGAGGCAAGTGACCCCAACCCCTCTGGCTGTCATGTGGGGTAACAATGCCCCACGGCAGCGACGTCGTGCAAGCGAGCACCGAGATGCAGAAAGGGTCTCGGTCATGCAATAATCCGATCAATCCAAAAATCCCATAAACCATGACGTGTCCCCATCCCGCACCTCAGTTTCCCCATTTGCAAACCGAGAGGCCACCTGGACAGCGGGTGTCTCCTCCAAGGCCGACATCCGGGGTCCGCCCCGCGCTGGGAGATTTGGGACGGGGAAATGCAGGGGCCCCAGGACTCGCCTCATCCGGGTTTTCACTGGTGATTCTGGCCGCAATGACGTGGCCGCGGGCGAGGGGGGGACTTGAAGGGGCTTCGAAGGAGATGGGTGTCACCGCCCACGGTGACTCTCCGTACAGGAGCCGGATATCCTTCAGCCGGTGCAGCGGCACCCCCATGGCGATCTAAAAGCAAGAAATCCGCCCCACAGGCTGTCAGCGGGACACACGACACGGGAACGGGTTCGGTCGATGACTTCAGATACGCTGAGCACCGCGTGTACCACACGGGGCCCCACCATGGCAGGAGAGGCAAAGGAGGAAAAACAACAAGGAGGGAACCTGCCACTGCACAGCAAAAGGTGTGGTTGGGGGCCGGGCGTGGTGGCTCACACCTGTAATCCTAGCACTTTGGGAGGCTGAGGCAGGAGGGCTGCTTGAGGCCAGGAGTTCAAGACCAGCCTGGGCAACATAGCAAGACTCCGCCTCTACAAAAAAATTTCAAAAATGAGCCGGGTGCTAATTAGCTGGACAACTAAAAACATATAGAAAAAATTAGTCAGGCATGGTGGCACATTCCTGGAGTCCCAGGTATTTGGGAGGCTGAGGCAGGAGGATCGCCTGAGCCCAGGAGTTTGAGGCTGCAGTAAGCTGTGATCATGCCACTGCACTCCAGCCTGGACAACACAGCAAGAAGCTGTCTCTTAAAAAAAAAAAAAAAAAAAAAAGTGTGGTTGGGAAAAGCAGCAACATTCATGAAACGACATCACACAATAAGAAAACATTCGCATCAAGTAAAAGTTCTAGACTCTCAGCGCTATGGGAGGTGAGAAGGAACAGCGTGGGCTGCAGGTTTATGTGCCTCCCAACGGGATGTACTAAAGACATAACGTCACCTGTGTAATATTCTGCCAAAGTATTTAGTGTGAATCTAATCAGGAAAAAGAAAAATCAGATATCCAAAGTGAGGGACATTCTGCCTGAACTCTTCGAAAATGCCAATGTCAAGAATGAGCCAAATAAGACTTGGGGGCCTGTCCCAGATTAAAGAGACATGACAATGAAATGGAATGTGTCATTAAGGGCAGGAGCCTGGATTTAAGAAAACAAACAAACAGAAAACAGCCATAAAGGGACGTTACTGGCACAACTAGGAAAATTTTTAATGTGGATGGTGTATATTGGACACATATGTGGTGTCAATGCTGTATTTCCAGAGTGTCGTAATTACATGGGGGTATTGTTCCAGAATGCCCTTGTTCTTAGGAGGCCTCATACCACGCTGTCCTATCAGAGGCCTCATGTCACGAAGGTTCAGTCAAAGCACCTTGCAAATTTTGGGGGGGAGGGGGCAAACAATAAAATATATAACTGGAGAGAGAGAAAGAGAGAGAGCAAATGTAACAATTGGTGGGTCTCCATGCAGGGTATATGGGTGTTAATTGTACTATTTTTACGACTTTCCTGAAATTTTTCAAACTAAAAAAAATATTTTTAATTTTTAAAAATAAAAATTCTGAAGGAAGGAAAAGTGGATGGCAGGAAAGAGGGAAGAAGAAAGGAAAGAAAGGAGGGAAGGGAAGGGAAGAGAAGGGAAGGGGGAAAGGGGAGGGGGAGGGGAAGGGAAGGAGAAGGGAAGGGGGAAAGGAAGGGAAGGGGGAAGGAAGGGAAAAGAAAAGGAAGGAAGGAAAGAAACATTAATAAAAAAAATTTCAGAGTTCTCATTAACCAAAGAGTTCATAACTCTGGGTCACATATTCTTACCAAGGGTGACACTGTCCCCAAGAGGGGCAAATATTTGTTTTGGGGAATGAAAAAAAATCTTACTCTTTTTCTGTACAAAGCACAGATATAAGTACAAAATCCAAACAGATATATGGTATATCTGTGACATTAAAATTTTACAGGGCAGGCCGGGCGTGGTGGCTCACGCCTGTAATCCTAGCACTCTGGGAAGCCAAGGCAGGCGGATTGCTTGAGGTCAGGAGTTCGAAACCAGTCTGAGCAAGAGCCAGACCCTGTCTCTACTATAAATAGAAAGAAACTAATTGACCAACTAATATATATAGAAAAAATTAGCCGGGCATGGTGGTGCATGCCTGTAGTCCCAGCTACTCGGGAGGCTGAGGCAGGAGGATCGCTTGAGCCCAGGAGTTTGAGGTTGCTGTGAGCTAGGCTGACGCCACGGCACTCACTCTAGCCTAGGCAAGAAAGCGAGACTCTGTCTCAAAAAAAAAAAAAAAAAAAAGAATGGCAAGATTGTCAGCATATATTTTTTTTTTAAGCATTGCTCCAAACAGCCATAATGTTTTAAAAAAGAAAAACAAGCTACAAATGAGTATATATACAACTAGTTCCTACAATTAAAGTTGATCATTTAGAAATGTTAAAAACACCAAGACTACCAAAATTTATAAAATACCCCATCCTTCCATAGGCCAACGTAGTCACCAACAACGACCGTGACCCTGAACCTCTGAAATTATGTATATAGGTACGCTGATTCACAGAATTGAACCCCTAAGGAAATGGCATCAAGATGAACACAAAACCATGGCTTCTGTAAGTAAAAATGTACGAATTTGCTTCAAAATGCCCCATTGTGCATAAATCCGACTTCTGCAAGTATCTTCTTGTTGCTAAATAATGCTAATTGACATAACCTGCTTGGTGGCCACTAATTTGATGAGGTCATTCCCCAAGACACGCGGGAAAACACCAGGCAGGAACCGCGCACCTGTCTGAAAAGGATCGGGAAGTCCTCTGCGCTCTCAGCCTTCCGGATGCCCTTCCCTCCGCCGCCTTCAGACGCTTTGATCATCAAGGGGAAACCAATTCTTTCCGCCGCCTGGGTGCCAAGGACAAGCAGACCTCCTTAGAGGCTAGACAGTTAGCTGCCAGTCCACCCCGGGGGGAGGAAGTGGTTCAGGCTCCGGCTGCCTGGCCCAGCAGGTCCTGCGTTTACCTCCAAGCCCTCATCGACATCTTTCACGCAACCCTTTTCATAGACGTCTTCAGGGACAGTGATTATTTTCCCCTGCTGCAAATCGTCCTCTGTCCACGCCACCGTCAGACCTGGAGAGTCACAAAGAAAGCTGATTCCTCCTGAGGACGGCGGAAACAACACTCGCCAACACAGAAACCACAGGGCATCCCCGAGGGAGCCGCTCTAGACCTGGGGCTCTGGACCGACAGGACACAGACCTGTCCCATCGTGGCTCTTCATTGTCTCAAGGATGATGGGCTCGCCCCTGATGGGACATCGAGCTTAAGAAATTCAGACTGAGTCTACCAAGAACAATCATATTAACCTGAATCCAAAAAGATCCTCATTCTATCCTGTGGAGTCCTTTATATGTGAATCATTATTATCTAAAACCACGTGAAGATTTAACAAATGAAAACAAATTTTTCATTCCAAATTTAAAATTCAACCTCTAGAGCAAAAAAAATCAAATATAATAGGAAACTGCTGTTTTCCTGTTTATTTTTTCATTTGTCCTAGAAATTCCACTTTTTGGAATTTATCCTAAGAAAAAGATTAAAATGCAGATATAGATTTAGCTATAAGATTATCAAAGCCCCATTCCTTTGAATCTTTTTTAAATTAGGAAAAATAAACTGGAGGCAACCTAAATCATATAACTATAGAATAAGGTTAAGTAAATTATGGTACATCCATACAACATAATCCTAACGCAGGCATTTTAAATGGTGTAAAGTATATTTATTGACATAGAAAGATACTAACTAATGAAAAAAAGTCACAAACTAGGAAATATAAGATCTCTCTCTCTTTTTTTTTTTTTTAAAGGATTTACCTTAAGGAAAAGGTTGGAAAGGTAGCCACCTGCAATATAATAAATGTTCAACACCAGGTCACAGGATTACAGATGGTTTCTATTTCTTTTTTGTACTTCTCATATTTTCTAAGTTACCGACAATAAAAGTGTACCACTTCTTCAATGATTTAAATTTTTAGATAAAAGAATTTTTGAAAGCATACTTGCGTCACCCCAACTGCTCACGTGACCAAGCCGGGGCTGAGAAGCCCCCCCAGGGTGGAGCTCGGGTTCCCTTACCGCTTCCACTCCAGGGCAGCGTGGGGACCTGCAGCGTCTGGGCCACGATGGTGCAGGCGATCTTGTCTCCCAAGGCCCACATGGCCTCACTGGGAGGGCCTGAGGAACCAGGGACAAGGAGAGAAGCAGGGTCAAGCCAGCCACAAGACCCTCGAGGCTGAGTGTCGACCAAGCGCAGGGTGCTGGGCCGGGGCGGGGAGTGGACGACAAAGAGCAGTATTCATGTCCCGGCTCTCAAGGAGCTCAACCTCACGTCAGGGAATTAAAAATCTGCTAGTCTGCTGTCGTATCGGTCAACTTTCAACACACGTGCATTGTAAACCTGTGAGTTTCGACCTAAGCTATCATGGCGTATGCAACATTCTCCTTGGAGGGAAGGCAGAAAGCCAGGCAAAGGAGGCAAGCTAGCGGCTCAAATGGCTAGACCATGGGTGGGCAAACTTTTCCCATAAAGACTCAGGTACAAAATATTAATATTTTCACCTTTGTGGGCCTGCAGGTCCTTGATCACAAGTACTCAACTTTGCCAGCACAGGGTGAAAGCAGTCATAGGCAATACATAAATGAATGTGTGTAGTCGTGTTTCAATAAAACTTTATTTATAAAGGCAGGCAGTGCCTTTATTTATAAAGGCAATACATAAATGAATGTGTGTAGTTGTGTTTCAATAAAACTTTATTTATAAAGGCAGACAGTGGGCCGGATTTGGTCTGTGAGCTATAGCTGGCCAGAGGAGCCAAGACTGATAATGAGAGTCCCATGTGACAGTCAGGACAGGTACCCAGAGGTACTTGGAGCCCATGACAGAGAAAACATCAATGGGCACAGGTCACAAGGCCAGGCAGACACGCAAGTGTCACTGTTCACCAAGCTTCTTCACAAGTGGGCAAGTCTGTTTTCCAACCCCGCTGCAAGGAGCAGCAGGGACGCCTTGTGTGATAGGAAACAACTAAATGATTCCTCTAAACCACACAGGAAGTCAGATAGCACTATCACATATACAAAGCTAACACATGCAAATATAAATCCTGGAGCCAACAGATACCGCACGACAATGAGTATCATTTTACCTAATAAGTAGTAAAATGAAGGGCTCTGGTCCCAAGGGGTTTAGGGCACTCTAAAGGCCTGAGAATCCCAAGCAAAGGTGTGGCTTTCTTAGAAATGTGACCCCAAACTTTGTCAGCACTCAGAACACGGCTGACATCTCAGCAGCGGGACGAACACCAGCAGAGCATTCCGTCTGCCCCAACATCGTTCCATGGCCACGGCCATGGTAAAGGCTCCTATTTCCATGGCCTGGAAGACTCCCCACAGCCCGAGTGCCCTCCCACCCCAGATTCGCCTGTTCCTCACAACGAATCTGCCCCAGCTGGGCGTCGCATCAACCCCCAACCCGCACACATCTGCCGGAGGCATGCTCTACCTAGGAAGGCGATTCCATGCTTGCACAGCAGCTCCGGGAGTTTGGGGTTTTCAGAAGCATGGCCCCAGCCAGCCCACACCGCCTGCAAACACGGAAACAGGGGTGCACAAAGGTCTTCCTTCCAGAACTTGCCTCCCATCGCCCCCAAAGCTCTCCGCGGTGTTACACCGGCCCAGGAATTCAGAGTCTCATGGGAGCCAGCCCCTCCACCCCCTTCTGAGCCACGGAATCGCATTATTCCAGAGCTTGGGGACACCATCCCACCCCGGCACACTCGGGTGCTCCGACCCGTGTACCTGCACGGGGATTCTCTTGGCGATGTCCACGATCAGCTCCACGTTGGCGTAGTTGTTGTTGTTCGGCCCTCCCGGGACAGGGACGTACTGATCTGCCATCTTGATGTACTCTGGAATCAGACAAGGTGGGGGGAGAAAGAACCGCTGTTGGACTGAGGTCAACTGCAGAACTCGACGCAACCACGCACAGCCACCCAAAGCAAGACCCCGGGGACTCCACGGCAGCAACGGACCGACGTGGGTGAAAATCTGAAGAAAACTGAATATGATTAATAATGCAAAATATGATTGATGAAATATGAATGATGAAAGCTGAATATGATTAATGATGCGAAAACAGGTGTGCTTCTGGACAGGGCCTAGAAGGGAACAAAAGGGGATGGAAGTGATCTATTCGGACAGTGGGATTAGAGGTGGTTTTTTTTTTTTTTTAATTCCTACTTAAAAGTTTATCTTGGTCTTTCTCCACTCCTGGGAACTGACCCGTTCCACTCTCTCTGGAACGTAAGTTAAAAAAAAAAAAACAAAAAACAAGAGTTTATCTTAATAGGGTTGCACTATTAAACAATACAATAGGGTTTTATAAATTATGGTTAAAAAAAAACACACAACATAAAATTTACAATCGTAAGAACCTTCTGAGCGTGCCGTCCCGTAGTGTTAAGCATATTTATATTGCTGTGACACAGAGCGCCAGAACTTTTTCATCTTACAGATCTGAAACACTGTACTCATTAATAACTCCTTTCTCCCCCCACTAAGTCCCTGGCAACCAACATTTTACCCTGTCTCTGAATTTCACTGCTCTCGTGAATCCCTTATAAGTGGAATCACGCACAGCATTTGTCTTTTTGTGACCGGCTTATTCCTCTGTTGGTGACTGGCAAAATGACTTCAAGGTCCATCCCCGTTGTGGCATATGGCAGCATTTCCTTCCTTTTTTAAGGCTGAATCTAATACCATGTTTTGATTTTTAAATACTCATGCTCTTGAAGCCAGAAATGCCACTTCTAGGAATATGTCCTTAAAAACGCCACTCGCCAACGAGGCCAAAGTCGAGAGGACGGTCACCGAGCAGCATGTTGGACTGTGAAGAGTTAGACTCCAGCCAAAGACAAGGACTGGTACGTCTGTACAGTGGAATCCGATAAGATCCCGAAAATGGACAACGTGGCAATGTATGGGCGGAGGCAGGAAGAAACGCTACAGCCACTGTTCCTTCAGGCCTGCCTGCCCCCAGTGTTTACAGAACACACACGTGTCGGCCGCCAGGGAGGGCCCAGAGACGGGGAAGTGAGCAGTCAGACAAGCTCCCGTCTTCATTGAGCTCATCTTTAACGTTAGAGGAGATAAACAAGAAAATAAACACAATAACTACAGGCTGGGGCCAGTGCCGGGAGGGAAATACACAGGGTCCTCTGGGAGAGAGGCACAGAAGGATGCTGAGACCTGAAGGTCGGGTGGGGGAGAGGGCCTGGCACGCACAGGGCTCTGGGGGAAATACCATCCATATTTCCGTTCAACAGCAGAGTGGGAGGCTGGCCCCGGAACTGCCAGAGGCCAGTGTGACTGGGCCAGTGGATGGGCGGCGAGAGGCGTGAAGTGAAGCCAGGAGGCCGGCAGGGGCTGAGTCATGAGGGGGGTCCTACCGGCCTGGGTGAGGATCTGGGATTTTAGTCTAAGTACCATGAGAGGCCCCAGAGGATAATGCTCTGAACTCAGACAGACCAGGGTTCCAATCCCGCCTGCGTCACACACTGGCTGTGTGACCCTAGGCAAATGATACATTTATGTCCCTGTGCCTCAATTGTCTCATCTATAAAATGGGTCTGTGAGTAACAAACAAGGCCACGTCAGTGGAGGCCAGAGCCCAGGCAGGAAGGCTCGGAGGACGGTGCTGAGGTTGCTAACACTGGAAAGTGTGCTGTGGCCTCTGATGTGTTCTAAGGAAGGTGGGAAAAGACCTGAGTCGTGTATTCAAAAGATCACTTTGGCTGCTGTGGGGATAAAAGGGTAACACTGTTTAGGAAAAAAGTAAATCACCCAACAGTCATTTGTAGAATGATCCATTTTAATAGACATAGGCTGGGTGCGGTGGCTCACGCCTATAATCCTAGCACTTTGGGAGGCCAAGGCAGGAGGACTGCTTGAGGTCAGGAGTTCAAGACCAGCCTGGGCAATGATGAGACCTCATCTCTACAAAACATTTTAAAAACTTAGTTGGGCGTGATGGCACACACCTATAGTCCCAGCTACTCCGGAGGCTGAGGCAGGAGGATTGCTTAAGCCCAGGAGTTTAAGGTTGCTGTGAGCTGTGATGATGCCACTGCACTTTAGCCAGGGCGACAGAGAGAGAAAAAAAAGCCTAAATAGGTAAATGAATAGAAAAGCGAATGACATATGAAAAAATGTTCAAGATCTCTAATCATCAGGGAAATGCAAATCAAAACCACAATAGATATCACTGAACTCCAGTGAGAATGGCCTTTATCAAAAAGTCCCCAAATAATAAATGCTGGTGTGGATGCGGAGAGAGAAGAACACTCCTACACTGCTGGTGGGACTGCAAACTAGTTCAACCTCTGTGGAAAGTAATATGGAGATACCTCAAAGCGATACAAGTAGATCTACCATTTGATCCAGCAATTCCACTACTGGGCATCTACCCAAAAGAGCAAAAGTCACTTTATGAAAAAGACACCTGCACTCGAATGTTTATAGCAGCACAATTCACAATTGCAAAGCTGTGGAAACAACCCAAGTGCCCATCAATTCATGAGTGGATTAATAAAATGTGGTATATGTATACCATGGAGTACTACTCAGCTTTAAGAAACAATGGTGACATAGCACCTCTTATATTTTCCTGGATAGAGCTGGAACCCATTCTACTAAGTGAAGTATCTCAAGAATGGACAAACCAGCACCACATGTACTCACCAGCAAATTGGTATTAATGGATCAACACCTAAGTGGACATATAGGAGTACCATTTATCGGGTGTCAGGAGGGTGGGAGGGGGGGGAGGAGGGGATGGGTGTATACAACCACAACAAGTAAACTGTGCAACATTTGGGGGATGGACACGCTTGAAGCTCTTACTTGAGGGTGGAGGGGGGCATGGGCAATATATGTAACCTTAACACTCGTACCCTCATAATACGCTAAAATAAAAAAAAGGAAAAATGAATGAATGATCAAAATACAGAATATGCATCTGCAGGAAAAAATATCTGGAGAAATAGACAGTCATCTGGTGAAACACAGACATTTCTCAAAGATGGGATTTGCACTCTGCATGCTAACCATTTGCATTTTTATAAGGCACACAGGTCATTCTTGTTACCAGGAGATATCTTAATTAAATAAAGAAGAAAGGGCAAATAAATACGGATTCACGAGAGGTCCTGACTCAGTGTGGGGTCCAGGATGGCCTTCCCCGGGCAGGGTGGCAGAGGTGAGGGCAGGTAAGGATGGGACATGGCGGGAGGGGGAGGGGTCTAACCCAGGTACCTGCATTGGCCTTGAGGTCCTCGGGGGTCACCATGACGACAAACCGGATGGCCCGCTCATTGCGGAACATCTCGTAGGCCCACCTGCGGATGGATCGCATGCACTTCACGGCGGCGATGCCGTTGTTGGCGATGAGCACCTGCACGGGGGGAGGAAGGAGCTGGGGCTGCACGTCCACCCCTGCCGGGGGCCAGGGGCTGCCCCGACCGAGTCCGTCGCAGGCTGCAGAGATGCCTGCAGTGCCCGGAGTACAATGCTCCTCTTTGTATTTCTATGGCACGTGGCCTGACCCAGGGCCAGTCCACTGCACGAATGGATGCGTAAATGAGCGAATGGAGGAACGGATGAGTGATTTCCGATTCCTTTGTTTGGTGCCATTATGATCACCCTTCACGTTTTTTGAGTGTTAAGTATGCACCAAGCTACAGTACAATGTCTTTCATCCGCCTTATTTCATTTCATCTGCCCCACAGCCCTGGGAAAGAGGTCTTATTGTTGTCCCTATTTGGAGGTTAAAGACATTAAGACTCCGAGAGGTTAAGGCACCTGCCCCACGTCACACAGTGAATAAGTGGCAGAGCAGGGACATAAACTTTCCAGTCTGACCCGTGCTCTGAGCTGCTCCCCCCTACACCGCAGCTGCCTCTGCATTCTAAAGGTTAAAGGTCCCAGGTTTGGCCAGGAGTGGTGGCTCATGCCTGGAATCCTTGCACTCTGGGAGGCCGAGGCAAGAGGATCGTTTGAGCTCAGGAGTTGGAGACCAGCCTGAGCAAGAGCGAGACGCTGTCTCCACTAAAAATAGAAAGAAATTAGCTGGACAACTACAAATATATAGAAAAAAAATTAGCCAGGCATGATGGCGCATGCCTGTAGTCCCAGCTACTCAGGAGGCTGAGGCAGGAGGATCACATAAGCCCAGGTGTTCCAGGTTGCTGTGAGCTAGACTGACACCATGGCACTACAGCTAGGGAAACAGAGTAAAACTCTGTCTCAAAAAAAAAAAAAAGTCCCAAGTTTGTTAAGGGGGAACAACAGTAATGCTAGTGGTCCCCAACAACAGAGAATACTAGAAAGAGTCCTGGGTTTCAATTCCCAGTTGTGTCATGAACTTGCTGTGTGGCCTTAGGCAGATACCTTCCCTCTCTGAGCTTCACATCCACATAAAGAGGTCAGACTGGCCAATCTCCTGGCCTGGTCTCTAAGAAATAAAACTAAGCTCTAGTTTTCTTGTTTAAAAAAAAAATTATCCAGCCTAGACAATGTAGCGAGTCTCTCTGTGTCTTAAAAAGACAAAATGAACCACATGCCTTCAAACCTCAACTGACATAGCAATTTCATCATTTTAAGGCCTCCTCTGTTGCTGTCTAATCTTCATGACGTCCCAAGTCTCAGGGATGTGGGATGTGATCGCCTCGATTTTACACAAGGGGAAACTCAGCCCAGAGTTCACATCCCACGAGGGGTCACCCCAGGGTTTGACCCCAGGGTTCCTGGCTCCAGTCAAATGTTCTTGCCCCTGTGTCAAACGTGCCTCTTGGGAAGAGATGAGGCCATGGCTGGGCCTGGCTTTCTCAATGGATTACCAAAGCAAGGCTGGGTCAAGAGGGAAGGACCACGAAGACCTGGGGGTGGCCCGGTGTCTCTTGGCCTCCTTTGTTGTGGCTAAGGAATGTCGTGGGAGGGCCCCAGGGGAGATGGCTGCTGCAGGCCAGCCTGCCCTTCCAATCCCTCTGCCCTGGACCTTTCCCACGGGGAGTCTAGGAAAGAGGGCGGGCCAAGGTCAACTCCTAAACCAGAAAATGCAACAGCTCCGGGCTGAAGCTTTCTGCAGCCGCCCCGGCCTCTGGGCGCCTGAGAGCTAAATCCAGCCCCCAGCTGTGCTGGTGACAAAGCAGCCTCCTGGCAGGTGTGGCAAGACTTGGGCTTCTGGATCCGGGAGGGTCTGAGAAGGGTGGAGGAATCTGTATTTCCCGCCAGCAAGACTCGTGGCAGCAGGTGTAGGAACCTGCATGATGAGCGCTCAATGTCGCGCCTCCCAGCCCTGGGCTGAGGGTGTGGGCTCTGGACCCCAACTGCTGGGGTTCAAGTCCCAGCTCCACCGCTTACGAGCTACGTGACCTTGGACAACTAAAGTCATGTCCCCGAATGCCGGTTTCTCCCTGCATGCGACGGGAATGACCACACGGTTACACGTCTGACGCAGGGCCTCAACTGCACGGAGTAGAAGACAATGGGAAAAGCCCTATTGGGTGGCAAGTCTTAGCTATGTCCCTTTTGTTGCTGTCATTCTAGCACATGAGATTCTTCTCCTCTAAGAAGCCTTGGGAGGGCAGGGCTGGGTGTTACGTTTCCGGTCCAAGCACCTGGAAAGCGGCCTCTTCCCGAAAAGCACGCAGGGTCCTCTGTAGGAGCCCTTTGACCACGCCCAGAGGCCTCATGCCCCCCGACCCCCGTGAGTGGGGGTGGGGCGGTGACACACCCATCGCACCGGGCTGAATGAGGGCGAAGAGCTCACCAAGTCAAGCGTCCCACGCTGAGTGTCACAGAAGGGTGGCCCTTGCCCACTGCAGCGTGAGGACCAAATCTGAAGCCGCTTCTCCCACCTCCAGCTGGGAAGGGGGGGGTGCCCTCCACCCCAACCAGGCCCCACCCAGAGTGTGGGGACCCATGCCTACCTTCTCAATGACCCGATCCCCTCCGAAGCGTGTGACAAACTCGGCCGGGGAAGCCACCGTGAAGTCCCTGTGCAGATCCAGCTTCTTGTGTTCCCGGCCCCTCTTCACCAGGTGGAGACCAGACATGCTCGGCCTGCAGAGTGGAAGTGGCAGGCAGGCAGACAGACAGACAGACAGACAGACTCAGGTCAGATGGGGACCACGGGAGGGTCAGAGCTCAACATCTGTAAAACCTACACCCTCAGAGCAGCCGAAGTGCACGGGACCCTCTCTGCTTTGCTCCCTCTGCAGAGACCAAGAAGAAACTGCCAGGAAGTTCAAGGGCAGGAGACACCGTCTCAGGAGGCCAGGGCATGAACTTGACTCGCCCCAAGGTGTACATGTAGACTTTCGATCTTAATTTTGACTTTACACGCCCATAACGTAAGAACTCAATGCCATACTAAAAAACTTAGAACAGGGATGTTCTAAGTTTTACATTCTAACACTTCAGACTTGCTAAACGGTATTTATATCTTCCGTCGATTCTTCTGTATTCTTATTTCAACATTTTTTTAGGAAACGGAAAACACTTTTAAAAATGCAGAGCAACAAAACAGAGGTTCCCTTCCCTGCCCCTCCGGGCTGGCAGAAATCACTGTTGACTTGTTCTGGGGATGACGGACCTCCATAGTTCTCAGCAGCACGTGGACGCTATTTTGTCAGTCACCCACCTGAGGCACCATCCACAGCCTTCCCATCTTGAGAGGTGCGGATTCAGCTCTCTCTACCCCTCACCCCTGCCCCAACCGATAAACAGAGGTATACTATAATTTGGCAAATTCGGCACTCAGTGTTTTATTAGTCTGTGATCATTATTCAGAGATGAGAGTTGTGGTGGGTCAGATTTTATTTCCTTTCTTTTTGTTTTTTTTCCTGGACTTACTGATTTTTTTCCCCCTTGACTCAGTGTTCCTGGTGCCAGTTGCCATTATTAATTCACCCCACTCCCCCTAACAGACTCCCAGGACATGTGAGATAATTGGTCAGTCCCTTTTATGTTTCCTTTGGTGACATCCTTCCTGGAGGCTGAGTGTCCTTTTGTCTGGACTGGAACCCCCACGCCAAAGGGGCTTCCCTTTGCCGACATCCCTAGAATTCCCTTTACTGTTCCTTGGGGGTGGATCCCTGATTTGGGGGGTTGGGTAGCTCCCGCTTTCTAGGTGGACCTCCTTGTTTTGCTGGGGCTTATCCTGCAGTGGATTCATCCAGTTGACAAGATAGTATAATGGCAGAGCGCATGACGATGACACCCTCAACCCGCCTGCCCTGCTCCTGGCTGCCCGGGTCTTTGTATCACCATCACCCTGGACATTCCCTTTGAAGCTATGTCAGATCTCCTGTCTTCTGTGTGTTGCTGCTCTTCCTCGATTTACTCTCTGGTTTCGATGGAACACATCCTCAAGTAGCTTTCTAAGAAAAGGTATACAGGGAGTATGTGCTTTGCGGCCTTGCATGTTCTGAAACTTTCTTCTGCCCTCACCTTTGACCCTCTCATTTGGCTATGTAGGGAATTCTAAGAAGGAAAAAACCTTCAGGGTTTTTGTTTTTTATGAGACAGAGTCTCACTCTGTTGCCCAAGGCTAGAGTGCCGTGGCGTCAGCCTAGCTCACAGCAACCTCAAACTCCTGGGCTCAAGCAATCAATCCTCCTGCCTCAGCCTCCCGAGTAGCTGGGACTACAGGCATGCGCCACCATGTCCGGCCAATTTTTTCTATATATTTTTAGTTGGCCAATTAATTTATTTCTATTATTAGTAGAGATGGGGTCTTGCTCTTGCTCAGGCTGGCCTCGAACTCCTCAGCTCAAACGATCCGCCCACCTCTGCCTCCCAGAGTGCTGTTCCCACCCGTGATGCTGCACATCTCTCAAGCCCTCTCCATCTGGAAACTCAAGTTCTGGGGATTTGTCTTCAGACTTTCTTTCCCTCTTTATTCCTTCCAGAAGTCCTATTATCTGCATGTTGAAATTCCTACACTGGCCCACCAGTGTGTGCATTTCTCCTCCTCCTCTTCTCTCTTTTCCTCTACTTTTCTGGGTGCTTTTCTCAGCCTTCTAAACCGTTCGAGTGGAGCTCTTTCATTTTGGCTATCACGTTTATAATGTCCAAGAGCTTGCTTTTGGTTCTGCGAGGGTTCCCTCTTTGACAGCACCCTGTTCCTTTGTGTGCAACATCCCGCCCGACCTCCATGAGGATATCAATGAGAGCATTTTTACGTTCTCTTCTCCGGCATGATTTCTGTTTCCTACAGGCTCCCTGCGCGCGTTTGTTTGGGCCCTGCCTTCCACACTAGAGACTGCACCCGACTGTGGGGCGAGCCTTGGTCCTGCCCTCACAGCAGTGAGCGGAAATAGAAGCCCCTGAGCGTGAGACCCGGAGCTCAGCGTAGGGTGATCGAGGAGTCCCGTGTGCTGGGGATCCTGAGTCAGTATCTTTAGAGACTTTCTCCCTCGCCGGCCAGGTTCCCTGGGGAAAGTCTGGTCTCTGCCTGGACCGCAAAAGCCAGTCAGGAGCCTGGGGGACAGGGCAGTTCTAAGGATCCGGCACCTATATAGACCCTCACCCCTCCTATTTGGGACACAGGCCCCATTCATTCCGCCGTGCCCATCAATCCCCCGTCCCAAGACCCTCTGCTCGTCCCTCTCCCGAGACGGAACTGCCTGCCTTCTGCTGGGGTTCAAGCAGACAGCCCACGGCCCCGGAGCAGAGGCGGGGATCTGGGAGTCTTTTACCCAATCCTCCTTATTTTGGCACTTCCGTTGCCCCCAGCTCCGGGGCACCCCATGCTGCCAGCCACTGTGCCTTTGGGGGCTCTGTGATGCAGATGGGGGTGTCCCCCGCTGTCATCACTGCCGCATTAGGACTCAGCCTTCTCAGTTCTGCTAAGCCAGTTGCCACTTTCGTTCCTCTGCTTTCTGGCTTCCAAAATGTTGGTACTACTCTCCTCTCCTGTTCTCCCAGACTTGAAGGGTTTCTGTCTCTTAAAAAAGAACAAGAAAATCTCTTTGCTCGTTTGGCAGGATATTGAAAGGACCAGAATCAGGTGCACACGCTCAGCCTACTCTCTTAAGCTGGCAATGAGGCAATGGGGTATTTGGGCTGGGAGCCGTCTATAGGGAATGAGGCTAGAGGTTAACCACCCACAGGTGTGTCGAGTGACTGGGTCATCAGGCATCTTGGGAGGCCAGGGCTCAGGGGTTCAAGGGGGCCAAAAAGTCTGGTGAAGAATGGACTGATCCCACCACTGAACACCCCTGTCTACCGTCTGGCCAGGAAACAGCAAAGCTAGGGCAAATAAGCAGCCGGGAAAGAGGAGTTCCATTTTACAGATGGGCAAACTGAGGCCCAGCACGTCTTTCCACCACACCAGATCTTTCCCTTTCACGGGCCAGAGTGGAAATGGTAGAGGCGGAGGTTTTCTGCTTTATAAAGCCTCTGTGTCCAGCAGGGTTCAATGTGGGAAAAACCTTCTACAAACTGTAGCCTCCCCTGCCCCCCAGGGTGAGCCACTAAAGGCTCTGCCTGTCGGAGATGAAGAAACAGACTTCCAAGCCTGGGGAACAAAAAGAGATGAACGACAGAAACCATCGTGTTCAAATGCCACAATCAACAGGACATGTCTCTTCAATTACAACTCTTCTCCACTCAACTGAGCTTAAGCATGGTGCCCGAATGAATGAATGAATGAACTAACGAATGAACAAATGATTGCCAGCCCCTGAGACAGCCTTGCTGCCTCCCATGAACTGCAAGCAGCTTTCCTTCCAAAACCTCCCAGGATTGAACTGCTGAAATGAAACAGGTCTTAGAAAAAGCACTTTGGAAGGGTCGGTATCATCATCTTGCAAATATAAATAGTGCTTTTATCGTAATTATCTTCCATCAACCAGCAAGCTCAGTTTGTGTTTAAGAACTTTTGTTTCTTTACAAAAACAGGCCGATGCAGCCGGAGGGCCATCATTTGCAGGCCCCTGGGGAAACAGACACTGTTAAAATGTTAACAGCGGTTATGGCAGGGTGGTTTAACATAGGTGGTTTCTGTTTTCTTCTCTTTGCCTATGTTTTTAAAATGTTTTTCTGCCATGATATGTTATTTTCAATAAGAAAAAAGCTATTAATTTTGTAATAGGGACACCCAAAGACAGGGCCATCCCAGTGTCCCTCAGTTTCCCTATCTGTAAAATGGGGATAATAACACATACCTCATTAAATAAGTCGATACGTGGAAATAAGAATGAAATAAGGTGATGAGGATTAAATAAGTCAGCGCACAGCAAGTAAGAGATGGTATGTGGTGCAAGCGATGGTACGTGATTTCAATGCAGCGACGCCAAGAGGATCGGCGACTGCTAACCTCCCAACGTAACTGGCCCCTCATCTGCACCCTGCTCCATGATGCCAAAGCCTGTCCCCTACTTGTCCACTGTCCCCAATCTGTCTGTGACCTTTCCTGGCTGGCTGGCTTGATCCTTTGGCTTCAGAAAGTCTGAGATGACATCCCATTCTCATATACACACACGCACACGTTAAAACTCTAGCAAGCCAACCTAAAGCACAACAAAGAAAAACACCATTCTCTGGCCTGGGAAAAGCCACTTGTGTGTGGCTTTTCAAAACTGGTGACAGAGCCCATGCATCAGGCATGCCACAAGCCCATCACTGCAAATGACACAGGCGAGCACACGGTGAGGCCGGAATGGCTTTGTTTCTGGCTCAGTCTGCAAGCGAGAGGTTATTTTAGTTCTTTTTAGACAGTGCTGCAGGCCAGCCGCTGTTGGCGCTAGAGGTCTGACCTTTAACTGGCATTTGCTCCCGTCGCAGGAGGATCATTCTAGATGCTGTGCCTTTGCCCAACGCTAATCCCTGTTCCTACGCAGCAGGGCAGATGTGGAGGCCGAAATGTTCCACGGTGACTTTGGAAATGGTTTCAGGTGCAATCAACAACAGAGGCGTCAGCCAAACAGCAAATGTGGTCAGCTGCCCGGGCACATGACCAGGCAGGACTGTACTGAGAATGTAGGAAATGACCATTCTCAAATTGCCCACTGTGGATTGGGTACAGGGACTTCTCGCAAATCCCCACAGCCCTTTTG